TATTGGCGGGACGAGTCGAGGGCAAAAAGTTGGCTGGTTGGTGAGGGGGGAAACGCTGTGACTGACTGAGAGTGGAGCGGGAAGGGGATTGTGGAAGGCAAGATATAGCTGGCCCGCCGGACCCCCGACAGATTGCCACCGACTCTCCGGAACGTTTTTTTTACGGATTATCGAAGTTTCTGGGTTCAAATCTTGGCGAGCGATCCACTTATTCAAAAATCGACAATCATCTGTTCGGAAAACCATTTTTTAGAAAATTACCTGTCCGAAACAGTCATTTTGCTTGATTCTTAGGTAATTTCATAAGCAATTTTTTTGGACAGACAATTTTCGAACAAATGTTTTTCGATAATAGCACATCGGAATAGCTCCTATATTTTTTTTTGAATAGTTTGTCTATTTGTATGTATTTTTCCATGAACCAGAGGAATTTGGAGGTACTGGACGGATGCTTAGACTAGTGTTGGACAGCACCCCGAAGAGAGCACCCGGTGCTTTCCCCCCCGGGTGCTTTACCCCCGGGTCCTAAAAGCACCCCGGGTGCTAAACCACCCGGGTGCCCCAAAGCACCCGGGTGGAAATGACCCCGGCCGAGAGGGTGCTCTGGGCACCCTCCCCAGTGGGGTCTCCGCCCCCTGGGGTGCTCCAAGCACCCCGGGTGCTGGAGCACCCCAGGGTGCCTTTGGGGTGCTCTGTGGGGTGCTGTCTGGGGTGCTTTGCCAATGACCGCAATATTCAACTAGGCTATTTTGATCGAATCAGGAGATGAACATCATTTTCGAGCAGTTCGCACAACTCAGCGCCAATTCGATTGCAACTCATTTGGGGTCGTTTGGGGCATTTCTTCGAGGTTGTTGAACACGGCGGACGATTTCGAGACGTTTTTTCTAACCGCGCTAGCGGCCTAAAGAGCTTGATAGAATTGCTTTGCGGTTGAGAGGTTGCATTTGGCGCTCTTTCCAACGGTATACTTGCCGTTCTCCAAATCGTCGGGGGACAGGAGGGGGCGTTTTAGTGCCGAAAGGTGTACCTGTCGAAGTTGTCGCCACTAAAACCATCATATCTCAATTTGCGCTGCGAATCCTGGATCGCGAAGGGCACCATTCGAAAGAGCGCGAAAAGTTCTATCTGCCCAACGAGTTTCAGCTCTTTACCAGCTTTGCCCAGCCTGCTAGCGCGGTTAGAAAAACGTCTCGAAATCGTCCGCCGTGTTCAACAACCTCGAAGAAATGCTACGAAACGACCTCCAAATGAGTTGCAATAGAATTGGTGCCGAGTTGTGCGAACTGCTCGAAAATGATGTTCATCTCCTGATTCGATCAAATGCCTAGTTGATATATTGCGGTCATTGGCAAAAGCACCCCAGACAGCACCCCACAGAGCACCCCAAAAGGCACCCCTGGGGTGCTTCCGAGCACCCCGGGGTCTTTTGGGCACCCCGGGGGCTGGGGTGCTTTTGGGCACCCCACTGGGGGACGGGGTGCTTCCAGAGCACCCCTCTCTCGGCCGGGGTGCTTTTTCCACCCCGGGTGCTTTTGGGGCACCCTGGTTTGGCACCCCGGGTGCTTTGGCACCCTGGGGTGAAATAAAGCACCCCGGGTGGGAGCACCCGGGTGCTCTCTTCGGGGTGCGCCACCACAGCCCATCTATCTAGCCGGGGGCAAAATTTTGGTTGGAAAATGTGTAATTTGATGCGGGGCTTGTGTGGGGAGGAAGAGGGCGGCGTAAATCTTGCATTTTTTTTGGATGGAGGGAAGGACTGGGGAGCAGAGGAAGCCATATGAGACTCTGGTTGAACGGGATGCAGGATTTCGAGGTCGTTCGGTGCCCCGGAGGCAATCAGTTTCCCTTTTTCAACTCTTCAAGATTATTCATTATGCCAAGCTATAATATTTTTTAGGCTTAGCGTTATTATTGTATTAAATTAAGTGATTTTACTTACCATATTGATTCTATTGTTGACAATCCACTATATAAATATATTATTTGAGTGTTATAATATAATGTGTGTTATCTTATTAAATCCTGCCCTGCCGATCTTTCATATAACTATTTTAACAGAAATAGTTATGACTTTTTTGAATTTTTAAAGGAGACTGTTTTCAAAAAAATTTACATCCGTGTTATTAATCCCATGATGCCAATATTAATTATCATCTGTTTTAGCATACTCCAGTTTGAAAATTATAGCTGCATAGCGACTTAATTCTGAGTCATAATTCTAAGTATTCAATAAGTGTGCTTACTTTGCTGGTAATTTTAGAAAAACTGTAATGAAATAGTTTGAGAGAGCACACCCATTTTTTTAAAAACCACTCAAAAAGAGTGTGGAGAGGACAAAGCCTCGCTCCCGACCCAGATCTCGAAAGGCCAATGAAAGTTCGGCAGATGTGACTTTCTGAATGTCAAAGTTCTTCGCCAGTTTGTGAAATTCGCCGTGAAATGAGGGGCGAGCAGGTTTTTGTGCGGGGGGCAGTTCGTGCGGGGGTGAATGGCATCCTAATTGAGTGTTCCGGGAGCATGGGCTCTGTCTGTCTGTGTTCGGCAGGTTTGTCCATCTGTCTGTCCATGTGTGTTTGTATGCATTTGTGTGTGTATGTGGAGAAGGGAATGGGAGGAGAAGGCATTGGTCGGGATGGAGGTGGTAGGGGGGAATGGGGCACACACACATACACACATACACACACAGGTCTCTTCTCTTCAGAGAACTGAGGGGAGGAGGGCGAAAACACTCTGCTCCGGAGCTTGCCCTGCCTGCCTGCCTGCCCCCGGTACTTTATCTCTCTTTGCCCCCCCCCTAACCGACCCTCCTCACGTGTCTCACCCGGTGTGTATAAGGAGAACGATTGCCTAGTATTTGTAACGATGTTCGATTTTGATTTTTGTTTTTGATCGGCATCCTTGATTTTTGTGGCCCCTTCCTTTTTTTGGATTTTTTAAAATCTTATTACTTTGCAGCTCAACCTCGCGGTTCGAGATTTTTTGAAGGCTGATATTTTATTAGCCATATCCATCTATACCTTTGAGATTAAACCTAATATAAAAACCAGTGTTTTTTTTCGCTTAGGTCAGATAGAAAACCTGCTAAAAATTAAAGGGAGCAGGACCACGAATTAAAGGGACCACAATTTTTTGTCAACCCGAAAATCCGATTTTTTTTTTGTTCTTGATTTCTCAACGCGCATTAAAAGCCTCTTAAAAATTTTGTATTAATTTAATTAAATAATACTTATCATTAAACGTGCCAGTAGTTTTTTCGTATTCCCCCGTCAGCAAAAATCACCAAACCAAAATTGCAATGTACATTTACAGAATGGCCGCCAATTCCAAAAAGTGTTTTCCCCCTCACACACCCCGCGCCCTCCATTTATTTACTACGTGCATTTCCAAAAACACCGCTTCCCGCCAAACAAACGCTAATTTTCGCCACCCTTATTAAATCCGCAATTTTTCTTCCAAATGGAGCCATCAGTCGCTTGCCGTTGTCCCCATTCCAAACTAAATTGCCCGAAATTAAGTTCTGAAAATTGATTCCTGGGCGGTGGGTGTCCATCAGAACTGGCAATTTATCTTCGGGATCCCCCGACTAAATGGGGATGGCAGCATCAGAGAGTGGGGGAGGGGGGGGTTCCTCCAGAAGGGGTCCACAGCCTCCTCCTTCTTGTAAATTCATGCATTTTTCAGGGAGGCTTCTGGGCGGTGGCTGTGGGCTAGGAGGTTGTGCCCCCCGTCTGTCTCTCTGTCTGTGTGTATGTCCAGCGGGTGGTCCCTAATTTGCGGGACGCCTCGTTTTCCAAACACTCACGCTCATCCGGTTTGGATTATGTTATCGGGTTTTGTGGATGGGTTAAGCTTCGGGATTTAGCTGGAAACCGCCAAAATCCTTGGGCTTGATTATTTGTGGCTAATCATTACATTTTTATTTATATGTTTTTGTGGTTGCTTTTGAGACTTTTAGCGTTTGTTGTTTTTTTCTTAAGTGATCGCTTTCAAACAACTTCTGGAAATTCCTTTGGTTGTTTTTAAAGTCCTTTTACTTGCGTTTTTATCTCTCTAAATAAAATTGCCGTAATTCTTTTTATAAATTATCCTTTTTATTACGACTTTCCGTCTTACTTATAAAACCCTTTTAAGAGCGCTCCTCCAAGACGAATTTAGAGACAGCATTCCAAATTAAAAAAAAAGCTAATAGAAGTTGTCTTGCGTTGCCAAGATATTTAGAGGCATTTCAAGCATTAAAGGAGCTAAAAATAGCTAAAATTGCTCCATGCGAGCAATTTACGATGAAACTTTATCGAAAGTTCAGGGTTTTGTTCCGGGAATTTTGGTTCCTCTATATAATTCCCGCTCTAATAGTACGCCTTCTTCTAGGCAATTCAAAAAAAAAATAGCACCCTGTGGGTTCTATTGCAGGAAATACGGTAGTTTCCATTTTCATTCTCTCCATCATAAATTACCAGCAAACCTCATTTCCATCTACATGCAAATATCCATGTTTGGTTGTGAACCGATGCGCGCCCATATTTTCTACCCATCGCCACCCACCCGTCCGACCCAATGCCGGGAATGTAATCCCCGTGGCCCTCTTCTTCTATGGCCCTTCTCCATGGCTCAGCCTCATCCTTAAATTACCATTCCACATCCGCCCTACCCTCCCGTATCGCCTTTTTAACCCCCCGCGGTCCATCCATCGCACGTTCGGTCACACCACCGGGATCAATATCTTCAAGGCTATCTCGAAAAGCTCGCCATCCCCACCCGCACCAACTTTTTTAACTACTTATACCCGTCAACGCACCATCTTCTAATCGCAACTTGCCCGCGATTAAAAATGGCCCGTATTTGCTGGGAACTCTGTTGTTGGCAGTTCCACCCAACGGACCCCCAACCCCGATTATCCTCTATTTTTGGAACATTTCCCATGTTTCGCCGTTTTCCCTGCATTCCACTGCCGTCTCTACCATTCCACATAAGGAGATAATCAATTTTCAGTAACTCGGATGACAGTAACTCTGGTGAAATTGAAAGTAGGGCACACGAGCGAACGGTTGACGAAGAAAAACGCTGCAGGTGAGTGTTCTCGCTGTGTATTTGCGGGGTTCGAATGAAGGGGTTGCGATGTGGGTGTTGAAGTTTTGGGTATGGCGGGAAATTAGAAAGGAAATTGTTCGGAAATTGGATTCGTTTTTTTGCGGGGAATGGTTTTGGTGACTGACTACATATGATTAATAGTAGATTTTTGGGCCCGGAACCTTTTTAAAAGATCGTAAAGTCACGGGGAAAATGAAAATATATAGAAACATTAATATCTAGCCCAAATCAGACAGATTTGAATTTGATCTAATGTTAATTTTTTTCACATCTATGGGGCTTCGCTGATTTGATAAAATAATATCAAAATATCCAATTAACAATCAAGCTTCCTATCTTCCCGGACAGCGTATATTCTTTTCCTATTTTTACGATAGATTCTCATTTCTTCTATGTCTCAACCAGAGCAAGTTTATGATGGCTTTTTGTCTGTTTCTCTCCCCCGATATCTCTATCCGCGATCTCGCGTTACGCTCCCCCATCCGACTCCATGCTCCCCCTCAACCCCGGCACCCTCAGCTCTCAACATTCGCGTGGAATTATGAAAAATTCTGGGGCATCGATTTCTCCCCTACCGCCGCGGGGTTAGGGAAATATTGCATCTGCACACGATTTTCGAAGAGGGCAGACGGGGGCGTGAAATAGCTCTAGGGATAACGAGGGTTTTATGGGTTCAGAGGAGGAGAGGGAAACCCGGAAATACGAAGCCAGAACACAACCATACTCTAATGGACTTGGAATGAAGAACACACAAGAACAAAAATCCTTGGCTCTCAAAAACTATGTTGCCTTCTGCACACGTAGAATTTAGATGTCACCCCAGGTTCAGAAACCAGGGGCAACTAACATCCCAAGGAAATATTACTGTAGGCAAAAAAATAAATCCAGTTAATCCGGGATCGCAACTCCCGGCGACGGATTACTGTACCATCTGCTCCCAAAAAAATAAATCCAATCGGTTTGCAGGCCATGACTACAAGTGGACGCTTTATGTCAGACCGTGTACGCCGACGGAAAAATTTGTGGACAGGTCTCTTGTACATAAGGTTGGCGAATTTTCAAAATCCAAACACCAAGCTGTTGTAGGTGATATTTAAGCTTCATGCTTCTTTTGAAAATCCGATCCGGGTTGTGCGAAGTCCGCCCTTTGAATTAACAGAAACCGGCAAGTTACTGTATTATGTGCCAATCTCTTTTTAGGATATGGTAGTTTTGCTATGGAGATTGTTGTGATTTTGGCAAACGATCGAAAGAAAGAGTACCCAATACAGTACGACCTACTAATTACAAACGGTAGGTGACCACAAACAACCGGAGCCCAGGTTTAAAAATTATATTTCTGTAATAATTCCGAAAGCATTTACACTTTTCTCAATATTTGCGCTCCCACCTGCCGTCCTAATTGTTGGTCTTTATGACCATAAATCAATCAACCCTCGACAGAAGCCCTTTTGCAATCAAAAATTGCCAATGTGTTGCGGCCCCCTCTCTGGGGGAATCTAATCCCCCCTACTTTCCTAGGTCTTCGCGAACTATTTTGACGCAAATCCCGCCCCTATATCCGCCCATTTCTGCTGTTTTTCAGATATGCGCTACACCTCCGACACAGTCCAACGCATTGCCATCCAAAACCAAACCCCTGCCCCTTTTCTCGAAGCTCTGAAGCGGTATTGCATTGACGGGTAGGTCAAGAATAACTTCTTCTAATATAATCTACTCTAATCTAATATTTAATCTAATATTTATTGTAGGCCCACCAGCACGAGAGTCACTTCTGATAGTTCACCTGAACCCACCGAGCGGAGTAAACCCAATAACAATCGGCAACCAATGGTATGTAGTACGACTACGAAATTACGATATTTAAAACCCTGATATACACAAAATTCAAATTTATCATTTTAGAATGGACGTACAACGTCGTCATTGTTTGAAAACGGAACCTCAAGCTCCTCAAGCTCCGATTCCTCATCAGATTCTACGGATAGCTCTGACAGCGACAATGAAAGAAGAAGAAAATTTCTAAAGAAAAGAACAAAAGAAATACTAAAAGACAAGGTAAACGCGTTTGTGATTTTACTTCCTGGTTGCTTTTGCGAGCTAATCCCCCCTGTTTAGGCTCTCGATGCTCCAAAGTTCAATTCCCCAAAAGAAATTGCGAAAAAGAAGCCACTCGAGGTCAAGAAGAAAATGGATAAAAAGGATTTCCTAAAAACCAGCCCTGGAACTTCAACAACAACCTCGATTACACCTTCATCTACACCTGGCACTTCTGGAACCTCAAAAGAACACCGGACAACACCCAATACTCCACCGGAAATGCCAAAACTGGTCAAACAGGAACGGACGCCACCCGTGAGTTTTTATTCTCAAATTCTTACATTTTTTTCAAATCTCTAAAACAATCCTCTTTTTAGCAAAAGAACGGTGGCCTTCGCCTGTCGGATTTACCACTACTTCCCGACCTCTTCCCCCAAAAAGCTAAAATGAAACGAAAGGAGCGAGACAAGAAAGAAACGACCCCTGGTGTACCAATGAAAAAGCCAAAGTTGGAAACACCTCCGGTACTCGAACCAGTCAAAACAAAACCACCGAAAGAACTTCGTGATGAAAAGGAGACCAAACTCCCCAAACCGGGACATCTTGAGAAGCAAAAGAACCGCGAGAAGCATAGCTCTGTTTCTTCAGTAAGCAGTACTGATTTTAAGAAGCAACTAAAACAGAAGGAAAAAGACAAAATACGCGAGAAAGAGAAGGAAAAGGAGAAGGAAAAAGAACGAGAAAAGGCTCGCGAAGCATTGGAAAAAGAGAAGAAGGAGGAGCGAAGAAAAGAAAAGGAAAAACAGCAGAAGTTAAGAGATATGGTGCTACCTGGAAAGCCTAAAATGAACGGCGAGAAAACCGACGATAGAGAAAAAGAGAAAGTAAAAGAAAAAGACAGAGCCAGAGAATTAGAGAATGCAAAGCGAGAAGAACGGTTGGAACTTCAGAAGAAAAAAGAAGAAGAGGAGAAGAAAATTAAAGAAAAAGAACGGTTGGGGCTGAAAGAAAAGAAGCGGAAAGAAGAAGAACGAAAAGCCAAGGAAGAACGGAAAGAAGTGGAGCGCAAAGCAGAAGAGGAACGAAAAGAAGAAGAACGTCGAGTAAAGAAAGAGAGGAAAGAGGAGGAACGGAAAGAGAATCGTGACGTTTCCAAAGAAGCGAAGAAGCCGAAGCCGGAATCTTTTAATAACTTTGCAAAACCGGATCGGCCGGCCTATAAATCCGACCGTATTGTGTCTTTAAAAAATCGGGAAGAGCTAGAGAAGAGTGTGACTCGACGAATGAAGGCATTCCAAGAAGGAAGGATCGATACAAAGGTGGGAATGTTGGGCATCATTAAAATGGTTCTAGACCGGGGGAGGAGAGATGATCATGGGAAAGGGTTATCGAGGAATTGTAGTAGTTTTAAGACTGTTTTGTTGTAGTCATAGAATCTTTGAACTTGGGTTACAAGCACTAGGAACTAAATATAATTTTCGGAAAACAAATTTAGCGTAAAATTTCCAGGTTCTGTTCGAAATCTCGATGCTTCTGGCGAAAGAAGGCCCCGTCAATTTAATCGGCAACACCCTGGAATACAATCTCTCCGACTACACCACTGCTTCTATCGAAAAACTGTATCAACTGTTACGCCAAGTCAAAGTATAATCCACATTTTTTTTTGTTAGCATTTCTAGCCATGATTCTAGCCATTGATTAGCCCTAATCGCCCCAAATCCCCGTCATGTGATCCGTGTGCTCTGAACAAAACGACAAACAACAATTCCGGGATATTTTTGCCCACCCTCATTATTACCGGTTAGTTCGTTATTCTAGTTTGTGTGTACCCTATTCGCTTCGCCAAAAAAAATCCTGGTTCCCCCAAAACTCACCTACTGGTCCCTAGCCATTTATTGCTGACTTTCTCCATTTGGGTCGTAGGCCATTTCATTACTGTGTAATACAATTGTGATACCCTACTATATAAAAATGAGTAGTAGTTGGATAAGAATCTGGAGCGGAAGACGACAATATTGATCTCTTCCTCAGTGTCATACCCCCGATTTCATGCACCCTACATGTTATAACAATCTCTCTCCCAAAAAAAACATCACCCGGCGCTAGCTACCCTATTTTGATGCGTTATGCTGATCTAGCCTTTCCACAACCGTACCCTACCTGTAATATTGTTTTGCGCACAAAAACTTGGTACTCTATCCTTCACTTGTATCCTGTTATGGATGGCTGAATACATATATAGTGTTTGGGGGGCGGCTCTCATTTTTGGAGTCGTGCCCGCCCGCAAAATCTGTGATAGAAGCCCACCTGTTCTTTGCTGATTCGTCGATTCGTCGACGTGTGCTGTTATTGCATAAATTGTTTATTTACCGTATCGATAAAAAGGGGGAAAATACTGCGAAACGGATAGAAAATAAAGTGAGACCAGTGCAAATTAAAGCTTTGATTTGCGTGGGTGTTAAGATTAAAAAAAGAAAAATAGAGGGATGCGAAGAGACCCGGAAGACAGCTTAAATTTATATAAAAATTTATAGCTAAACATTGAAGGTAAAAACAATTTTTACAGACAAGCAAAGATATTTTGCAAAATAGAAATGAGGTTTTGGAGGGGAGAAATGGTTCTGTTTTGTTAGCGGGGGTAGCAGGGGTAAACGAACCAGAACCGGAGAACGAATTTGATATTTTCTGGGTGATTTTCAGGAATTTTGAAATAAAGTTTTCAGGTAGCCCAAAATAAAAACCTTAAAACTCGACCCAAATGTTCTCAACAGAGTGTAAAACTCTCTAATCAACCCTCGACAGTTTGGCAGCGTCACGCGGCGTGCACACCTCGATCCTGTGAAAATCAGGGGCTTGTGAGGGAGTCCGGCTGAGAAGGCTCGCTATTCGGCGCTTTGGCAGAGCCTTTGGTGTCCCCGCTCTTGATGTCATGGTCCGTGACGATGAGTGTCGGCTTGTGCATTTTGCTCTGGTTGTCGAAGTTGTTGTCCCCGCCCGTCGAGGAGCCCGGTCGGATTCTGAGACTGAAAATATGTGGGGTGGCCAACGCTTTTCGTGGCCTGGGGTCTAGGGTGTGGGATGCATTGGGAAAAGGTGCCATAATAATATGCGGGATGCAAAATATCATGCAAAGCAGTTGTAAACAGAAACAGCTAAATATTTTTTGATGATTTTCATTTGCAATTTTATTTTGGAAAATCACTTTTTCAGAGAATTTCCGCGAAATTTATATTTTCAATAGATCATATTTGAAACAATGCGTTTGGAAAATTTACTAACATTATGCCGAAAAATGATTATGCAGAAAACTATTACGCAGAAAACCATTATGCCGAAAATACATTATGCCAAAAACCATTACGTAGAAACCCATTATATCAAAATTTCAATACACAGAAATTTCAATACGCAGAAATCCGTTACGCAGAAAACCATTATACAGAAAAAAAACCAGTACGCAGAAATACATTACCTAAAAAATTCATTACGCAGAAGACCATTATACCTAAATTTCCGTACGAGGAAAAACTCTCTTTGCTGGAAGTTTCCGAGTTGATGACAACGCATCATAAGGCAACAAAATTTGGTGGATAAAATCCGGAAAAGTTAGCAAATAGGGTTCGGAGAAAGTTTTCAAAATTTGTTTCAAGAAGTCCAGAGAGGAGGGTGAGGATCGGGAATCTTGCACAATTTTCGAGTCGATAAAACTATCTGGCTGGGCAAAGTCCGCGAGTCAATGATGGAAACAACCTCAACGACCGCGGATACAACTTTTTTTTGTATATAGAATCTTATCGGAGTGGAACGGTTGGGGTAACAAATTTCTGCGAAAGCTTTTTTCTATATAATGAATTTAGTAGTATTTATAGTTTTTCTGCGTAGTGATTTTCTGTGTAATGGAATTTCTGTATAATGAAATTTCGGCCTAATGGATTTCGGCTTAATGGATTTCTGCGTAATGGATTTTCTGTGTAATGGTTTTCTGCGTAATGGGTTTTCGGTATAACGGTTTTCTGTCTAATGGATTTCTGCGTACCGAAATTTCTGCGTAATGTTAATTGCCCCGTTTGGAAAAGTTTTCTCAAATGGTCAACACGAAAAGGTCAAAAAAGCTTATTAGTTTGAAGCCTGAGATTTTTTCGAAAAATTAAGTTAGAATTTTTTTCGAAAATGGAAATTTAGTAAATTATTGCTATTATTATTATTACGAATTACTGACTTTCGCAAAATCATATTTTCAAAAAATAGGGCTTCGAAAAAATTCGAAAACCGGATCGCTTGGTCTTCAGGCTAGGCTTTTAGGGCTTTTAGGCGTAATTAGCATTCCATGCTGCTCATGCTCTCATGCAAAAAGTCAATTACCATAAACCACTAAAGAACCCGTTCCGGCGAGCTACACACACGTCGAAACATTCCTGTTCATCACGCTTTCAACTTGCCAAATCGTATGGCTATTTCGAGGCTCACACTGCCGATTGCTACAATAAGCAAAGCGTTATTGAGGCAAGCCAAATTAATCGGTAGCCAGGGGAGGTCATCAAATCAAAGAGACAAGACATGCTAAAAGCTGGGGGCAAGCAACCTTTTCGCGGGTATTCCGGATCAACGGGTATCTCCGGGGAAGCGTTAGTTTGAGCAGCCATTTTTCGCACAACTCCATTCTCACCAAAGTCAAAGGCCCGAGTGCCGGTTCGTAAACTAGATGTTTGCGGGGTAGCGCTATAGGAAAAAAGGGGACGGTGCTTGGGTGTGGGTGTGGTGCTTTTGGTAATTTTTAACCTAGTGGGAAACCACTTGCAAGAAGGATTTTTTGACGGTTTTTGACATTTTTAGACTTCGTGCCGGAAATAGGGTTGGGAATTTTCAAAAGAATTTCTAGTTCGGATAATTAATGGGAAAGTGATGTTTTGGAAAGTTTGGATAATTTGCAAGGCTTTGAAAACTATTTTTGCACTCATTGTAAGTGAATTAATAGTTGTAACAACTATCAATTATTTTCTTAGGTATATTGCTGGAATTCATGTACTCTAAGCCATTGATCAAACCATACCTTCGACCAATTGCTCTCCGAATTGCCGTACGATAGGGTCGAACGTAATAAATTGTAATGAACGGCGCCGCCGCCGGGTAGCAACTACAAGCTGGTTGTTGATCTCTACTACTTGCAAAGTTCCAGAAGTCAAATGGCATCACTCTCTAGTTGGCGCTCCCCTAATAACTTGCCCGCGATTTGCCAGATCTTTGCTTATCGAATCGGACTCAGTCCTAGGGCCTTTAATTAAGCCCCGGGAACTTAATGTTGCGACCCGAAAATCAGGTTTGCGGCAAGAAAACTGGTTATTGATCAAAAAGTAACGCACCTGAAGATGGGAAATACCAGGTATTCCAACAGTGTGCATTGAAAGATTTCCAAGTGGTAGAGCAGGTAGAGGCCAATTGGAGGAAATACAAAAAGCACCGGAAGTGAGGCTTGGATTGACAGAGCCTGAAACACTTTCAATTTTCAGTTTATCCAGCCTGCAAAAAGAATTCTAACGCTCAAAAACCTACAATCAACAATTTCCTGTGATTTACAACAGTTGATGTGCTCATTTTCTACAACAAACTAATTTAGTTTACAAACGTATCTTACATCAGCATGTGATCTCAAAAATTTGTCGATTTTATTGTAGAAAAACATGACCAAGCAATAGATCGGGAACATTGGCAAGATTATTGTCAACAAAACAATAGTAACCTAAAAAAGTAAGCTTAACTAGTTTATTCTAAAACCCCTGTTATTATGTTATTAAAAGTTTAGTTGGATACCCACCAATGGATACTCCAACATATGGTAATTACCGGACATAACGAGTCCCGTCAAATTATATTCCGGTTTGGCCGCTTGAAGCTTGCTCCTCACCAAAGCTGGATCCATTTGGGAAAAGTGGAACAGCCACTAAATGCATTTTTCAATTTGGTACAGAAAACGTAATCTTCGGCGAATGTGATTGTTTCGCTGGTATGTTATTTGGAGACAGGATTGTGGATAGATTCCAGGTAACTAACGTACGTGTTGGATGAAGGCTGGGATCCATAACGCAAAGCAGATGAGGGCAAGGGTTCGGGGCGTTGGAACAGGCCGGATCAGGACGAAATAACGGAAGCCGAAAGATAACGGGAAACAAAGGAAGGTGTAAAATATAGAATGAAGTTGTAGGGTGTACATCTAAATTAAGATTTGATTTTAGAAAATTAAGAGGTTGTGGAAGGGGGAAAACGTGTAGGTCTGGGACCACCGGTGAGATCTTCTAGGGTGGTCGTGAAGACCTACCACAGCACAATGTGTGGTCCTTGGAATTAGTGTTCTTTCAAAGGATTTGATGCCGCTACTCGGCACTTTTAAATGACGATTATCGGGGGTTTTTATTTTCGGTATCTGCCTCAGAACAATTTGTTTTACCAATTATAGCTAAAAAACCTAATTTTTAAAATAGATAAAATGGAAAAACCGGGGTTTACAACAGCTGTTTGCCTTTAATAAAATTGAATAATTTTTTAAAACCACAAACCTCGTATTCAAACGTTGGTCCCAACGCCTTCGCGCCACCAAGGTGGATATACACAAAATACCATCGATTCGGAATTATCCTTAATATTCACACCTTAAAATCCACGAAATATTTTTACCTGACTTGTGCTAACGTAGTTGCCAGACTAAAAACAATATCAGTAATACAAGCATTGAATAGTAGCACTCGATAAACTCTCAACGATTCCGGAGTCTTGAAGATGATCAGCCCGAGAAGTAGAAGATTCCCCGGTATTCCTTAGTATCCCTGATTACCATATTTCCTCTAAATGATACCTATACAACCGGTGATATAATATATTGTTGAAAAGACCCTGTCATAAACTGTCGTCGAGATCATGGCTAAAAAGTTAAACATGATGCTCTGAAAAGTCTGTGTTAATTAGGACATGGAAAGGGAAAAGTGATTGGTGAAAAGGTATCTATCGGTCTTAACTTTCTTATCCTCATCCTCAGCACCCGAAGTTGACGATTTATAATATTATTTTATAATTCATTTTAAAGGAACCCATTATTCCAACATTTAAGTTTTGCAATACCTAGCCTAACTAACAACCCCATTTCGAAACCCTAACCGAAAAACCAGGGCGCACGGCTCGTAGATCAAGTGTGGTGCGAAATGAGACGAAAATCGCTTGCTCTTGTCCCGCCGACTACCGTATCCGGGAAATAATGTGATTGCTTATGGCGCCGGCACCAAGCAATCCTAATCTGATTCTGGGCACATACGGCACGGCCAGATAGCCCCGTCCTGTTCACATCGGCCATCATTTCCAGGAGAAATCGCCAATTCGTCAGCTCTCCACAACTATAGTTAGGTCGATGGGGGTCGGCGAGAAGACGTAGAAATGAAGCCGATGACGATGATCACAGTGGTGGATCCAGAGGTTGATACTTGTCCTCATTATACAGATCGTCCCGCCCCGCACGCTAATTGAATTAATTGGGCCGCCCGACGAGATCGGAGCACCGTCTTTTAAGTTGAGCATTCTAGTTTTTGATCTTTGAGCAACGAAAATAAAGAAAGATTTCAAATGATAACTAACAAGCTATGCCACCCGATGTAAAAGGTTGAAACACCAAACCAAAGTCAAGGCCACATTCGGGTTATTAGCTTTTCTATTGCGCCGACAATTCCAATTTTCCTTAGCGGGTCCAGACTACGGTGCTCGAACATCTGGCAGTTCTTGGAAATTTCGTTATTCGCTTAATCTCGGGAAAGATGGAAAATATGTATGTTACTGTTTTGGCTCCAAACTACACTGCTTTGATTTTTAGATTCGATTCTTGCGTGAAATTTGATTAGGCGGAAAATCGCAAAATACCAGTACTTACGAAAACCCCTAACTTCGTGAATTGCTTTCAACGGAACTAGGAATTTGTGTATCGCTCAACAGCACGTAAACATGATAGAAAACTGAAAATGGTTACTCTACCCTATGTGTAGCGCATAGAACAGAAATGACCTATAGAGAGGTGGAACGAGTTTTTGTGGATGTGGCTAGTCATTGGAATGAAGAGGACAAGTTCACGCTGCTCATCAATTGCTTTGACAAAAAGGATAATGTATATGCCAGGTAACGGGAATTTTCACTGGCTTGGCTTTTAAATATTAATTATAAAAGAATATGAATAAAATCGGCATGATCTTGCTAGACGCAACGACGGCGTTGAAAAAGATCATATGAACCTAGAGGAGTAGGGAAAACAAAATAATTCATAATTTATCATAGCCTCGACCTCTTGCTGCAATGAAAAAATTGTAAACGGTATGGTTCCAGGAATGTCCGTACAACAATTTTTATGTCTTTTTGCTGACTTCGTGGGTGAAAGATACTACAAAGTCTTACGATTAGCAAAAATTCCATGTAATAAAAGCCGCAAGAATAGCAGCCTGCTAGAAGAGGGCATTGGTGAAACGAGAAGCCGCATCCAGAATATATCGAAATCAATCGAAATAATATTGAAAGAGGTAAGTGATGTAATATCATCTTCTCAAGTCCAGACTACGTTGATCGTATACACAGACTTGGGTGCAAAAGCAAAGCCGAGGCGCACCTTGACCCAAATTAGACCGATCTACGAATTCTCATGTGCCTTCAAGAACCCGTGTGAAGGTAGCCACGAGGCCACATTCACTCTACTTGGCCCAAAATCCGGTGGTCTCCAAGTTTGTTGCGGCCGGCCGGTCCCCCTTTATATCGACACCTAGACCCATTCTCCCCGCCCGTAACCCATTTACACCCCAATTCTAGCAGCCGCCTTTTTACCGGCCGACAAATTAAAAAAGAATTTATTTCACCGCGCGGCCCCTAACACCACGCGCGCCCCCGGGGCCCCCGATTCCAAGAAACTTTTGCCGAAAGTCCAAATAAATAGTACTTTATTTTGCACCGCCGGCTGCTGAGGATGAGGAGGCCGAAAATCGGCCGATCAAAAAGCATGCAACGTTGTTTTTTGTGTTTAAAGATGGGGATAGTGTATGGAAGGTGATTTACATTCCGGCGCCGGTTATTATTTCTCTTATGCAGCCCACAATGAAGGGTCGGTATAAAAAGTCGGCCAGGTGATACGTAAAATTTAACGTTTGCTTCATTGGAATTAAAAATGGTGTTAGTTGGTTTTTTGGACCTCAACGGTTATGATATTTTCATTTAATCTTTTATAATAACTTAGGTTAGCTCTTTATGTGGTCTACAACTACTTGCAGCGCATGCTAATTGTTTTCTAAGAAACGAGCGTTCTCAAGGTTTTCACAAGATGCTAATAATTATTGAAATTTCCGTGATGTGAGCAGTTATTCCAGGATCATTTCGGACCTAATATTCTCTCAAAAATAATATAAAAATCTTTTCTCAACCCGATAGCGCTGAATTTTATCATAGATAGACGCGCGCAAACAGCCATTATTGGCATGTATTAGGATTATATTTTTTCTATACACAGCTCTTAACAAAATCACCCCCGCCCCGCCTATATATCTCAAATTTAATGATTAAATGCTGCAAGCCATCCCTGGCAGTTGCTTCCCCCAAAAATGCCGCTTTTTTCGGGACGACCACCGTCAGATCGTTGCGTCGAAAGGGATTGGACTGAAAAACGACACCCAAAAAGGGAGGGAAGCTTGCTTTTTGTCATCTAGGCGGAAAAACTCAAAGTCGGCCCCCGCGTTGAGAAAAACCCGTCACCCCGATAGGACAGCCAATTGGGAAAGGGCGCCAAGTCCTCAGGGCAAACGGAGGAAAAACGTTTTCGAGAGAAATGGCATTTTTAAAGGAATTTGAACAGAAGAGCAGAAATCACTTGAAAGTAATATCCCATTAAAGTTTATTATGAAAATTCAATATTTATGTTAGATAAAACTTGACGAGGCCCTATTAAAATAGACCCTCCTTTTTGGCGTGATTTCCGGGTAAATTCGGGCATCTCCAGTGAAGCACGAAGGAAGTATTTGCAATTAGTTGGGCACAAAAGGTGGGCAACAGGGCATTCTTTAGGAAAAGGTCGTTGCATTCGAACTTATTCCTGAATATAAAATCTATTACCGATGCCACTGAGTGCCGGTAAATGTGAAGATCCGTGATCGCGCCAATGGTTCGTTTGATCAATATGAATGGACTGTCCACCCTCCTTACAATTTTAAAACACATTTTAAGCATAATGGCTTAATATTTGCTTATTTGCTTCCGCTTTTTTGAAAAGCTTTCAATTTCAGCTCCATCTTACCGAGTTTTAAGCTCTGTAGCTCTAACGGCGCATGCCTTTATGACATGTCGGTCCACATTGCCATTTTCAACCGGTTTCTTTACCTTGACATTCTAAAGTCCTAAAAGTCAACTTTATATTACCGACAAATTGTCCCATGCCCGCAAGACAAGCCCCTGAGGAATCTGCCCTGTTCGCGCAAGTCGTTTTTTCTGCTTCTTTATGCCCTCTTCGGGAGACCGTTACCATCTAATGCACCACCCTCGGCCAGCCCGACCCATCAGCTCCAGCCCCACCCACCCGGCTTCCCTATAAAAGGTCGTCGCTAGATGGGGATCGTCAGCCTGTGCTCTCCAAATGACTTCTGTCTCCTCACTATTCGTCCCCATTGGGGCCGGAGCTTGTCTCCTCGCCGTGATGACCGCCCTGGTCACCATTGGCTCGATTGTCAATGACATCGACACGATGAGGGATGAGATTCTCTCTGGCATGACCGAGTTCAAGGTTCGTTACTTTTTATGAATACCTTGGGCTGCGCTCTCTCGTTTTCCCAAAGTCGAAATTGCCCCTTTGCTTCTAATTTTTTTACAAATTACTTTATTCCAGGTCACCGCTGACGACACGTGGGATCGTCTCCTTACCGTTCAATCTGCTCCTACTGGCAACACTGATGCCACTCCCGCTTTCGCCACCTTCGTCCGTGAACGCCGTATGGCTCGCCACCGTCGTGAGGACTACGGCCAATGCCAGTGCCACGCGCGCTCTGCTGGATGCCCTGCTGGACCTCCTGGACCTCCCGGATTCCCTGGACCCCGTGGAGAACAAGGACCCGGTGGAGACCGTGGTCGCGATGGAACCCCCGGTATCGTCCTCGCTGTCACCTTCGACTTCCCTGGTGGCTGCATCCAGTGCCCCGCTGGACCCCCTGGACCCCCTGGAGAGCCTGGAGCCGTCGGACTCCCCGGATTCAACGGTATGCAAGGAGAATGCGGACCCGCTGGACTCGATGGAGAATGCGGAGCCCCTGGACCCGAAGGCGAGACTGGCCAGCCTGGTATGCCTGGATTCGATGGATTCGAGGGACCCGCCGGCATGGATGCCTACCAAGGAGCCCCTGGAGAGCCTGGACCTCAAGGAGATATGGGAGCCCCTGGAGAGGAGGGAGCACCTGGTCTTGCTGGAGAGAAGGGAATCGACGGAACCGATGGACCCGATGGACCGATCGGAACCCCTGGACGCAAGGGACAAGACGGACAGAACGGACTCGATGGACTTCCCGGAAAGAACGGCGAGCACGGAGTCGATGCCAACTACTGCCCCTGCCCGCCCAAGTCTAACAATGACGCCCCACCACCGCCCCGTCACCAGAACGGCGGACGTCAGCGCCCTGCCCCTCACCCGACCTCTGGACAGAGCTACGGAGGAGCCGCCTCGCCCAAGGCTGACGGATACGACACCCCTCGTGTCCCCCAGGACTACGGACACCAGGCCGCCCCTAAGCAAGACTACGGTGGCTCCGCCGCCCCACCCCAGTCTGGCAGCTACTACCAGCGTCGCCGTTATTAAATTATTTAAGTGTATTTCAATAAATATTAGCTGCAAGAATTTGATATAAAACTGCACCGGATATTGGCTGGGATGAAAACGTGGTTTGAAGCGAAGTCGTCGGTGACATGGAAAGGTAGCTGGGGTGCCTATTACTGAAGTTCAGAAGACAATCTTGACTTAGGCTCTATTAGTAGTATCTAATGATTTTATGATGGCATTTAACCTTTTCGACTTTTATATGCGGATAATTTAAAGATTTGGCGATGCCATTTGCAATTCTGTATCGGAAAATTTGATGACCTGGAGGGCGTTTAGACTTTTCAATCAGTTAGTCCTGCTATGCAAATTTTCTGGCTTTGATTATAGGGAATTAAGAGGCGTTCGGAGAGTATTTTCAAAAAAAATATGTGTAGACACCGTATAGCCTCCAAGCCTTAAGGTGCAAATTTGACATTGATTTTTCTTTAATTCGTGTATTTAAAATCGTAGCAACCTTAGAACTTTATTTGGAAGACGATGGTGAAGACCAACACAACCACATAAGTTATAACATCGTGAATGTTTTTTTTTTGGCCCCCCCCCACGTTTTTTTTTGAAAAAATCCCGGGGCTTTTGAAAAAAACCAACACTAATCGTGAACTTGTCAAAAAAGCAATCGTCAGCATGTAAAAATTGTTACAAAAATCTCTGTATCGCATGTTTATTTTTGGCGACTGCCAGCACTTCATGGTATCATTCATGTTATTTCGGGTGAGGGTAGATGATAGCTATCGATTGTTGGGCGTGATTCTAATACTGGAGGTGGTGTCATTATAGGCAACAGCGGAATAGAGAGGGGTTGATCGGGGGGGCAAAGAAATGGCCTGAGGTTAAAGGCTTCTCATACAGGCTCAGGTCAAACAACCACCGGGAATTGTGTGTGTTCGAAGAAACGGAGTAGAAAAACGGGGGTGAACGGAAGGAAAGGCTGAAGCCACGAGCAATCTTCATGAATCAATGGTTGATATAACTCTCCCCAAGACGCCAGCCAAACGTGGCATATGGCGCCAGAACGTAAATAGTGTCAAGAGTACTCGTACTGTGGGGGAAATAACGTGGCGGAAGTCGCGCGGGAGGGGAAATTGTATGGTGTACGGTGCGATACTGGGGGCGGTGCGGGCCAAAATGAGGTTACGGCGGTGGAATTCTGAACAATGTTTTTAGTGAAGGAAGAAGATCTAACCCGTTTTGAGCAAAAGGCTTAAGGAAAGTGGACGAAGGGGGTGTGGCGAGTCAAAGTTGTTTGGGGAAAGTAAGTATCAGATGAAGATTCGGTAGGAAAGGGTGGAAAGGCGTGCATGCATCGTTGTTTGAAGGCGCTGTCGGGAATCACTGTTCGGTATGTTCAGGATCGTTCGGGACGGGCTTTTCGGTGTTTTCGGTGGGAGTCTGCGATGGAGGGGTGGCCGGTTGGTCCTGGGTCGGTTGCGGGGTGTCGGAGCCATTTTCAGCGTCGGGCATTCCCTGGCTTGAGCCTTCGGATGGCTTACGTCCGGTGCGTCCGCCGCGGAATGGCATACCCCTTCCGCGTCCACGGCCACGAATTCCGAAGTCTTGTTGCTAAAAGAAAAATCGTATTTCGAGCGTTTATAAAGTAATATTTGGAAGTCAACCAGGCATGAAGCTTAGAAAGACTAACCATTCCTTGGTAGAAGTTCGGGTACGGCACCACGAAGAGACTAACATCGAGCCAAGTGTTGCGGAACCTAAAATTAGCAGTTTGACCAATACTATCTGGACTTATTGAATCTCCCGTTAAAATACTCACTTCTGGTCTTGCGGCTGCTGCTGAGGAGCCATCGGTTGCATTGGCATATTGTTGTATTGGTTATACGGGTATTGCATGGGTGGGACCATGTTGTGCGGCTGAGGGCGTCCACCGTACATCATTGGATTTTGGTATTGAACAGTTGGGGCATTGGCGATTCCACCACGTCCACCAGGACCCGAGGACTGATAGCCGCCCTGCTGCACCTCTTCGCCGATCACCCCACCATTCATCGAACGGCGGCCGCGGCCTTCGCTCAACTAAAAGTTTATATATTCATTAATCTTGTTTCATTCGTTAATTTGTAGAATTTCCTTCTGCACGTCTCGAGCCATTCATATAGCCTAGTCCGGCTTTCGACCTATGCTAATTGTTCCTGACAAAGAGGTTGGTCGGCAAAAGACAATGACGTTTACGTTTACGGAAAAGAAAATTAATCTCGAAAACAGCTGCTTTTGAGAAAAACTGATGTATGTGCCGTCAACTGGTGACCATTACGCACCTAATGACGTATGATCCAACCTTAAAACTCCTTATCTATCGATACATCCGATACGCGCACTGAATTTGCATGCAAATGAATACTGAATCTAGACGCTATTTTTTATGTACAGTACCCTCATACCACCGTCAAAATAAATAACTTACATCTTCATTCGAACCACGACGTCCTCCACGAGCACCAGCAGTCGACCCTCCACGGAATCCTCCACGTCCAGGGGCCGCAGTTCCGCGAACAGGACGGGTTGGGTCGAATGGCCGCGGGTTTTCAGCACGTTCCTTGGCCCCCTGAGCACGCTTCAGACGCTCCTCCCAAGTCATGTCCTTCGGTGGGGGTGAGGCTCGTTGACGGCGCTCACGCTCCACACGCTTCGACTCCTTCTTTTCATTAGCTTGGTCCAAGCCGGGCCATTGCTAAAATATCGGAATAAATCTGCACAACTTTTCCAGCATGTGACGAATGAAAAACTAACCGTCTGGTTCAGGTTGGCTGAGCCGCCGATCTGTTGTTCTGGGTTCACCCATCCGCCAGTCTGGTTCTCATAGTTCTGTAATGGGTTTTATTAGGGACGAGCTCAAATTCGGCCTGACGGCCGAGAAATCGGCTGTACAGAAAACAAGCATACTTTTCTCGCTTATAGGATAGGATCCTTGGACAAGCTTACCTGCGGATCAACAATTTGCATTTTTCCAAACTGATCCATCGCCTGGGCGTAGGCGTTTGGCAGAGCGTTCGGGTCGTTTGTCTGCAAAAATAGTTAATTTATGGACTGCTAGACCCTAATTAGGGGGTCCGAGCTTGTACAAATGGCTTGAAAATGTACTAAACTATGTAATTAGCGATGCCGATATCTTCATTTCTTAGCTTTACTACAGAATTTCTTCCATTTCAATTTCTCTCACACAAATTATTGTATCAAACATTATTTTATTTGCAAAATCCTAGTTCTCACCTGTTCCGGGTTATTCCACTGCCCGAACTCTCCGACCATCTGATGAGGAGCCGGCTAAATCGACAAATTCATAAGAAGAAGAGTGGCGGGTGCAGCGTGTGAGGTAAGCAAACGTGGGTTAGGAGCCCTAATACGGAGGGCCCGGATCGGGTTCCCGCGACGCGAAATTATTTCCAAAAAATTGTTTGTGCGTGGGCGGGTAAAGGAATGTGGACACGAGCAAGGAGGAGAGACACAGGGTGGGAGCAATTTTTTTGGGGGTTGGATCCGTGGTTAAATTGCTATTAGTAGTCTAAATTATTTTTTCTAATTGGACAATTGATCGTTATTTGCATCTACGGCTACAATGGGTTTGAATAAATTGGGTCAAATGGCAGGGACTATATTGTTCGAACAATTTGCACATTAATGTTATTATCCACACCTGGCCCACCATTGGTGAGTGGTTGGAAAATTTGGATTTGAATTGACAATTATTGCCTACTAGGCCGTATATTGACAATTATTTCGATTATAGCCGTAGACCTCCAAGTTATTTCTCTGAGATTAGATAAAAAAATGTAGATTTTACAAAGTGTTTTCATGTCCTTAAGACTAAAATCCAAAACAAATAATGATCATTTGCCCATTAAAAAAAAGACATTGACTATTCTAATAAAGCACACAGTCCATTGGTAGAAGCAAAACGGGAAGGGAACCTATCTAGTAGCTAGTAGTAAAATCTGTCAACTAAAAGTGCGAACGTTGTAAAAAGTGTTAACGGCCTTCGTTTTATGTTTTTTGGCTTCTTACAGACGGGGGACTTGCTCGGTGTCTCACCTCAGCCATGTCGGCTCGGATGCTCGACGTGCTGCTTACCCAAGATGCTGTGTAGGCAGCTGATGGTTGGGCTGATGTGTCGAAGACGGCGATTCCGCCTTAAAAATTAAGCGTATTTTCATTTTATTCTGGTTTATTTAATGAATCGTAGCTGGTTTATTTAATGGTAGAAAACCCTTTCCCTATTTGAGCTTTTTATAAGCTTTTCATACCCAAAATGGCGTAAAAAATGGGCGTCATTTTAATCATAGAGCCACCACGGAGCATATGGCAAGCTAGCCCCCCCCCCCCCCAAGAAAGAGTCATCATTAAAATAAAAATTAACTTTAAAACTCTTCATTACCTTGGTACTGGTCCTCCTTTCCGGGCGGAGGGCGGCTGAAATGCTGAGGAGCCTGAGGTGGAGGAGCCGTAGGGTTGAACGCCATTCGGCCCTGGTCCTAAATTAAACTCAACTTTTATTAAAATACACATAAAAATATCCATCAGACCATCAGAATATGAATAGAACCGTTACTTACCTGGATGGGATAATTATACACCCCTTGTTGAGGGACGACAAACGGAGTGACGGCAAATCCCTGCGCCCCATAGGTGCCCTGGAACTGGAAATGAATTTTGGGGAAGTTTTGAAGAGGGATGCCGATACAAATGGGTGTATATATGTTGTTAATATGCATAGTAAAATTAATAAAAACAATTAACACCTCAGGGTTTACGGAAAATTAACGATTGTAGCATAAAAACTTAAAAATGCTGAGAAAATAAATGAATTTCATATGAATCCAAAAACCGGCAAAATTAAACTATAGAGCACAACTAATACCTGTGGATAGGCGTTGGGGGTGATGTAGGTTGGCTGCTGTTGTTGCCTGTAGAATTCGCTTGAGGCATCGTAGCTGGCCACCGGGTATCCGGTTGGCGGAGCCCCATAAGCCGCCTTCTCTGCGTAGGTCGACATCCTAAATTCAAAGGGTTTAAGTGAATGCTTTAATAGATGTTTCCGTTCGATATTGGAAATTGTAAAAAAGGGGCATAGGAAAGGAAGTATTAAAATGAAGGGATATGATGGACATCATCTGGGGTTCCTACTTTCAAAGTCGAGCGAGCGAATAAAGACAGTTCCATCAAAATCCCCGGAAATTTAAAAAAATATTTATAAGAAATATCATTGTTGGAAGACCCTTCTTATCTTGATAGTGCCCCACTAGACATTTTGAGGGATATTGAAATTTTATGAATGTTTTATTTAAAGCTGCCAATAGAAATCGCATAGAAAGTGGTAGAATAACAACGTTTAAAGTGTAGTGCATTGCAAAACGAAGCCAATAGTAAAATACAGCTAATTTCTTTAAGATTCCAAAGGTTCTTAGAAAATATGTATCAGAATTTTTGAGGGTTCCAATAAGTTTCAGAAATAATTATGTGAAGACCTTTGTTAGCTGGTATAATGGTGGAAACTAGGGCAGCTGGCCACAGCACCAATAGCCAACGCCAGTTCAAATAATGTGCAAACACTAATAGGCGATGGGCTTATCAGTTAGTTCAAATCTGAACGATGAGAATCTACGCTTGATGCGTTTTTTTGCTCAACTAGGGTTGTAAAGAAGCAAGGTAATTAACAGAAGGGTAAATAAAATTAACTTAATCATAAAGTGCAAAAAAATCTGTTTTCAAAATCTTAATCAGCAGCTAATAGCCGGGGCTGAAATTTTTAAGCAGGCGCGCCAGAGGGGTACACGAAGTGCGCCAGCGGGGCGGACCGCGCAGCTAGGGGGGAGGCGACTTTTCTTGAGGGCTGGTGGGCTGGGTATGGCGTGCAAAAAATTCACGCCAAATAAGTGATTGAATTGGTGTGGGAGAGGTTCTAGCGTTGGTGGGATGGGTGGCATGGGGTATAGATGAGCTCATAGTTTGTGGTCCCACCCATCATTGATTGAAGTGATCAACCCCCTCCCGATTGGCCAGGTGACCCATCAAATGGGACCGGGGCGATTCGTTTTGGCGCCCAGAGCAATGTGCTGACGCCCTTTGCGAACATCTCACCCCCTCCTACATTCCGCCTCCATACCCTCTACATTCCCCTCCATCCCTCTCGACACAATCAAAAACAAGATGGGGTCACCCAATGTGGCACAGAGCGGAAGAGACGCAGAGAAAGAAAACCGGATAGAATGGGTCGAGATACCCTGCATAACCTATAATTTAGCACTGGATACATATAGACCACCAGCACCCCTGGCGGGTGTCTCTTAGATATTATTTTATGGACTGGATAGAGTAGGGGTCCTACGAATATAGCGAGGCGTGCAAGGGTAGCAAAAGAAACCATAGTAAAACAATAATTAAAAAAATGAAATTTAAAAGTTGAAAAAAGCTGGGTATGGTCAAGGTTTAAATAAAGATAGTATTTCAGATTATGAAGTAGGATAAGCAAACAACTATATTATTAAGTATCAAAAAAAATGCAAAACAACATCATAGAATAGCTACTAGAGTTCGATTTGCATCTAGGAATTAATGGGTTGTCTATGAATATGAAAACCGAAGCAAAAGACTCAAACATCGAAAAATCTAAAGCAGGGGTCTGAAGAACAGCTTTCATTTGTATTTTCATAGCAGTTTATTCAGCATAGCAGCAGCATATTTGTAGTAGCAAGCTACTTTCTTTACATTCCTAGGCGGGTAGATTAAATGTACTAACTGGAGTAGCTTGAAAAAATAACAACTAGCACTTGGGAAATACCATGACGCAACGCTACTGACACGTCAGTAGCCCTCATCACGCGAAAGTGCAGCGCCCAAAGACCCCAAACGTCCCCTCAATCTGTTTTCCGTTCCATTTCTCTCATTGGCTGTAGCATATTGATCTAAACTATCCAATTCAGAATTGATGCTGAATAATATTCAATGGATTGAGGATCGTATATGTATTGCCCTACGTGCCAATGAGTCACAACGGCCGTTTTTGTTTGTTGTTGAATGGTGGGTATAGTTTGGATTGTTAGTAGTACCAAAATTAAATAGCCTAAGACCAGGATGAATGGAATTTAAGTAAAAATATTGAAAGTGACGTGATTCGTAAGTGAATGTAAAGTTATTTGGGGGTGCTCAGTTTCGGGTTAGTGAAACCTTCTGATAAGCGGTATGGAGAAGCTTTGATAAGATAATACGATTCGAAACCAGTCGAAGTAGAAAAATATTAATTATGATGTAGCATTGTAGGCAATTCGAAATTCGAAAAACCAAAATAATTTCATATACTTTAGGCTTTTCCATGGAATTCCTTGGATTGGTGGCTCTATCCTACTAGCGGTATTTGCAATCTCCGGCCGCTGGCCGATAGAAGAACAAGATTGGATTGTGCTATTAAATATAGGTATGATTTCGACTATTAACTTTAAATATCCATAAACAGGCCTCGTACTTGATTTGATCTTCTGCGGCGTTGTGAAAGTTTGTGTCCAGCGACCACGTCCGCTTCATAACCGCGACGACTTCGTAAGGAACTTCTAAATGAAATTATAATTAAATTTTTAGCGTTATGGTGCACCGATTGCGGATCGGTTTAGCTTTCCGTCGGGCCATACGACAAGAGCGGCGATGTTGGCTCGATTTTTGTGAGTTAGATAATAGGTTTTTCTGCCCGAAAAATGGGATTTTGTCAGGAAAATTGGATTTACTAGCATTAGATCGAAAGTTTCGTATGAAAAGAGTATTACACGACAATCTATTAGCAGTAATTGGAATATTCCGAAATTCAAATGCATGGTCGTCATTATATCAAGTGATATGGGCGGTTTGCGATTATTTTATGGCACCGAAATTGAAATTCGAGTGTTGAATGATTTGCATATTGAATTTTTAATATAATGCTATAATTGTAAAACTATATATACCAATAATAAAGCTGAAAAGAACCCTTCTAAATCTAGTAATATTCCTTTGCAGAGAGCGCACCGTTGAGATGACCCCATTGTGGAATAATGGAATGTGGCTGCTGGTAGGGATCGTGGCCTTATCCCGGATTTCCATGGGCCGCCACCATCCATCCGATGTATTAGCCGGTAGATTTGGCCGCCACCGTATATAAGCTGCCACTTTTTGCAGGGGTTGTCATCGGAATCCTGGAAGCGGAATTAACGCTACAAATTCCGCCGCGACTTCGGAGGTATTTAATGAGGATATTTCTTTGAACTACGGGCCGACACGATTGTACAGTAATGGGTAGCAAAATAATGTGATTTCAGTGTAAACGGTGATAAATCTTTTTTTAATTTTATCCGGCAGCGCAATCAGTTATTGATAGCAAAACAAAAGCAAAGTTAAAAAATTGCAGCGTCGTGTAAAATAATATTAATCCTGTGTAGAAAATAAAAAAAATAAGCTTTACTTAAAGACTAAAAACTATGAAAGTTGTTTAATTTTTCTGTTGAAACAATAAACTTGCTGCTAATGTTGTATGTCAATTTTTTATGTAAAATACTTTCATAACTCCAGAGAATGTTCAGCTCTGCGAATCAAGGTTGATAAAAAAATGCACGTGTTATTCCGCGCGCCGAACCAAAAAAAGTTGTACACAACACACCTCCTTCACTTCTATTCTTTTCAGCATTCCAATTCCAACCCCTCTTTGCCTGTTTTCATTACAAACACTCAATCCTTCGGGTTCACCCCACATGTGTTGCATTCGTCTTGATCTTGTGCTTGGGCCACTGGCCCTCCGGCCGCGATCCGAAATTGATGATCCGATCGTCAATCTACCGCCGGGCCCACAAACCCCCGAGGGCATTCCTCAACTTTTTGAGCGTCTGCAATAGCTGGGCCAGAGATCATAATAAGAATGCCGTCTGGCGAGACCACGAACACTTATCTCAATGCCAACAGACTCTTACAAAAAACTAACCGCAAAAAAGCGGGGAACAGGCCGTTAATCCTCGGGCATTTGACGGGTGAAGGGGCCGGGGGTTGATAACTAGAACGACAGCGAAGGGTGTAAAGTGGTGGTTCTTTGGAATAATTTCAGTTTTATTTGAGGGCTGCTATATTAAGTCTCATTGGTCTGCAGGCAAGTAGGTTTGGCGTGTAGTTCCCGTTCCGGAAAGTTTTACCGTAGCCCATTGTTACCGTACTTTAGAGTTTTGATGCGAGGGTATTGCTACGTTCCACAGCTTTTTGACAGCATATGCAGCAATATGGCATTTTCGAGGGCGAGCGACCACCTTCTCTGATAGAATAGAGAGACCTGGTATAATTCCAGGTCAAACTATACAAAAGACTTTTCTTGCCTGACTCTTTGTCCAGGTATACGCAAGGGTTTAGTTGGTCTTTTCTATCGATTCTTTTTCATTCCTAATTTCAGGGATAGGAAAGCAAAGGATTTTTTGGCACACAGCCATTAGTAGCTACAGTAGGCCCTAGGGATCCAAGCTAAAATTGCTAGCTTACATTTTGCTATTTTTGTTGGCTAGATGCCAGTTTTGTTAGTGCCAGTGCCGACCGTCCCTTTAGTGTTGCCTTCCTGGTCTCTCGAAAACGGTTTCACGCCTTAAGGTAAGAACGACTTCCTCCATCCACTTACTGTACTAGTCTAAAAGTGTAAACGCTTATTCAAAATTAACTCAGTTTAACCAGGGATCCAAGGTGTGTTCTTTGAATCAGCGTCCATGCTCCAGCCCCATTTATCTTTCAAAATTACAAAAACAGCCCCCAGCCCCTCATAACCACGCTTTTCTCCTTGGAAAAGGTGCATAATGATAGGCGTTAAAATGAATGATGTGGATCTGGGGGCCCGGGTGGGCATCTGTCGGATTCGAAAAAGGTACCTGCCGACTGGTCTTGAGATGCGGATGAGGCTGTAAGGATAGAGGGTCAGGATGGGCCTCCGGGTGCTCCATCATTGGGGGGACCTCCTGGCATTGAAGGGGGAGACTCTCGACCCGATCTTTGCCATAGCACAACGGGTGGGAGGGGCGGACCCAGTCAGGATGGAGGAGGAGGAGCACATTGCCCATATCCACCAACCTCTATGCCCATCCTTGGCAACCAGTTTTTATATACCTTTTTAATGTGATAAGTGTTAATTGATGGTCGATAAGTACGGAAGTTTATAAACACGATTTTCCACAGAGTGCTCGGGGATTCCTTTTTTGACATAAAGCGAATGTTCACGAAATTAAGCGCATACCGTATATATCTATTTCACACCTACGCCTCTTTGCCTTGGTCTTCTGTGTAACTAGGTGTATAGGTAGTCATAAGCTACATGTATTTAGGTGCTTACGTAAAAATCGTACATTTTCAAGGAGCGCTCTAAGGAAACCCGACCATCAAAACCCAAACTACAATGGTTACGGGCATTTTCAAAATTCAGATACTGCCCTTCGCCCGAAACTCGTTAGCCAGACGAGCCCTATTTGCATATCCCTTGGCCTCATCAATGTTTCCTTAGTCTGGCCGACGACGTCCCGAAAATCAATCGAGTCGCACTCCTCGTCTATTCTAGATTCTCCTTCTAACTGACTACACTCTTTTAACATTTATTTACTCACACTGATCCTCCCTGCACAGTCATTATCCCCCAGATACAGTCTTGCATGAAAACTGATCTCCCAATGTTTGAGTACAAGTCAACAATTTTGGCTGATGCACCCCCTCTGCAGACCGTACCCCCAATTGGCCCCTACTGGTTATCCCGAACCTTAGTTGACCCTTGTCGGTACTCCAGTACGGATGGGCCAGATGGATGAGATGGACGCTTGCAAGACCCAAACATCCTCTTCCCCCACGCATCTTGCCCGCCATCTATTTGTTCACAAGCCAACGATCTTTAAAACGAACCGCTTCCTTCAGTCACGATGCCGAGAACTAAGTATTTCTCTAAACGTTCAACACCTCTCCCCTCGCATCAGATCGATTATTTATTTTGCGATCACAGCTTTTGATTTGGTGAAATGGGGGCCATTGCAGAGATTTAGGTTTTAACTTCTTTATATTCGATTAAATAGATGGACATTTCAGTTTTTTTCAGACTTCAAAGATCAAATTCCAGAACCGATACTTGGGTGCGAACGATGACGCGAAACCTAGTGTTGCTGTTCTTCCTGATCGGTCAGTTCCAAAACTGTGTATTTTTGTGTTTCAAGATCGCCAAGCAACGCAGTACCCATGTACCTCACCGAAAAAACTTCATTGTCAAAATTATGTTTCCCCGCTTTCTCCGTCAAATTTCGCCAAATCCAGGCTTTCACCCATCGCCGTCAAGCAGGACGTAATGCCCGCCCAAATTCGATTTAACTTTTTCAAGCAACTTTGACGCGAATGCACGCTTATAACGAGCCCCATCCAAAAGCGGACTACCGCTAGAGGGTCTTCAAAGAACAAATATGTTGGCTGTCAAATGTATCCTGATGTTTTTGACAGGCCTTTGCCCTCATCAGACCGCAGCCTGGGGCTATGAGGAAGATGATGGACCCAGCAACTGGGATGGAAAGTGTCGAGTATGGCCCTCGCATCCAATTCCTTTCACAAAAGCTAATTAGGAGGGCCAGAACCAGAGTCCCATCGACATCCGGGCGGCAGATGTGGAATATGCTCCATTGCATCGGTAGGAGGTTTGAGAAATTATTGAGAAAGATGGGGAGGCTTCTAACTAAGTTTTCAAAGCTTCGCACACAGCTGGATGCTGGATGAATTATTCAGCCTGGTAATTAGTGGAAGAGGCTGAAGGGCGGCAGGGTCTTAAAAGTAGGGCTTTTCCTATTTTGCATTTGCTATTAGAGGAAAGCTAGACCCAACAAGGATTCAGGTAGCTTGAGATATTCTTGATTCATCCGAAATTTTAATGCCAAATAACCCCAATAAAACTATATTAAAGGCAATACGACCATGCACAGTACCCATACCTCAAAGATCGTAGCAACGACGCTTTTTTACCCGAAAATCGATGGCCGGTCATTCTCGACCCCATTTATCTCCACAACGACGTTTTGATGCGCAAATTTTGTTTCGTTGCTGCATAAAGTGGGCGAATAACGACCGGAATTCTGATCTCTGTCGGATCGCAAACAAATTTAGTTCTACCTGAGCAAGTGATCATTCCTAGTGATTTATCCCCAATAATATCTCCAGCTAAATATCTTGGGTTGGCGTTCCGTTGCCGAAATATCTCTCCGGGAAAAGCTGGGATTTGGCTGAAAACAATGGGGGTGTCTATCGCTGGAAAGACAACCGAGACGTGGCTTTCCGTTTCGGGAATCTATTACAATTTTGCAGGCTCCATTTCGTCCACTACGACAACAGGGGACTGATCACGCTCGCAAATAATGGCCATACGAGTGAGATCTAAAATGTAGATGGGGGAAAAACAAGATTTGCTTTAGTTTCTGGGTCCGGGTTCAACACCTGGGAAGCCAAGCAGCCGTATGTGATGAGCGGCGGGCTAAAGCATAAGGTGGTTTTTTTCTAGGAAAATCCAGCAATTATTTGTTTTTTTAGTATAAGCTCGAGCAATTCCACCTCCACTGGGCGGATTCCGATGACCGAGGCAGTGAGCACACGATTGGTGGACTCCATTATCCAGCCGAGGTACTCATCGGATTATTATGGGATGGAAGAGAGAGGGGGTAGGAAGGGCCTCATCGGACCCCCAGGGGGAGCGGGGGGCTGTCATCAGCCTAGGAAATCGAAGATGTGGTGGGAACCGGAAATGCGGATACGGCCCGGATTATGGAGTTTGGCGGGACGCACGGGCAAAGTTGCAAATTTTCATAAAGGGACAATCAATTGCGGGCTTTGAAAATAAGGTTACTCCGACATCAAAAACTGTTAAAATGCTAGAAAACTGCAGTTATAAGCAAGTACACGGCCGAAATACGCCAAATTTTCGGCCGAAATACCTGTCATCTTGTTTGCTTTAGCTTCACCTCGTCCACCACCGTGAAGACCTTTCATTCGCAGAAGCGGTAAACACTCCAGGCGGTTTGGCAGTTGTCGCCGTCTTTGTGACAATTGGTGAAGAAACGAGGCCACTGGAGAGTGTTGTCGGCTCCATGAAGGAAGTTATCCATTCTGGTGAGCCGAAATTTGTTGGCAATTTTTGGTCCGAATTCAGGTAACCGATCAGACATCCACGGTTTTCATACCAGGCGGATGCTGCCGGGACACATCGAATCATTCTACCGGTATTATTTGGCAGGCTTAATCTTTACTTTTGTTAAGCTATGATGGGTCATTGACGACACCCGGCTGCTTTGAGACCGTTGTCTGGACCATCCTCAGCGACCCAGTATCGATTACCCGTAGACAGGTAAGTACGTATGAGCAGCCTTGATAGTCCTCAGATGGACGAACTCCGACGCATCCGATCCCAAGAGGGCGATCCCTACAAATACAACTACCGACCGGTGCAGCGCTTGAACGGCAGAAAGGTTTGTACTCTAAATTCTGAGAAAAACCCACGATCCAGCAAATTGTTTATGAACTGAAGAGTTTTTAGATCTTGTATCGACCATCCCAATTCGACAAAGCAATCTTCTGTGGCAACAGCGCCGCAACGAGCACAGTCCTCACCTCAGTGTTGCTCTATCTAGTCAGCCGGTATTTCTAGGAACCCAGCAAAAAACTTTCGAGTCTTTGAATTTTACCCTTGATCTCAATGCCCCACGTTTTGATGCAATCCCTGCAATATTTCCTATTTTGTGTAGACTGAAATAAATAGTCGGCATAAAGAAATAATTTATGAGAGACCCATAACGGAAAAGAAAGGCAACGAAGGGGTTAGAACACAGCGAGTCGGTTGAACAAATAAATTAGTGAAGGCGAAATCCCCGTGAAACGGACTAGGGTACCAAGAAAACCAAACAAACCCTAGGAAGAGACCAAAATTGTTAAAGAGGGAGTGGGCAAAGAAATCGATTGTGCGCATCTTGCAGTAGTCATCGAGGAGTTATCAACGAGAAAAAACTACACAAACTTTGGATAGATAGTTGCAGGGGGCATCACATGGTTCGCAAAAAATTTTGCTTTACCGAGCGAGGATTCGGGATCCCCCAAATTGGCAAAACCAGTAAACCGAAACGTCCAACGCAAGTCAGAAAGCGTTGCGCTTAGATGGGGAGCTCGAGGTTCTTCTGGGTGCGAACAACGCGGGTCACGTAGAGGTAGAAGAAATCCGCGTAGAGGACCGTCTGAACGATGCCGGCCACGGTGACGATCGGATCAAAGAAGTCCTCCGTGTAGTAGCTATAAAATATATTTTAACGGGAGAAAATAAACGTCGGGAGCCGTAAATTTTAAATTTGAATATTGTTTCTGTGTTCCAAGCCATAAATCGATAGAAATCCTGGAGCGAAAACCTCGTAACACAAAATGCGCCGAAAAAAAATAACGAATGACATACCGGTAGATCCAGTTGAGGAGATAGAGGCCCCTGTACAGCCCGAGGAAGAACAGATAATGGGCCGTGATGGTCTCGGCCTGGCGGGTGGTCGATAGCATAAAGAGCTGCGGCATGATGGCAACCGCCTCGAGGTAGATGCTGCAAAAAAAATAGTATTTTCAGTGACAATAGCAATACCTGAAGGTCCACATAACTTCCATGAATGTGAAGTCGGCGTTGATGAGCAGAGCCAGAGCGGCGCATGGAATGATCAGGTAAGCCTCCTTGAAGTTGTCCGAAGCACGCTCATAGGTCGGACGGAACTAAATATACCTTCAGCAATAAAAGGTAAACACAAACCTTTCCGTAGATGAGGTACAGGGTACCAATCGACGAAGCAATGAAGAAGACCTTCATCACAGTGTTGTAGGGAGAGACGAACGTCGTGAACAAGTCCAAATAGCGAGTGACGAACACGACCGCAAAGAGCAATTGCGACCTAAAAAAGCAAGGATGTTGTAGAAATCGCCACGTCACACAAGCATTGCCCTGCAATAAAAACATACTTAGCAGAAATGCCGGACACCGAACGCGACGTCCACATCTTCTTCAAGAGGAGGAAGATCGCAACCAAGTGCGACATATCCGCGGCAAGGCGAAAGATATTCATGGCTGCCGATCGGAGGCTTCGGGTACCCTGAAGAATCGGAAATACTAGTGTTCGCCGCATTGAAGACATCATAAAACAGAAAGAAATAGTGGTAAAGGTTCTAAATGTTTCCACAAGATTGAAACAACTTTTCATGTCAGAGCCAACGGATTTTAAAACTTCTAAACAAAAGTTAGTCGCGAACAAGTGACGGCCAAGGCGTATAAGAAAGAATCCATGAGCAAACCCGAGAAATGACACGAAAATCTTATAGAGATTGAGTGGAAATAAAAAGCCATTATGTTCTCTTGAAAAACAAGACAAAACTTTAAAAAAGCTAAACGAAAAGCGGATGTAGGGCAGCCGGCCATCTAGAGGCCGAAATGGACCGACGTGTATTATGGATGCAGCCATTGCCAGGAAGGGAATTCGCTCCGGGACCCCGCGAAAGCTAGGCTAAACAGAGCGTGAGTGGTGGATGCGACTGGGACGGGGGATGCAATTACTCCATGACGACCCTTACCTTCTGACTCTTGCTTTCCAGCTATCCATCACATTTCGACCATGTATACACATGCTATATTCCCAGTAATACCTGATGATATACGCGCGGCCGAGAAGAAAACTAAGGTAAGTGTTTCGGATGGAGAAGGTCGTTGTTTACGAAGGGGCCCTATCTCCGATTTGCGCCAGGTTTTTTTAAATAAGCTATCAACTATAATAATTTTGCTGTGGTCTCCGTCCGTCTGTCCGTCTGTCCGTGTGAAGCCGAATTCAACTCGAAGGGGAAAAGAGCTAGAGCTTAGCTCTCTTCGGATTCGGATAGAGCGCCGTCAGAAACCCCCAAACTGATAAAAAAATTACGAAAAAGTTTTTGTTTAAATTATTAAAATTAACTTTGAAAGTTTTTTCCTTAGTAAAAGTGGGTGGGGGACGGAGGTTGGGGTGATTTTGGACATAGTGAGCCAGGTCGCGCGCGTTTCGTGGATGAAAATTTTCACGGGGGATTTCATTTCTTTTTTGCTCTCATTCCATCCGGTCGGTCGTTATTTTCGTTTTTTAAAAGGATTTCGGCTAGGGGAGGTATCTTAAACCATCGGGAAAGTATTTAGGTAGTTTTTGAAGGGGATTTCAGCCATGGGGGGTATCTGAAGCCATCAGGAAGGTATTTAGGTAGTTTTTGAAGGGGATTTCAGCCATGGGGTGTATCTTAAGCCATCGGGAAGGTATTTAGGTAGTTTTTGAAGGGGATTTCAGCCATGGGGGGTATCTTAAGCCATCGGGAAGGTATTTAGGTAGTTTTTGAAGGGGATTTCAGCCATGGGGGGTATCTTAAGCCATCGGGAAGGTATTTAGGTAGTTTTTGACGGGGATTTCGGCTAGGGGAAGTATCTTAAGCCATCGGGAAGGTATTTAGGTTGTTTTTGAACGGGATTTCGGCTATCGGGGGTATTGATGGAGGTGGGAAAGGATGTGGTGGAGTGGGACATGTAGGGTAGCCCGAAGGCCAGATGGTTGCAGTCGCGAAGCGACTGTAACCAACTGGTCCTATATAAGAAAATAAGTCAACCCCGGGTTAAAGGGCTAGTTCAACTTTTAAAGCCTGGGCTGGTACCTTGGGAAACTATGGACGTAGGCACAGTGCGCCCGAACGGTCCCCCATTACGGCAGCTATTAGAGATCGGAGAAATGAGAGAGGCGCAGACACAAAAACGCAGAGAGGGTGCGACTCCTGGCCGCGGAAATTCTTTTGTTTTATTGGCTGAACTAGCCCTTTAAGATTGATGTGCCGACAGTACACGCTCAAATCGAAGGTTTTCAAGAAACTTTGCGAGAAGCCGGCATCTCGATTATGGAAATTGAGACAGCAGAAGGTAGGCCAAACCTATGAATTAAATGTTCTGTAAAATTAGGCAAAAACAACAATCTCCTATATTTGAATGACTTGGCTATTGTGATTGGGCAGACGGCATTGATTGGACGGACAGTGAAAGTGAAAGAAACACCGGAGCAGGTAGAGAATTGTGATAAATTCAATTAGGCAGTTCACTTTTAGCTAGTTCGAATACTAAAACAGTTGGTCTGGAAAGTAGACATTTGCCCAGCAAAAACCTACGGTGGGGATAAGATTATTTTGGATGCCCAGGACGTCCTTTTCACCGGGAAAGAAATTTTGGTGAGCACGAGGAAAAATGGCACGAATCTCGAGGGAGCAGTGGTAAGGATAAAAACAATGGAAAAAGACTGTCTTTAGGTACTGAGCAGAACATTCAGCTCACACCACATAGTAGTTTTGCCCTTCAATAAACTGCAGCCTATTCGACATTATATTTCCGTGGCGATACCCGGGGAAGTTCTAACCATTGGCAATAGTAAGGAAGCGGAGGAAGTGAAGCAGGTATATCGGATTCCTATGATTGATCAAAATACATTTCTCAGATTATGCGGTCAAAAACAACCTATACCTATAATGTTATCACCACCGATGATAGTACCGCAGCCGCTTGCTTGAATTTTAACAACCGAGTAGTTTTCAGACAGGATAGGCCGGAACCGGTAGGTCTAGAAGCGAATTCTGAATTCGCATAATTTAGAAATTTTCGAAACTACGCGAGGATGGACTTGAACTTTGGGCACTCGATGTCTCAGAAATCAGTAAAATCACTTCACCTTTCACTAGATTTTGTCTCCTTGTCAATGACGGATCTTCAGCGAATCAAAAACAAGCTTAACCATGGGTTTTGCCTCATTTATTGTTGTTTCTACGCAACCTTATCTCATTAGGACCAAATTTTCTACAGCAATTTTCTTCACTTTGATCTGTTGCTCAGCGTCACTTTTTTGAGCTTGTTTTTTTCTTTCATGAATTGCAGGGAATAGGCATAATGTTCATATCCTAGGTGCTATTTACGCAACAAAATGCCAGTATTATTAACATACTCACTTTCAATAACCAACTTCGGTTATATGAATAAATTATTTCGCATTAATTTCGTTGCAAGTCGCACCATCAAGATAGAATAATCTTAGCCCCCCTATACGAACATTGGTGGGGGTAAAAGGGGGGTGGCTATTCGAAGACAAGTAACGGGGACACATGGCTGTTTCCGGTATTATTCAAGCATATTAGGGGTCGAGCGTTTGGATACAAAGCAACCAGGCGGAAAGCGGATATTCCCGTTATTCCAAGTCGGTGGAAGGTGTAAAATTTCTTGGACGGAACAGGACCTGCATGTAATGATATTTGTGAAAAATGTGTACAGAACTGTTAGCGGGGGGACGCTACCTAGCCTATGAATTTTGTTGTGTATTTTGCATCGTTTTATTAATTTTTGCCGAATCAAAGGTGCCCAAGAAGGTCTAGCAAATCTTAAAAGTGCGATTTTGACAGTTTTGATACATTTTTTCTCCAAAATCTCAATTTTTCAAAAAATTCTTATGATTTTGATAATTCCTATTCTTATAAACCGCGTAAAAATGCATTCAACGAGTGTGTGTTGCATTATGGGAACCTTCCGGGTCGTCAAGTTTAGGTTTTCGGCTAGCCCCCCCACTAATAGTCCAGTACCCACACCTGTAAATTTGGAATATTTGTCATTATTTTAGGTCTGGGGTAGCTCCACTAGCATAATTTCGCTATACGTCTTGCTATCCCCTAAAATAACTACCTTTCGGTGGCACTTGAAAGTTTGCGCAAGATGTGGTTGTTGCAAGGGCTCGCCGCCACCCCGGAAGGGCAATCCAGACAACTGTATCCAAACATTGCCTGCACCTACCCACCCAACAAACACACTATATTATTTGCTTGCGCACCGGATTATCCCAATGAACATCTATTTTGAATGTCTTTTTTTCATTGACATCCCCCAAAAATTAACTCGCGATAAAGCTTTATCCTTTTCCAAAAATCTCATGCATCCTGGGAAAACGAACATTTTTTGCACTGGGTGAACACAGATCAACACAAAATCAAGTCAGCAAAGACGAAAATAACGTACAGAAACGGGGGGATGGCCAAGTGGCGAGATTCTCAAAGTGTGGGGTGGGTTCCTTAGCAAGCGCATCGTTGCCGGGCGACCAGGCATTTTTGGTTAATAAGCTGTTCGGATGTTGGGTTTTTTTGTTGCATCAGATTTGGGGCTCGATGAAAGGGGAAAAGTCGTATAGAGAGGCATTGTGGAACCGCAAAAAAACAGCACAAAATGATGGGGGAAGGGATATCGTTGAACTTTCGTTGTTTGGAGAGACGGATTGCAGCAATCTGAAAAGCAGGATTATTCGGGGTAATCTCAAGTCTTTGCAGCTTTACGGGTTTTTTTGCAGATGGGTTTTTGAGAAGTTCTTAATATATTTTTGGCCCTCTAGCGAATTCCATTTTCAAAATGTCGGTATGGACAAAATACCGAAAAGCGACTTTCCCCCTTAAAATATGTGATGCTCACAATTTTCAACCAACATTTTGGGCACTAAATCTTTTACGTTACATTTTCCGTGCCCAGATTTAACGTTTTATCGATTTTCGTGTTTCAAGATATTGCAAATATCGAAAAATTGCCTGCGCCGATCCTCAGTGCTCAGGTCAGTTTTCGACTGGAGCAATGCAGAAACATAAATTGAACTTAATGTTTTGGCTGTTTTAATAGATTTTCGACGCTCTATCATTACGTGTGTTGTATGTGCTTCTTCTATATTTACGATATATTAAACCCAATTTCCCAGATCCCCCGGTAGCTGAACCCAAAGAAAGGCCCTAGGGGATGTTGGTGGGGGTGGTGGTGGTGAGGGTGGCGATTTGGAGCCCCTGAAAGGCCCCGTCCGATCGCCAGATCCATTTGCCGGCCGATTTGCACCACAAACAAGAAGAGCAAACAGAAAATACAATGACGCCGAATGTGGCCGCAGCCAGGAAATCGAATGAATGAGCCTTTGAATCTTCGAATCGCAACGCCACGCTCCAAAACCCCCGGCACACGTCCCGCAGCTGGCCGATTGTGTGGGCTTTTTGTGGGTAGGAAAAAACTAGTTAGATATGTGGGGATGGTTAGGCGTACGGTATAGTAATCCTTAAGGCTATTTCGACGTTATCGAGATATTTAGAACCTTTAGAAATCGTCACATGACGGCGTTTTTGTTCCCGTCTAGCGAACATCTAGGTTCTTGGGAGCAGGAAAAACCTATTCAGATAGCTGGGCATGGTTAGTGGTACGGTATGGGAATTCTTACTATTTTTAATTTAAAGAAACGCTTAAACCATTCAAAATCCTCACATGAGATCGTTTTCCTCCGTACTAAAGCCTCCGCCCGGTCACTGGGTAGATGAGGTAGTTGGCACATTCAGCGGTTGTTGGGCTTGTTGCATCGCGGCCAGACTGGCTGCCTGGTACATCATCCATGGCTCAAAACCCGAAAAGAACGGATAGCATAGATTCGAATCCGGCTAAATGTAAAATTTTAATAAGATTATTCACAAATTTACCTTAGCAATAGTGTTATACGATAAGAATGGATTTGTTGTAGGGAAAGGTAGTTGCAGGCTAATTGCAGGCATCTGGGGCTGTTTCACCTAAAGGGCACTAATTCCCCCATCACTTCCGGTTGTTCCCACCTTCTGGGACTGTTTCGGCTTCCGGCGGGGCCGATACTTGTAGTCTGGGTGCTCCTTCATATGGAGAGCGCGCAGTCTAAAACCGTTCTCGTCAAACATTGTTCCGACTACAGGATGCTACCGTTTCGCCTCGTCGATGAATGGTCGCTTCTCAAGCTCGCTTAAATTCTTCCATTCGGAGCCCAAGCGTTTGCTAATTTCGGAATTATGCATCTTAAAGTGATGGTTTATACAATCGTTAGTTATCGCGTTACCTTCGGGTTTTCTTGAGCCATTTTTCTCCTCTGCCCTCTACTCCAAACCATAAAAGCATTCATAGGTCTTTTCACGTGGTCATTTGGATCCAGGGAAATATCCAACTGGCTGACGGATTGCAATGAATTTTCCCGAGGCGAATGACCAGGCGACATTTCTAGATTTGAGAATATTAGTTAAATGCTCTGCCATGCTACCTGAACTACCCGATTCCGCTTCATCACACACATCATCACTCATCTTCACATTTAAAGTTTCAGTCTGAGGAACTGGCAACTTTCCGAAAAGTGTCGGGATGTGATTTAGGTTTTGCATTTCCTAAAAGCCGTAATACGTAGAAAATGATAATTACCGGAAGTTCAAGCTTCCCCCGCTCCTCCTGTTTCATTAATAACATTTTATGAAACATTAGGGCTTCCATCTGAAAAAGGTTGCAGGGATGCGATGAATGAAAAGTGAGAAATGGTTTCGAAGGGGAGAGGAGAAGAATAGGCTACGCAAAAAGTGGCAAATTGTCGATTCGCGGAGGAGGGGAGTACAAGTGAGGATGCGTTTCAAGTGTTCTTATTTTGGCAAAGGAATGTCAGGGAAAGGTGGGATATTGGCACTCTTGGAAAAGAATCAAGATGTGGATGGATTTGTGGCGGTGGAGGTTGGTTGACAGGGTGGGTGACGCGTGCCTACTGTACATATCGGGAATTAGCATATAGACAAACGGCTGGGGGTAAAAACAGAAGGGAAGAAAGCCATCGTGGGAAAGGGAGGGTAGAACTGGGTATTTGATCATGCTATAATCTATCTAGAAGTAGCGGTAACTGTTGAAAGGATTTTGGAGCTATACGAAAACTTGGCCTCCAACTCAATTAGGAAGTTTTGGGTAAGGATCAAGCGGTCCCACCTGTGTTTCCCAACCCAATAAAAGTAGAAAGGTCAAGGAAGGATTGAAAGTGGCCCTCCCCCACACACAGAACCAACCGCTTACCGTCTCCCCCATTCCCTCCCATTCGCTCACCGTAATTACCGCAACACCGGCAGCGGATTTGAATGGATTTACAAGCAGGGAGGTGGCTAGGGCGGAGAGAAGATATTGTGGAGGAGATGGTTATTCAATCCGATGCCAAAGTGGGGGAGCTATTACCTAAGAAGGTTACGGTACTCTGATCGACCAAGATTTTAGATTTTCTTTTCGTTAAATCACGGAGTAAGGGCGTCATTTTAAGATAATAAAGTAAAAAACCCCAATAACCGTCATCATAAAATTGGCAAAACAAAAATTGAGCGCATGGCGCGGGGCGCAAGTGAGCGGCAATGGCTGAATAGCTACTTGAAATCGACGGGGAACAATACTCAAATTGTGTAGAGGCCGCGTGAAAATTGCCATTGTGTGCTCATCGAGAAAACAGTCTGGTTGAAAGGACAGTATTGCATTCTCTTCAATGAATTTTCTGGAGTTGGGGAAGCTTTTAAGAAATTGGGAATACAGTTGCAGCCTAATTTACGGGGGTTAAGAATACGCAGGGCTTGATTTAAACGGTGGCATCTTTCTGGCTTTTAGCGATAAGCAGCAGTAAAAGCCAATAGAAAGTAGAATACTACAGTAGTCTAGCAATATAGTGAGATAGCAAGATATCGCGCAGATCAACAAGCCGTTATGAAGTTAAACGAGCTCGCTTACAAAATAATAAACGACTGGAAAAGAATGCAAACAAATACTTTAATAGCAGTCAAGAAACCTATTGAGAGTTTGGTTGTAGGTGGGATTTGCTTAGCGAGTGCCTAAGGGGGGTTGATGGTTCTGGCCCGGCGTAGAAGAAGGGGCGGGACTTCGACCGAACGAGCCAGGGTCACTTCCTATTGGCCCGGGGTGTCTCTTTCAACAATTTTGCCCAAAACTTCTACCAAAAGCAAATCTGTGTTTTGTCATAGATTGAGATAAAAACACAGAATCCGGCATGGTAATATCCCCAAAAAGACCACAAGGACTACAGAAACTGGAAGTCAGAAATATGGGCGAATCGAAGAATTGAAGACCGGGTTAGAAACGTAATTTCAGTGATAAAAATGATTAAAATCAGTGATTAAAAACTCCAAAATAACGTGAATTGAATGACCAGCAACATCCAATACTAACCCCAAAACGGCCACATTCATATCAAATTTCAACGAGACCTGGTGATGTAACAGTGAGTCAGAACAAAAGTTATTTGCCAATCGCCGAATGTTTACCCCAAAGATTATCCAAAGTTTCGCCCTTACAGGCCACACGAACATCCACGAACACCCCCAAAACAACCCAGTCTATCCGAGTCTCGACCACTCACACCCTGGGTCCCAGCTTCTGGACCCATTGTCCATTACCCCCCAAAAATACCCCCCAGCCGTTCCTTATGGGACCCACTTCAGAAAAGAAAGAAAGCATTGCCGGACCCGTGAAATTTATTCGATCAAAAACGCTTTGTCGTTCGAACAAAACAGAAGGCGCCCGGAAAGACAGCCGCAATCCAATTTTGCGCCCACCCTTCCCGCAACCGGGGATTCGCATTCAAATTTGTTGGTGTAAGAACAAAGCGGACAGCTGGAGGAGGTGGGGAGGATCCACTTGAAGTGTTGCGGTTCGTGGGTTGAGAGTGAAATCACGAAAAAATACGTGGTGTGACGGTGCGAGGGGAGAAGCTAAGAAGTAAAAAGGCAGAGCGGAGGAGTAGAATTCTGAATTTGCATCCGAAATTAGGTAAACGATAAGACACCGCTCGGACAAAAATCCGTCCGTTCCGAAAAGCCTAGCGCTATTTGTTTATCTAATGAAGTTTTTGTGGTAATTTTTTCGAATAATTTGTTTTCGTGGTGGTGCGGATTAAGCATTATTACACAATCATACCAATAACCTGTTAATGATATAATTAATTAACCACCATCAAATCTTGCCCCCAGCAATCTTCATACAACTCCACATCCGGTTAACAGCTAACAGATTAGCCCCAGGCGCAGCATCGACACCTTCCCATGGCTGTCACCAGATACATTGTCATATCATAATCAACCCCTTGTTCACACAACTACCATACCCCCAGGCCATTCCCCCCATTCCACCCCTATCTTTGAACATCCGTGTCAATCCTAGAACCCCGAATAACGAAATGGTCCATTAGCCGCCACACAAAAAGTCACATATCCCATTGAATACCGATCCGTTTAAGGGGCTTGGCGCCAGTATCGTTTTTCTAACATCGCCCTCCCCCGTCCACTCTATCGTCGCGAGTTTGTCTTGGAAATCGGATTATCGTGTGCAGGGATGGGTCTATTGAATCGCGCGATGAATAACCGGCCCCGTTGATTCACGCCTTTCCAGCCTAGCCTCTTCTAAACCCTCACCCCTCTCTCGTTCTTCTTTCTAATACCACCACCCTTCTTTTGTGGCGGTATGCCCCGGGACAGTCTCGTACAGTCTCTAAGCACATAATTATTCGGTGCCATTGTAGGGTGGGTTGCACGCCCAGGGGGTCTAGTCATATTTGGGTGAGGAAGAAAAAGCACAAACAAGGGCATTGGTGGGGTGAATTGTCCTTTCAGGTGGTATTGTTGCCTTTGGTGAGAAAGGCTGTCATCGAGCTGGCAAGGTATGCGGTTATAGGTATAAGGTTTGGCAAAAAATAGTAACATTACAAGCAATGTTGGCGTTTTTTTATTTGACTCTGCTCATTTGATAGAGCTTAAAATTCTGAAGCGCCACATCATTCACGAAAATTTTTGTTCTTGTTGACGGGGACCAAAAAAAGGGGGCTCTTTCGGCTTCTTTCCGAGCAAATTTTCTCTAATAACGAGCGTACAGCAATTTTTTGACGATGCACCGTGCTCAGAGTTGTTTTGCTCTGTCGCGGTTTCGAACTATCAAAACCACAATTCCACCAAAAAACCACGTAAAATTGTCTGAAACAACTCTAAAAACCTTATTCACCAAACATTATAACACCACAAATCTGATACCAACCCCCATCCATCCCCACACAAAATCTCGTTATCCATTGCCAAACCCATCCCCCCCATGATCTCAATTCCCCATTGAGTTCTGATTGTGCGGCCTACTGTAATCTCGTTGGGACCTCTCCCCCCTAGGGGGATGAGCCTAGTTTTTGGCGCCGCGACTGGGTGTCGACCCCCCTTAAATATCTTCCCGGATATCCAGAGGGCTTTAGGGGTTGGAAAGGGCTGCAGATCTTTTCCGCAAAAAGCCCCAAAAACTTGGGGACGACAAAAGTTCGGCCTCGAAATGGGAGGGGATGATCCGGGGGGAGAGACAGTGCCGGGGTGAAGGGGAGTTTTCTCAAACTCGGCCGTTTCGTTGAATGGAGTCCGAGCGTCCTTTGAGGTTGCTGGATTTTAGAGTTGGAGACTATGGGTTACTCTGTTTCAAGGGAATTACCTAGAAATATCTGGATTTTTGGTAGGGACAAACTAAATAAAGCCCCGGCCAAGTCATAAATTAGAATTTTTCCGGAGAAGGAGGTGCCGTATGTTTTTTTGCAAATTCTTTCTATTGCGGTTTTTATAAAAGTTTATAGTGGACAGTTCTTGCTCGAAAACACGTTAAAATGCGCTGTAAGTTTTGCAATAGGGTCCTCTGCAATTTATTAAAAAGAATTCGGCATTGCGAAAAATTCTTTACAAGCTAGCTAAACCTACCAGCAGAAATACTGTACCTTAAGGTATTGGCGAGGGCTAGAGTTTTAGATCGTTTCCTGCCCTAGCACCAGGATAACAATAAAACTACAAATCAACAATTCCCCAGGGCTGGTGAGGTTCGAGGATGCGCCCCCGCAACAATGGACCTGATTATTGGCTAATGTTCATCCCCACCCCTTCCCTCATCCCAGCCCCCGTTATAATCATAAGCAAATTGGTCGAGTCGTCGAGTGAAGGGCACAAGTTTGACAGAAGGCCGACCGATCGGATGGGGGGTCTTCAGGGTTCTCGAGGGTGCCAATTGGATTGTGTTTCGGGATGGCAGCTCTTCCATAAGCGAATAGGGCGCGAAATAGAGGGGGAGATACCCGGAATAGAAGGGGCCCACTGTCTCAATCAACTACAGCTATATGATATGCTTCCCCTCGGGGATTCTGGATGAAGCTTAGGGGTTGGCTGCGGATTATTCGGTATTTGTACCTAAGTTTTCACGTTTGATTAAGGTCGAAAGCTAAAAATAAACACTTGAACGGCTAATAACTATGAAAAACATCAAGCGAATTGTTCCTAAGTCATACCTCTTTAGAATATATATTTTTTAACTACCGACTTTTACATTTTCCGATCGCCAGAAACATGCGTGATTTTGTTGTTTCATATCCCATACTCTTCTGTTTTACCTTCTAACATTTTTCTCAGACTTTTCTATATGTTGCCCCAGCTAACAACCCCCACTTCAAAGCCCTACAGTACCCCCGCTTTCACCCCCAAGCATAAGCGCTTGATGAAACAATACCCCCGAACTTGATTGCGCCCATTCTTCTCCTCAGAAAACTTTCACATCCGTTTCTATCCAAGCAACACACACGAAATCAAACCGAAAATCAACCATCCGAAATGACGGCAAGTTTTGGGCCTTAAAATCCAGATGTCCTGATCGACTCCAATACCCACAACACAGCATTGCGCAACCGGCGCACCAAATTAATTGGAGGGCAATCGGCGGGTAAACATTCTACAATATAGATCGCTGAAGTGGTGCAGGAAATAGAAAACGGTAGGCGCAATCGGTGGCGACGGGTTGGGGAGGGGTAATTCTCAAAGCGGTTCCGAAGGGGGCTCAGCTCGATTAGTGTTGACATTGCTAATGAAGTGGCTTGCGGCATGTGGTGTTACGGTATGCGGGTTGATTCGGGATCCCGGTGCTGTTGATGCAAATTGGTTGAGAAAATAGGGAACTGGAAACTGTCTGAGTTACAGAATCTAAACATTTCTATTAATTTTCTTTAACGGACCGCAAAGCGCAAAAAATTGACTTCTTCGAACGACTAGGTGTCGAGGATACTCCAAAAGGCAGGTCAATCTCTTCGTTATAACTGTTCAACGTTTTCATGCGTGTTTTGGAATTTTGCCTAGCGGTCGAGACCTAAATGGCTCGATCTCTTTTCAGGTTTCTTCGAAGTGAATTACAAAATTAAGGGTTTTTAGTGATATTTTAATCTTAGAATCTCTTTGGGGGTTTAAAAGCCGTTTCCGTTTTCCATTTTCGGAAACGTACCTAACAAGAAGGTAATAGGAGGGTATTTTCAGGAAAATAAATAAAATGAATCAATTTTGACCGACCGGACACAGATTCCATACCCATGCGCATCTCATGAAATTTCATTTTTGAAAGATCTAACTACCTTCGAGATTATACCCATCATTAATGCGTATTCCATGCGGTGTTACTACTATTTAATCTAACCGGTTTCATCCGAAATTTCCATTCCACTCACCCCAGTCATGGTATTTTGAATGGGGTACAAGTTGCCGTTGTGCCTATCGGATACCCGCAGCCGGGCCGTTCTTCATTCGCGGCCTGCTGGGTGCATGTGACAGGTGGCAGAAGGAGAAAAAACGGGTTTCGCGGTTTGGCCCGACCGAACAGCGGGCCTAATGGCCTGGCAGAAGAGAGAGAGGGGGAGGGATGTGTGGCGGTGGGGCTTTCAGGAGTCGTCGTTGTCAATGCCTTCTCATACCCATCGGATAGGATGGGCCATGGTACACAAAGAACCCTTAGGGGTACCGGGGGTGGTGGAGACACCAGATAAATGGTGTCTTTCGGAACATGTACCAGCTGAAAAGTTGGGGGTACCACTGGGGTGGCAACAAATTAGGGGTTGGATTTGAAACTGGGGATTTGGTATCGAAGTCCGGCTTTTTCGGGGTACTGTAGTACCTCAAATAATGTACTTTAATAACACGAAAGGTTCTGCAGCCGGCTCGGCTTCGCGACAGTATCTAAAAAATCAACTTTGTTGTAGCGATTTGCATCTGGTTTGAAACGATTTGAGTTACCCTTCCTACAAAATTGACTATAAATTAATTTTAATAGTTTATTTTCAATCTGAAAAGTGAAACAAGCAATATTTAGCCGCGATATGGTAATCTAAGAATTACAGTAATCGGGATTGACTCGGTGCGAAAATCTTTAGGCCCAATTGCATCCCCTTCCTTGTTTTGTATGTGTACATAAACTTTTCAGTGTTTATTTTTCTGCAAAATTGCATAGAAATTTATCTTTAATCTGTCACAACCATTTTTCAAAGGCATCAAGTGAAATATTCGGTATCAGAGATAGATATGTGGCACTAAAAAGCACACCGAAATACGCCCCGCGCGGCTAGATATATGCTCCATGAGAAATAAAGCTATTTGCTGGCATCACAGAAAAAGGCTGGGCTTGGAAATGGCACCAAACAAAAGGATAGAGAAAACATTTGTACAAAAAGTGGCAGACTAAAAATTTTTCTTTTCTATCGCCTTCATTTCATTTGGGCTAAGCTTCAGGCACATGCCCATCGCTTTGAAAATTTGCTTCTTGGCGATTGGGTCTTCTTTTTGGACCAACTGAACAAAGATATTTCGTAGATATTCGATCTCGCGGCCATTCTCGCCGGAGAGGAGGGTGACTTTTCCTAAAATGAAATTTAGTTTCAACTGATAGTATCTAAAACTACCTTCCAAAGTACGAATCTCCTCCTTTAACCGCTCTGACATCTCTTTGTGTTGGATATCTCGGGTTAAATTGTTTTGCTCAGCTTCCTTGACTCGATATTCCTGGCTATGTAGCAAGGATCTAAATGAAATTACCGGATAAGAAGTTAGGTATCACCGTAGTTCATTAATTTCCATATTTTTCTTGGCCACTAATTCCTCATAGTAAATATTTCTAGATTCATTAGTGAGGGGAATGTGGGTCGAGGATGTTTCTAAAAAAATAGATGTGGTTGGAAAATGTTGCGAACCTGCTGTATAATCCAGGCCACTTGCTACAGAATCAGTGCTACGGTGACGGAAACCTAAAAAATAGTTTTGACGATTTTGTAATGTCAACTACCAGAACTTTTTCTTCTTTCCACATATCGCGGTTCACCAGTACTTCTTTTCTTAACGACAGAAGTCTTTTGGTGTGGATCTCTTGGTGGAGATGATTGAAGTTGTTCGGAGCGTACGGAAACGAGGATGGATCTCAAATTGTACTAGTCATAAAGTTAATGGATTCGATACCTAGTTGCTTCCAATTCTTTTTCTTTTTCCGTTAGCAATTCAAGCGTGCGGTTTCTTTGTTTCTGGATTTCCTGTTCCATATCAGAGACTAAACAAGAGATTATAGGAAAAGCCAATGACCTTACTTTTTGCTGACATTTCCGCCCGCATATCCCTCATCAGCTTCTCCTCACCGGATTCCAATTCCGTGATGCGCTCTTTTAACGAACGAGCCGTCTGAAATAACATGAAATTGATGGAAGTCCCGACTCTCACCTGTTCGTGGTCCACTCGATCTGTTGCCGCCGATATTTCCAAATTTCGCAGCTTCTCATGCAACTGACTCACAAGATTCCTCAACCCCGATTCCTCACGGTCATTTTCGTCCTCTTGAGTGTTTTGCTAAACAATTCATGTTATATTTTTAAGAAATAATACCTTTGAACGAAGGATAGCCTCTGCTCTCAGTTTATATTTTTCATATTCGTCTTCCAAACGTTCATACTTTAGCTTTTGCTGCTGCAAATCCCGCTTGGCCCCCACAATTTCTGAAGTTGGTTTTATTGGTTGAAAATAAGGTAGCTTACCGTATACATCGATATCAGGCTTTTTGCTTCGTATCGTAGACACCAACTCCTTCAAGTTTTTCTCCAAATCTCCGAGATTTTCGCTTGTCCCTACTGGACCTTCCGTACCAAGCTTCCCAATTTTCTAAGATTTTTTAAAGCCAATTTGTATTGTTACTTACGGCTTCTAGTTCCTGTATCCGTCTCCTACTTTCTTTGGTTTGTTCTTCAGCTTCGTGCGCCCTTTGCTAAAAAAAATTGTTTCCAAAATGCCTCCGATCCTTACCTCAGAAATTGCAGCTTGTTCGCTAAGAGCCACAAGTCTGTTCTCAAGGTCTTGACGCCTAAATGAATTTTGGTTAGTCTTTTCTATCCCTCACCTTTGCTCCTCTTTCTTAGCTTCAACCTGCGCGTGAGCCTGTGCTTGATTTCCGGCTGCTGCTAGTTCCGACTAAAAATACCTTTGATCCGTATTTCCGAGCTTGAGCCCTACCTTTAATTGTTCTACTTCTTTCTGCAAATTTTGCGTTGTCGGAGTAATGGAAGCTCGGCCCTTCCATAGATCAAGTTCCGTTCGAAGCCTAAAGGCATTATTGCTTGTGTTTTTATGAATACTTACTTTTCAACGAGCCCTTCTAACTCGGTTTGCCTTTTTTGTGCATTTACTAAAGCGTCAGTTGCTTCTTTTCCAGCCTTGCCACCAGTTTCATTTAGCTGAAAGGCTCTCATTTCGGCCAATTGGAATCTAAAATACCTCCTTTTGCAATTTGTCTGCTCTCGACTTTTCAGCGGCATATCTTTTTTGCATCTCAGCCAATACACTTCCATGATCCTGGATTTCGATCTCGCGATTCGCATCCATTTCGCGTATGGATTGTTTTAGCGCCTGTATAGGATTTAATTAAATGATTTTGGCTCCCTTACTTTGTATTTTTCAGCAAATTTAATTCCTTTCGCCACCTGCTCCTGCTGAGTCTCAAATTGAGCTGCCAATTTCGCGGCTTTAGCTTTTTGCTTTTCGACTTCTTCCTATAAGTGCTGAATTTAATTTCCCTAGGGTAAAACCTACCATTAATGCCTTTTTATCAGCAATAAATGCTTGCTCTTTTTTCATTCCTTCAGTAGAAAGTTCCGCCAGGGCATCCTTTAGGTTGGCTATTGACGTATCGGTCTCCTATATTTCCAGAACTGACATTTTCAGATAGGACTCACACTTCCACTGCTGTCTCCAGACACCGTCTTCAACGCGTTCACTGCCTTCTCCATCGCCTTCTTCTCAGCATCAAGGTTTTTATAAGCCTGGACGACATCTATGAAATTCGATAAATAAATTATTAATTTGTATAATACTAACCTTTCACTTTTTGTTGATAAAATAGTAATTCCTTATTAGAGGCGGCGAGCTCTTTCTTAAGAGCCTCCACGCTGGCCATTACCTGAAATATTTATTTTTGGGTTATATGAGACATATTGAGGGAATGGAATGTGGGGGTCTATTATGTGGTGTGTTGGCTTACGACTGGAACGGCTGAGGGCTGGCGGATTGCCAAGGGGGCAGCTACGGTAAGGGATCCACGGAAAAGGGAAGACTGCTTGCATCTTGCTACAGTATATCGAATTAAGGGTTATTGGGGATGGATACTAGGAAATCGTGTGTTTAAAAATTTTTCGCTTTATTTTTGGATTGTAGAATTTAGGATTATTTTCTACAAATTAAGAAAAGTATCTGGCATAAAACCCATGCTTTTCGATAGATTCTAGGGCAACACAAGGTAAAAAATAAGGTAGCAGTAGCCTGGTGATAAAAACGAGAATCTTAAATCGCATCTTAAAAGTCTTTAAGGTGTATTTCGTTTACCTTTTTGATTTCTGCAATTGAGGATTACTTTATCGAAATTATTAAATATTTTATTTGATTCCTCTATCAATTTTGATAGGCTTTAAAACATATTGGAGCAACTGTCATGCTCCAAAACACATGATTCCAAATTTTGACCCCATTTCGTACTCAAATCCCCGATTCTACAGATGGCACAAAGCCGGCAGAGCCAGTTTATTCGCCAAGATGCCACCCCCGGATATAAACAAACCGTCCATCCCGGTCATTTCCTTACAGTCCATTTGATTTCATTCCATATGCCCCCATCTACCCCATTTCCAGAGACCACTTTTGATATTGCCGGAAAAGGTTGATCGGATGACAACAAGCTTCCCGGAAAGGAAGCATGAAAATTGCGCAAACAACCCCAGCCACCCACCACTGCCATAGGGCCGGCATTTGGTGATCCGATTTCGCACGGGGCTTTTTTCTACGTTGTTGCGGCGTTTTTGGAGGAAATCCGTTCTTAGTTTTGAAGCGGCGGCAACAATTGGTATATAGAATTGCTTGGGAAGTCTAGACATGTAGATTTTCTTAGTTGATAATGGGGTAGTCCGGGGGTGCGCTATGTTTTGTCTAGATCGTGGGTTGTGATAATATCGGAAGTGGATGGTCCTTGTAAAATCAGTCTACTATAGCTTCTCTCTCAACCGCTCTCTTCCTCTTTTTCTCCCTCACAGTTTAATTCTACAACCGATTGATTTCCATAAATTTCTTCCCTCCATCTTCCCCCTTCGCTTATTTTTCACCCAACGATAGTCAATAACATCCGATGATTCACAGCAATAAAAATGGCCGGTCAGTTCCTTCCAACGCCGTTCCATTCCAAATGCTCCTCCATATCGTAGTTTTCAAAGGTCAGCCTCTTTCAAAGATTCTAGTTACCCCCGCTACTGGTACGGCTTGCGCACCGTTCTAGAGTAGAGGCCCCGAAAGGGCAATTACCATTTGAAGAAAGTGGAAAGGGGAAAAGACGAATTCGCTTGTAATCTGAGATGTTCAATAGGATTACACCCCTCAACAGAAGGCCAATCTGATGGCACGGTGCCGGCCACTTCGGAGGAAATTCGAGCTATAAGGAGGTGGGGTCTTCAGGAAGGGTGGAGATTGTTTTTTGCTGCTAAAATCATTTCTGAATTTGGTAAACATAGCTCAAGTTTGTTCATTTTTGTTATTTTTCTCGCAAGTCTTGATTGATGGCCATTTATTTATACAAATGCGAATCGGGATAGCATGTAAGAGAAGGATGTAAAGTACAAACTAGACACAAAGTTTTTAATGTTTTGGTAGTTTTTATAGCGATTCCAGATTTGTATGCGTAACATCACCGTGTTGTGGCGGTGACATGATCAAATAATGATTTTATTTCAATAGGCCTCGCAAATTTGCATATCAATTTTCTATCTATCGTAATACATATTTCCCGTTAAGAATACGCTAATCTTATTCAATTGCACGTCCTGCAGCACAACTAATTAGCCTCCACTCCAAAAACCGCTCGCGACATCAGTGCCGGGTGCTTGTAAATTCCTCCGATTTTTATAGCCGCAAAGGGCGCGGCTGATAGTTGCGGCGTTTTGAGGCCAAAAACCTCCAAAAACATTGGGTTTTTGCGGTGTTCCATGTCAAAACCTAATTCACTTGATCTTTCGATCATTACGCTAGAATCTAGCTACAAAAACGTGAAGCTGTTGACAATCGGTGGCTCAATTTGCTGACCCGACCCCATCCTGCTTCCTTTCGCCCCCCCATCGTATTTGCCTCCCGATCTCGATCGCTTAGCGTCGTTTTTTCGTTCCGCGAAGGAGCTGTCGTAAAAATAGGGGCTTAGTGGGCGGCCGAACATGGACACTTGATCAGTTGGAGGCCATTTTTGGGGTCAAAAACATGGGCTGGAGATTGACTTGGAGTGATTTTCGTGTTTCGACAATAGAAATTAATTTTTAGAACTGTATTTTAATGCTTTTTTGGTCCATTCGAAGTTTTAATTGTAAATATAGTTTTTTTTTAACTATCATCTATCCAGATCAGGAATTAATGGTGTCAATCAAGATTTTATTACGTCACAAAATTCCTCATCCATTGTGGCAGATATCTTTAATGATTGTAAGATTTAGCATAAAAAATGTCTTTATTATCATATTTTTGATTTTTCTAAGTTCATAGACTTTCTGTTTCTTGCTGTATCATTGGAGCTATCAACCCGATATTACCCTAATTCCACGTCAACACCACTGTAAAGCTGTCAATCAAAATTTTAGGAAGCCATAAAGCTCCAGGCAAAAAAATTTGGCGTTTTATAGAATTCGTGACCTTCCTAAATTCTGCTAAGTTGCAAAACCGTCTTTACTTTTAACCACCCACTCCACCACAACCCACAGTCGTTTTTCCATCAAAAAGGGCGTTGCCGCGTGTGTGCCAGATTGAAACACGATTCCTGGGCCCCCTCTCCAATCACGCCCCAATGGTCAGTATTCTCCGAGGGGTCACCGACCCTCCGTTCTCACCCTCCGTGCCCGGAAATAGCTGTAGATAGCAGCCAATTTTTTCGTGCAGACTGTGGACCCGGCCTTTGGGGCATTATGGACCCCCTTAGGTCCCAAGCCCTTTGGATCGGACCCCTCGTCTCATCCTCCCTAGGGCCCATCAGGTGTTCCCATTTAGCCGCCATTGAAATGTGGGCCCTGGTTTCTGTGATTTCGGGGGGTAGATCCCACGGGCGTTTGGTTTTGGTGTGTTGTTGCAGTAGGGGGAAGCCCAGAAGATGAGTTTAATCCGCGTTATCTTCAGTTTATCGCCGGTGATCGGGAGCTTATCTTTTTATTGAAAAACGGGAGATCTTCAAGCTGTCATTCTTGGCCAAGCGTTCGGTTTGGTTGTGTGGACTTGTTTATCCTCAAAAAGTCGTCTAGGTTTTAAAAAAACCAAAAAGTTTTTCTAAAGTTTAGAAAAAGGAATTTACTTAAACTAAAAATCCCTTTTCCAACATGACCGTGACATTGTCGTTTTAAGCCTATCACCATTTTCTTGATTTTCTTACTTTTTTACGACTCATGAAAATGACTTCTCGGAGCAGGTTTTCTTATTCAAATTTGCGAAATCTGCCGATTACATAAGTAATTTTTATACAAACCAAAGACATTCCAAAAAAACTTTCAAGCCTATCTTTCAAACATTTACGACTTTTTCGATTTAAGTTATTTCCTAAGATAGAGGCTGTTTTTCTAATCCTCAAGAATTTGAGTTTATAAGGTTAATTGTGCTCAGCAACCGAAGATACCAATTTTCCACAAAATTTCTAAAATTATGCTTTTCAATATTTTAATCCTATACCTTTTCGAATTTTTTACGACCCATGTAAGCAACTACCCGATGCAGCTTGGCGAAGCGTTAGGCGGGCGGATTGTTTGCCGCGGAGCTGGCCGTTTTACTACCGAGGTGGCACCTCTTGGGGGCTGTGTGGGGGCTTATCGGCATCCCGAAATGTGTTAATTGTATGGTTATGGCCATCCGAAACCCATCCCGGGCCTTCCCTTTGAACCCGCTGATTTCATCTCCATACTGAGTTGTCGGCCCGGAACTACCGATCATCCATTTTAAGCGCGGTTCTTGGGTGATGAGGCTTGCGGTCGGGTTGTTGAGTTTCCCATATTTTATATATATATATATCGAAGGTTTTTATTTTATTTAATTAGTCGGTCCGGATTCTTATAGAGGCAGAGGGACTACTGATGGAAGGAGTTATATATTTTTGTATACCTTTGCCGTACGGAAATAAAGAAATGCGAGGCGAAGACTCAATTTTTCCACCAATTTCTCGGTTCTTATCACCTTAAACTCATAGATAAACAGTTCATACCTCTTATTACCTAATATTAATCGTGTGTTAGAAAATACTTTAGCGTCTTTCTTGTCGTAAGTAAATTTATTGCTTGATTTTCGGTGAGCCACCTCCTTCTGGGCAAACACTGCTTTTTTGACCCCTTCCGGCACCTACCAAATTGTAGCGACCAGCGCATTATACCCAAGTTTTTGAGCTTTACCTCCCTCTCTACCACCCTCGAACCACATTCTGTCAAAGATTCAAGCTTCCCCCACTTTTCACTAACACCTTTTTCACCTTCCCACGCCTCCCATAACGACCCCAGGTCACGCGCAATCTCTCCGCATGGTCAATTCCCCCTTCTCCCCAATTTTTTCCAATTCCAATATTCTTAATTGAGGCCGACGTAGCGATCGTCGTCCGCAAGATGTACTTACACACATCCAGACAGACCGAACCTTTTCCTCTCTTTTCTCGTTGCACTAATACCCCCGAAATTGTGCAAATAAGATTCTAGCAATGGGTTGGTGGGGAGCGCGGGGCGACCTTCCGCGTCTCATCTATCTAGACGGCTGCTTCACTAACAGTGTTAATGTTATAAAAATTGATAATGTTCTATTGAGGTTACTTGAAAACCTTTTGCTAAACGATTGCTTGCTTTTGCTAGACGATTGCTTTTGCTACAAATATTTTATTTATGCTATTTTCGGTTAATTCAACTTCTTCGTTGACTTTTGACACTGTATCAAGAGGTGTTAATGAAATTTGGGAATGCTATGTCTAGAAGATGTATAAAACTAGCTTTCCACATCATGTTTCGAAAGTTTTCCGTTTAGCACGACTAGTTTGTATGAAGTTATTTCGAGCTGAAACTGAAACTCTCATTAGGTGATATCTGGTTCGGCACGATTTATAACTATATCCTCAAACTATATATTACTAGTAAATAAAGTTCAAAGAGTCGACAATCATCCTCCATTCCGACCCCTCAATTCTCACTTAATTAGACGCTTGTCTAAAGACCCGCACCCCACGGCGACCTTTCCCATGTGCCTATTTGTTGTGTGCTCCTTTTCTTCTTCTTTTTTGCTTTTTGGAATGGAGATGGGTCCCCCCATCGGGCCGGAGCCGATGCTGTGGCCCTGGCCCCGCGCAATATCCGGAGGTCCCGATTGGCCACTAACACCATTTCGAGAGCGGCCCTCCGCTCGCTAATATCCCCACCGAGATGAGAATCCCACAGCTCACCCCGATGTCTAAAGCTGTGTTGCCCTTCGATCTTTCGTTGCATGTTTTTCAGCTTTTTGCAAAATCCGAAAGGGCTCTCTTTGAAGTTTCAATTGTTAGTTTTAAAATAATATATATTCAAATATTTGATAAGTTTTTTCAAATTGGTCTTATTTTATTTGTGGATTTCGATACCTATTTTATTGTTTTTATCGATGTTACAAGGACAAAAATATTGACTAACGTGCCTCTGTAAAAAAGTTTTTAAGTTATTTTATTAATCGTAGCATTGCTTCTGCATCCATTCGTTTTTTAACTTCGCATCGTTCTTAATTATCCGTTTGTCTTCTTCTTCTACATTCCTCAAAGTGCTCCTCCCCTTATTAACCTCCTCCTCCTACTCCCCGAACTACCTCCGTCAGCCACCCGTCATAAATGACCTTATTATTATAATTTTTCACCACGCTCTCATTCCGCATCTTCCTTTTGATATTCCTCTTCTTTATGTCTTCGCAACAAAAATTGTGTTCTCCACTCATACAGCTCGATTTTTTTCGTCAAAAATTGATTTTAGTGATGCGTTCATGTTGGAATAATACGGAATTCGAGAGGGCCTTCCAACAATATTTACAAAATTCGACATGCTACCAGAAATCGCTGGAGTTTATTGTGGTGATCTGAATTTTTGTATTTTTGATTTTGAACCTTTAGCCTCCTTCACCCGAGGCACCAACTCAAACGCCGTTGACCCCATTTATGCTTCAATGTTCTGCACATCCGGAAATTCGTGAACTAGCGGAATATATGCAACGGTTGATCTATGTTGATTTGCCTCGGGAAGTGGGGTGTTACACAAAACCGCAAAAGTATATTTTTAATTTTTATGGCTAGCTCTGTTTAGTGCTGGTGGGATCCCGGATTGGATCAACATTATCATCACCATGGTATTTTTCTTGATTGGTGTGATTGGGATTGTCGGGAATTCGTTAACTTGCTGGGTAGGTGATTTTAATATTAGTTGTTAGAGAGTTTAGGTCATTTACAAAAATCGCAATCTTCAAACGCATACCAACTACTTTTTGGCTTCATTGGCAATGTCGGATTTTATGCTGATATTGGTTGGAGTGCCGTTTGATATAATTCATAGCTGGTTTCCCAGTCAGCCTCCAGATATTCCCGGATATTGCGAATTTACGAGTAAGTATTGTGTTCTATATTTATTAAACTAAAAATCAGGCACAACCATCTCATTTTTCACCTTTGTCTCTATCTTGACCATTGTGGCGCTTACGGGTGAACGCTACGCGGCTATTTGCAAGCCTTTCAGGTAGGTATTACTGCTTCGGCCTGTAATAGACACTTTTAGTATTCTTAAATTCAACAAACAACGGGTTCGACGCGTCATTTATGCCATATGGATTTGCGCATTTATTCCATCGGTCTATTTGGGAATGCAGGTAAAATACATAAAATTACACATATAATTTTTATTTAGTATAAGCAAGTAATGGAAGATTTCTGTGGTTACAACCGGGCATTAGGGGTTGGAATCGGGCACTGTGACTATGTGACATCACCTGATATGATCTTTAGATATCCGTTTGAGGTAAGCAGATTATATCTTTCAACGAATTTTTGGTTTAGTTGGCCATGATCCTAACATTTGTCCTTCCGATGATGTTCATATTTTTCTGCTACGTCCGGATACTCCATACGCTAAATCGGAGTTATATGGCTCGGCACCCTACTGTGCATATTCCACTTGGTCCGGCGGGGACGGAAAATGGGAATCAAGTTCATAGAAGCAGCATACGTGAGAGTATTAGGGAAAAAGTAAGTGCAAAATTTATGATTAGTGTATATTACGTCAATGCTATCATTAGTAGGTTTCACTGTTTTTTTTAGTTCTCCGGAAAAGACCGAAGTAATCGGGATTCTGTGAATCAAGTGGTGCTCCATGTCCACCATAAAAATAGTATTCAAGTCAGCCAGCAAGCACATCGGATGGTCATCAAAATGCTTGGTATCCTAACTAGTAAAATTCAAATTAGAATTGTATTTTTATAGCTACCGTGTCCGTGACATTCTTTATTTGCTACCTCCCCTATCATCTCGAGCGGCTTATCGCCCAATATATCAAAGAGCAATGCAAATCAAGCATGCTTTGCCTGCTACTTTACCCGATTACAGGCGTGCTTCAGGTAAATTAATCCTATATAACTAAATATACTTCTTCTATTCTAGTACGTCTCCGCAACGCTAAACCCAATTTTCTACAGCGTCATGTCCGAGCGATTCCGCGTGGCTTTCAAATCCACGTTCAACAAAATCCTCCGGAAACACAAAGAATACAATAACATTGTGAGATTAAATTAACATTACCTATATTTCCATAAGTCTTTGCCCTGTATATAGCTGGATAAATTATGTTCGGGAAAACGGGGGAGACGCTACAGCGTTTAACTTTATACTCACTTTTCCCTGGCTGAGGGGCCTAATTTCAATTTTTTCAACTTTTTTTTCTGGTTTAACTATCTAACCCATAGGGCAGCATGACGCAGCGTAGGCCGATGCTTGTTGTGGAACGTCGTGGAACCCGTTGTACCGAAGTGTTGTCAACAGAGACGCCGGCTTTGTAAATGTTCTTTTCCGTTTCCGCTTTTTTGTCTCTCCGGTGTTTTTCCTTTTTGCCTATATCTTGAATTGCGAATCTCAGCACCAACAATTCCTCACCAACTACAAGCTATTAATTTTCCGCCTGATTTCCGGCTTTTCATTTATCTTTACTAAACCCGGGCTTTGAATTAAAAGAAATGTAATGCAAATAAGCTCTGTGTCTTATTTTTCTATATTTTTAACCTTTTATTTCCGTTGTATTGCATGCGGTGCTAAATTATTTCACAATCATTATATCACTGATGTTTACCAAAAGTTTCAAATGCAATAAAATCATGCGGTTGTAAATGAGTGTCACGAATTCGAGAAAAGCACTTTAAGTATTAGATGGAAATTGCAAAACACGAAACATCTTTCCTGATTTTATTGACGAAAACAAAGAAAGACAAACGTATAAAAAACTCGATAATAAGAGCTCTATTACAATATTCTAATCAACGAATCCATTTCGAAATCCTCCGCGTTATCGCTAATCTCCTGACGCGTACCCGTACCCAGCTTTTCCAGATTCACAAAGTTCATCACCTTTTGCTAATTTTTTATTACTAAAAAGTGGTTTTTTAGTACCTCCATATTAGGATCAGGTCCATTATCCATTATAAATACCGGGAACTCTTCTTCATAATCTATTGGCTTCACAGTAGATACGAATTCAGGAATTCGCCTTCCCGCTTTTTTATATTCTTCGATATCGACCTAAAATCGAGTTATTTAACCTAGTTTCCATAACCTTTGGAGTCAGATCTTCAAAATTCGACATTTTCAATAATCGGCTTAACCCTTCCCGATTTAATTTGTCCATGTCAAGCACTTTGTGTATGCGACCTAAAATGTTAATTTATAACGGGTATGTAAATATTTAAACCATTGGTTTCCACAAAATTTTCTGGTTCTTCATAGTTCCGTTTTTCAGGGGCGGCCAGAGACAAGGGGATAGCCAGTTTTCTATTATCAATTTCGAGCCGTGGGCCATTCGTCCATTCAGAAGTGAGGTTAAATGAGTTAACGGCACAAACCGCACAACTTAATAAAAATTTTGATATATAGGTAAAAATTGTAGCTTACCGGACATTTACAATAATTGGTGGCATTCTAAAGCTCTCATCATAGCCGGTGTAGTGTTCCGGAATATCGAGGTTGACCAATGTGCGGTCCTAGTTGTATATATTTAATGGTTCGTAGCTATGAAAATACCTCATTATGGCCCTCATCACTAATTGTGCATTTTAATCTATACATTCGTTCGCCAATTTCACCTTCTGGAAATGATACTAATGGTCATTAGTATAGGATCATACCACTATCACCCCAAATTTTTGGAGGTGTCCATCTTAGGCGCATATGATGTAAAATCTGCTCATCATGCCCAAGTTTGGGACTGAACTTAGTAATATACAATATTCCTGCTTGATACTTACCCAATAACAATTCTGTTTGCAGCAATCCTCAATCGATCCACATTACTTGGCGGTGCTTTTATTTTGAAAATCCGTACATACTTCGGGTGCTTAGGGTCGTGCTATAATTGCCGTTTTTTCAATGTTCACTGTATTTTTTCCTATACTAATTGCGTTTTTGTTGCCTAAAAATTGCGTTATTTCTAATGTTTATTCATTGCATACAAAAAATAATTGCTGACCTCGGAGTTAATGGTGTAGTCCGGTCTGGCCAACACCATATTATGGAAGAAGATTGCGGGCAGCAGCAATAGAGCAAATTCAGAATGGAACATTCTAGAGGTAGGGCCTATTAATTGTTTTTTGTTGGGCCCATAATGGAAAGAAACAGCCGCAAATTAGTGAAAAACATATGTCTTAATGCTAAATTTTATTGAGCATTGTTAGGAATTCATAAAGTTAATTCGCAAAATAAGGGAATTGATAATTATTAGCTATAGAAGTTGAAGTCACATGAATTGGTTAAATTTAAATCATTGAATTAGCATAAACAAGCTAAAGCAAGGACTGAATTCGCATCAATGCTCTCTCTTAGAAGCCAAATTTCGGGTATTGTCAAGTATTAAAAGCATTGCCTTGGAAAAAAGTTAGATGTGAACTATCAAATCATGAATTCGAAGACAAACTAAAATTAAACAAATTTAGGGATTTTTTAATTTTCATAAATAAGCGAAGGCAAGGGTTGATCGTGCAATGACTGACCGAATGGATTTCAATCCGCGCAGCACTGATATGATATGCAGAACGGGATTTGGAGGATATGCAGATCCGTCCACCATCCCACCTCTATTCAAATTTCGAGCAGCAACACCAATATTTAAATCTACTACTTACTTGTAACAAAATAACATGCTTCAATCCTCAAAAATGCCATTATTAAAACCAGCGCGCTACGGCAAACTACTCAAAAAATCGTCAGGGAAAAGCACAACGCCTTTTTGCTTTTCTGCCAATTTTCAATGGCATGATCTAATAGCCAGCTTAACAATACTCTGTAATTAGCTTGCAATAAGTGCTGTCTTCAAATATCAACCCTATAAAACAAATGTCTATTGGACTCAGACAAGTCGGTCTTTATTTGCAGAATTATGCGACAATCTTTGGGGAAGACATAAAAAAGGGCGAAGAAAGAACCGAATGAGCGAGTGACCGGTATTCAACCAAAAAGTTTCTATTACCGTCGTTAGGAAAATTCGAGGGTACCAAAGGGTGAGGGGGCCGCAGAAGTGCAAATTATGTCCGCTGAATGTATACCAAGAAATGTACGCTCCGAGAAGCGGGAAATAGGGCACCAAATTAAGGATTGACTGGCGAGTAAGGCAAGAAAGTAATTGAGACCACGAAAGTATTATCACAAATGCGAGAATCTCGTAAATTACCGGTCAAGAAAGGTACTGTGGCGTAGTGTATTGCGGGGCGTAATGTTTTAGAATTCTCCACGTGGTACGACGACCCAGTCAAGATCTGTAAAAGTGAATATTTTTGAATGTGAATATGAAATACATTTGAAAAATGGTGCATCTCATACACTAATATCTGCTTCTTAAATAAGCTTTCTGCCAATTTTTAGCAAAAATTTGAGGAATATCAAGTAATATTTACGACTAAATAATTCGGATTCCCCTTAAATGTGAACTTACATTCGGCAGAAATCAATTTGCTGACCACCAAGCCAATAAAGCTCTTCTTGTCGTCAACCCCAACGTTATCACCCATCGGCCGGAAATACCTGTAAAATTACCAATAAAATGTCACTTCTAAAAAAATTACCATCCCATATGTTGCTTACAAGACTGGCAGACGCAAATTTGCCAACTCATCCCCGGAAACCACGTGGCGTGGGAATGGATCTACAATTTGCATTTAAAAATCGGATCTAATGGTTTCTAGGCATAAAACTTGTAAAATTAACTCACATCACCATGAAAGTGTAGATTCGCTGTTTTGGCTGCAACCACATTGAATTTCTGACCTTTAATGATCTTGTAATACGTCTTAGTGCCGACCACCTACCATCCGGGTTCTCAAACAAATTGATCACATAATTTTTCCCAAACATATTCATCGTATGTTCATTTAACGTCATTTCCGGGCTCGTCCTATTTAGCAATTCTGTATCTTTAGTGATAGAACTTCCGCATTTTCGGCATAGCAGCTCGACAGGAGCGCCTAGACGCACGCATTAACTCTAATAAATTTGAACCACCTTCAGTTAATGTAAATAGGGCTAAAATAGAGAATAATCGGGAGGAAACCATTGTTACACTGAAATGAGGTTGACCCCGTAAGTGGTTCACATACTTTTTAGTCGCCCAGCTGGCATATGGAGAGCAACTGCTACGGTGTAGAGGGCAGGGTATAGGAGATTATAGCGCAGATGCACACACAAAATGGAATCTGGTGTATGAATAATCATCTCTTAAAACCTGGAAAAAACGCTAGATGATAAAAGACAATTGGCAAAAGCCCAAACACCAAATAGGAATTTTTGGCGTGGCCAGATGTGCGTTGATTTTTCACGGGAATCGCTAATAAGAGCAGGTGCAATCGTAGCCAACACTTTATGATTGAAAATAGTTTCCTTCATTTATGCGGCTACGAATTTTGCATTATTTATGTATAATAAGAATGTTAATGAAAATTTGTCTAAATAAAATGCGCTTCTATTTGTAAGGTATATTTTGAAAATAAAAAACTATCAAATCCACCGAAAATGAGTTGGTTCTAGCTAGTTTTTTTGCGTGTGAAGTGACTTTCAACTGCTTGTTTTGATAGTTGCCAGACGACGCATATCTGAAAAGTCCTGATGTGGTTTTTCAACCCTGATAAATCCGTATTTTTTGGACTTCTACGTGGGGGAGGTACGGTCCTTTTGACTCGATTTACCCGCCGGCTTCAACTTCACATTTCTGCCGTGTCGATGCCGTAAAGAGGCTAGACGGGGGAAGGCGATGAGTGTTTCAGGAAACGGTTTTCCGCACCGCTGTTGTGCCTCATTTCCCCCAGGCGACTTCGAAGGTGTGAAGCGACATCGGATACCTACCTATTGGATTGAGCGGGGGCTGTCCACTTTGCGCACCCTTACGGGCCCTTCCTTTTGTAATGGGCCTAGCGGGGAGTTGTCTTCTGATAACGAAAGGGCTTTTCAGGGTTTGAAAGGGTTAGGAGCGTATTTGTCTTGGTTGGTTGTTCGGAATTCCAGTGATTCAAAGTCCGTAGTTTTCTGGGGTTGCATCTATACATTTATGCTAATTTTTGCATCTTGTCTGCCATACTTCACACCTCAGAATTTTTGAATGCGCATGTTATGCGTTTTCAGATAATCGGCTCTAAAGAGGCGAATTTTGCATCTGCTCAGAACACTTAACAAAATCGACACTTGCGGCATTTGATTTCTAAAACAGCAAGCGTTCAATATTTTTAGAAATACGGTCTATTTTGATGGTTTTAAAAGTGTGCGTTACGTCGCAAACCGCTTGAAAATATATGGACGGGTTGACATGGAAAACTGTATTTATTCTGTTTCTCTTTTACCCCATATATTCACCTTCCCCCGTTGCATAGCATATCCAGATCTAGTCTGCTGGTCACTTCATTTATTGTCCATACCCCCCACCCCGACATACGGAACAAGCATATCTCCTTGCTGGATCGTCAGTCCGTTCCCCCCACTCTTCTTTTTCTTCTCAATACCCCCCACCCGATCTACCACAAAAAACCATGCCCGCTCCCGGGCTTGTTCTCCCCTTTAACGACCGTTTTGCGAGGCGCAATCCCGAAAAATTCTGCGCATCTGCCCTACCTGTCTGACCAGCTTTTTGCGGTAGCCATAAGCCGCGTCCGGGGCATGTGAACTCTGTTTGCTACCATAGCAACGCCGATTTTTTATGATACATTACGCGATAAAACGTCTGGAGTGGGGAAACTACGATTGAAGAGAATGGCCCGCCGAAACGTTGCTGATTCCCGTAATTGCGCGTACCCCCACGCGGTTTAACACCCGTCCACGGGTTGTTAGCGGGTCTAACGGGTTAAGGATTAGCAATTCTAATTATGATCGGTGGGCCCGAGTAGGGTGGGTCGTTGGCGCGGGGCCCACGGCAGGCCCTTACCGGAAATTAACCCCTTCGCGCTATATAATTTGCATGTGGTCGGTCTGTGTGTGTGTTGCGAATGGCGGCCGTTGTTATTCCACCTGGCCGTTGGCAAGGTTTTGCAGTTATAGTTTCCGATGTGTTTATGATAATGGTATCTGGTTTATAGATATTTTTGGCAACTTTGTTCTTATGCATTTTTCTAGATGTAAAAACTCCGTAGAAAGCTGATGCGAGACGTTCAAAAAGGTTTCGAAATTACATTTTAACGAAAAATTTTGATATTTAAGCCTTACCATCATTTTCAATTTTCTATCGATTGACATAGGTTCAATAGCAATTTTGTCTCTAGTTGAAGTACATGTTACGAAAATTTATTTTTCAAATAAAATTTCCCAACCGTTTCGAAATTACTTGTCCTAGGGTAGCGTGCCGAAAATCGCAATAAAGAACTCTTCCAATATAAATTTCGTTGAGTAAAATTTATTCAAAACATATGCTTTATGGAGAAAAACAAGTAATTTATCCTTCCGCTTCTTCCGGTAGAATCGCAATATATTTTTGGCTGGGCGGGGGAATCCCCCAAGCATCGCGCACCCCGGCGATATGCGCACGCCCCGCCCCCATCTAGTCACAACCACCAAATTCTTCTATTCTCTCCTGCAGCACCCACCGCAGATCAGTCACTATTATTTGTATAGTTTCTCATATTAACCGCTACTCTTCAGCTCTTTTACCGTAGTTACAACCTTGTTAAAGGTTGCCCTCATCATGATTCGAAATTTTGAATTTTTGTGTTTTTCAATTTTACGCCTTTAAGTCTAAATTAAAATTTATTGACCACTGCTAGTGTTAGCGAAGAAAAAGCTGGCGGGCTATTCTGGAGGCCAATGGGCCGGACGGCTGTCCACCTGAGCCACAATTCGCGCTAATTAGCGGCCTGGCTGGCGGTTGGGGGGTGAGGAGAGGGCATCCGCTCGGGCCACCTGTGAACGTTGTTTCTATTCTCGGGTGCACGCTTTTGCCGTGTATGGTATTGATTCGGGATTACTGTCTGGTTATACCGTTTGAAATTTTATTTTATGAGCCCGATTTCGAACAATTTTCACGTAAGGCGCATTTTCTCAAAATTGTTATTAGCGGTTCAAGCCCTTATATTCGTCATTTTTTGTTTCTCTTTTTTTTATGCCATTTCGTCGCTTCTAGACGTTTTTAGATTATTCTCGATTGCTTACCTAAAAATTAGAATTCGATTTTATTTAGAATTCTTCTCCACTTACCCACAATTCCAGAATCCTCTGAATGCCGTCCAGAAGATGATGTTACTTCTCCTTCTTCTCCTCTATGCCCCTATACACGGTAGGTGTTGCGAGTCTCCTCCCGTCGCCCCGTAAAAGCTCACCCTCCCGCAACCCGGAATGGCGTTGACATAATTTCGGTTTCCCGACCCTGTGGGGGTATGCTAAAAGCGATGCGTAGAAACTCTTTGCCCCCGGCACCCCTTTCACTTATGGTTATCCTCCATTAACGGAGGTTAGGGGGTAGTTGCAAATGGATGGGGGCAGAACTGGAAATGTTAACGGGTCCAGATCGGGATTTTTGATGTGGCACTGGTGGAAAGGTTTGGAAAATGTTGCAAAATCGTGGGAAGCTTTTTTAACTCGATTGTTAATTTTACAACCTTGATCTCTCCACCACGTGCTGATTCCTTTCGGGATGCTTTAGCCCGTTAGGACTAGGATGGGAGGCCCATCTCGTGGTAGCGTGCCCTGAGGGTGGCCCCGCGTACGGGTCCTCCCACTGTTTATCCGCCATCTCAAGTTCGGTTCCCCTTGAGCACACCGAGCCTAATCATTCCGACCCGTCTGACATTCCCGTAGTCCGGGGTACACCAAAAAAGGGGGGTGTGGATAGTATCAGGAATCCGATGCAATATTTTGAATTTGTAGGACTGAATCATACTTTGTAAAATAAATGGGGAATTTCGAAAATCCTCAAATTTGTTAAGTTAAGGAAATGTGGAACATAGACATAGAAAAATTGGCAATCCTCTTTGAATCACCTACAATTTAAATAATTATAGACATAACGACAGAAAATTATGGAAACCTCTTCGGATCGGTGAATAATTATGTAAACGCCCCTTAATTTGCTCCTTTTCATCCAACAATCCTACATCTATAACTTCTCCCCTCCTTCCACAACCCCAAAAGGTACATGACCCAATTCCTCCCCCCTCCACCACCCCCTCCGGGTGTCACATTAATCATCAGCCCCAAAAAAACGTGAAGCCCAACCACCCCCCAACCTGTTCAAATATTATAATCAATCACTGAAAATGATCGATCATCTACCAGCCGACTTTTTCCCCCCGTTCAATCCCGGCTCGAGGCCATGGCCAAACAAGGCAAATAGGCAAACACCTCATACTAGGGGGTCCGGTCCTGAGAAAGTGAGGTGAGGGGCGGTGAACAAGGGCCTTCGGGCTTTAGGGGCCAGCTTCCTGGATCTGTTGAAAACTGGTGCCAAGTCTCTAAAGGGGTTGTAAAGGTAAAAATTTAAACTGGGGACCAGAAGTTGTTTTCCTCTAATTATGAGACCTAACGCTGTGCAAGTTATAATGTCTTGAAACAGGCTGGTAAGTCATGCTTATGGATTGTTTAAACTATAGCCTTATTTTCTGCCCCAACGCAAGCGCAACTTAGACTTACATAGCTAGTTAACATAGCGTAACCGCTTGCCATTTTTTTCAAAGCGGCCTTTGTCCCGGGCGCGAAAACTTCATAAGGCCCGAGGCCACCAAAATCCATAGTTGTTACTCGTATAAATCTTTAACGAGCTCAGAAACACCGACCCCAATCAGCACAAAGGCGTTTTTATTTTAAATGTCGATAAATACGCTTTTCTGCTTGTTGCCTGGGTCAACTCTGTCTTCCCCTTTTTCAGAGCGCTTCCGGTTGACTTTTTGCCAATTTTATATCAACACGAGCCTTCCTTACCCTTTAGCTTTCAAAAACCCCCATAGAAATCCTCTAATTGTCACAACCGTGTAATCCAATCTGGAAGCGTTCGCCCACAGTTTCCACTTATGGGCAGTATGGATGGACGGTGGGATGGAAAAGTGGGGGCTACGGCGATTGACCCATCGCGCGGGCCAACTGTCAGCCAGTATTGGCTGCTATTTTGTCCCCAACCACTGGAGAGTATTGGCTAGAAAAGGGAAGGGGGGAACGATGCGCGGATTTTCGGGGTTGAAAGGTCGGCGCGGCTTTGGAGGGGATGGGATCCGGGGGTAGGGGGGCAGGGGGTAATTATGGCAGGGTATGCGGTGACCCGTTTATAGTTTTTTGGTGGGCACAACAAAATATGGTAGCTGTAAGGCTGGGCGGAACTGTAGGGTTTATTGACTGGAGAACGCATTTAGGAAAAAGCAAGTATTTCCCTGATTTCTTGTAGAAAGTTAGCTTACTGGTACTCCGGTAGTAGCCTTAACCACCTTCACTACCCATGTAACATCTAAATAACAGGTTAGTGAAGTTGTAAGGCACATAATTAATATATGCAAACCGCAAAAAAGCATTTACCTTTTTATTCTTCATGTTAAACTTGGCATCCTAATTTGCATTTCATCCGGTGTCGCTTACGATTTGATCCCTACGAAAAGCAAATGAGTTCAAGACGCTATCTCTATGCAAATCAAGCCACCCGATTCCCATTCCGATCCGATCCTATCTCCACCACCTGAATAATAACCAGTATAATCATAACCTCCCCGATCCCATCCCATACCCGTTCATCCACCTCCCACAACCCATGTTTTTCCCTCTCCAACCACCCGCCCGATTCATTATCGCCCATCCACACGGGCATACTGACGTTTAGCCGGCGGGGGCCAGCGCGGAAAAAGTTGCGCGCCGGAAAAACGGGGCACGGAGGTGGCAATGAATAGGGCAATTGGCAATGGCGCGGAAAATCGGAGGTGGACGGTCCGAAGGGTTGAGCGGGAAAGAAGGGAAGGGGAGACGGTATGCAAAACGCTGATCGGACACCCATCCATCCCGGCTGGAAGACACAATGGTGACGGTATGTATGGACGGGGGGTTTGTATGGTTGGGGGGAGAGAAGAGAGGGGGAAATGAGGAAAGAAAGTTGACTCGGTGGGCGTTTGTATGTGTATTGTGTTGTTGGGTGGAAAATGTGGTCAGCTGGGTGGGGCTTCTTGGGTTGACCCTTGGGTGTCAATATTTTTTAGGGGAGGAGTATTTTTTAGGGATTCTAAAAATAGCGGCTTTATCGTGGGATCGTGGCAGTTACCACAATTTTTTTCCTTAGTCACAGTTTCATAATAATGTTCGTAATGGCATCAACATAGCAATTTTCTTATCATTAATGCTGCAATAAAAACAACCCGACCCAACCAATTGATAAGCCTTGCGCAACCACCTTTGAAGCCCCGGCCCATTTCATGTTGATATCGCCTCCCGACCTATGGTATCGGCTTCCCCCACAACGCGTATGCTAATCTTGGCCTGGGAGTGGTAGGGGGCGCTTATACCACCACACACACATACACCTGTCCCAGAAATCTAATCAAGCGCATGCGAATAGGGCTTGAGGAGGCGAAAACGGGGGTGCAAGATGTTTGAATTGGATTTTGGTGATATCCTTGGGGAATTGGAGGTGTATTTTTGCGGACAATAAATGATACAATTTAAGGTCTAAATCGAAAATATGAGTAGTGATGCAATGTGCATGGATCCACTCTTTTGACTTCACCAGCATTACCATAGCTACTACTTTTCATACCTCTAAACCTATCCTGCCATGACCTCGGGATATCTATCCCCACCCGTATATCCGCAAGGCTAACCCATCCATTTTTTGATTGCCCCAACCGACGGCCTGTTTACCGGCCCTCCCGCTGCATGCGCATAGCCGAGCCCGCTGAACATAATAATCAGCCGGCTCCCCCGAGGCGTGTATTATAATTCATAATAACAGTCCCCCCTCCTACCACCCATCGAGGGTCACGCCATTGTCCCACCTATCGCCACAACCCCCCGGAAATCAAGGGCTAGCTAGACGGTTTGGGCAGATAAGGGAAGGATGTATGAAAGCCGGAAGGGGCCAGACATTGGGGAACCGGTCATGGAATGGGACACACGCTAAACAGCACTTGTTTTTCGTTTCTTATGAGTGTCTTGGTCAATATGGAGGGCGTGAAGAGTCGTGGTTCTTGGACTGGCCGGGGGGGGGCTGAGGATTGTCGATGTCCAGCTGTGAATGGGGAAAACGGATGTGCGGGGATACTGGGTGATAGCGGACGGTTTTCTGGATGGATAGAAAAACAGGGGTCCGATGTGATGCACAAATGAGCTCTATATTTTTGGTCAATTTTGACTTTTTTCAATTTTCATGGCTACAATCTTTCGATTAGCTGACTTATGCATAAATTAGTCGCCAATTAGCGTTTGTGTTTTTAAGCCTAGAAACTTTTTGCGCAATTTAACGAATTTGCGATCTTGCTTTACCCAAACCAAAGTTTAATACAATTCATCGGTAGTTTAGAAAGTGCTTTATGAAACGCTCACTGCCAAAAAAATAAGATAGTTTTGACCAAATTTAAATTAACATGCATAATACAAAAATGGACAGGATGAAAATCGATCAAATCATATCAACAATTCCAAAAATATCAAAATCAAGGCCCAAAACAAAGAGGGCTAGAACTAAATTTACATATATTTGCCTCGGATCATATTTCCACCACTACTTAACGTAATTTCCGAACTAAAAATCCCCGCACCCAACCCATCGACAAAAGCCAGAAAGGCACGAATTCACCCCTCGACTCCAAGAAGGTGGTGTCGGATGACATAATTTGCATAGCGCATCTGTGTTGGCCCAAGGCCATCCAGGTTCTCCCGCCCGTTATTTGAGCGCCTAGCTCACCAGCAGGCATACAAAAGAGTGTGGAGCAAGAACAGAAAACGCAAAAAATACGGTGAAGGATTGCGAGATCTTTAAATTCTAGTGAGGGCAGCAGAACGGAGTTGCAACAGTAATATATGTTTGAATGGTGGAACGTGCCTGGTCGATGAAGTGCAACGAAATTTTCGTTGTGTATGCCCGAGTGGATTTGCTGGGAGTTTATGTCAGGTAATAATTTTATTGTTTGTTATTTTCATGTCGCAATTTTTATTTATTTCCAACATTATGGATTAAATATTTTTAGGAAGTCTGCTCATTAAAATGTAATGAGGGTCATTGCGTAAGAGGACCAACAGGATCAGAACATTGTGCCTGCAAACCTGGTATGAACCAAAAACCATAAAATGAATATTTTTTAGGCTTTTACGGGAAACAGTGCGAAATCCAAGGCGACCCAACTGACGTTTGCACTAATGATACAGACTGTGAAACGGGTTTTAGGTGGTTTAAAGACCCATTGCCACAAACTAAAACCGCTTCAGATGTATGGATAATGGAGCCGGCGAAACTGTATGCACCAAAGACCCATGCGCCACCGCACCTTGCGCCCCAAATGCAAAATGTATAGTGGAGCAGGTTAGAAATAAAATTAGATTTTAATTTGCAACAATTTAGGATGATTTCCGTTGCGAATGCGGTACCGGATTTGCCGGCCGTCTTTGCGACGCGGATATCAATGAATGCGAGTTGACCCCATGCAAAAACGGTGGCACCTGCATCAACACGGAAGGGAGCTACGAATGCAAATGTACTGATGGGCTGCATGGTATTTTATTTAAACGTATGTAAGGTATAAAATACTTTTTAGGTCCGTTCTGCGAAGATCTACCCAGTCAATGCGCCCCAAATCCTTGCAATAACGCCGGGCAATGTGTTGAACTGCTAGACGGCTTCAAATGCTTGTGTCAAGACGGTTTTGATGGGCCTACATGTAATGTTAGGGTAAGTGCCGGTTGGAAAAAATGGAATGAAGACAGCTATTGTTTCTACGAAAAATCATTGATTCTCATATTTATGCAAATTTCAGACGTCCACCGATCCCTGCAGCCCATCCCCATGTAAAAACCACGGGCAATGCGTGGCTGCTGGGCAAAGTTCAAGCTGCCTTTGCACTCCAGAATACACGGGCGCTACTTGTAGTGAGCTAGCGGAATGTTCTGTGGATGGTAAGGGAGACTACAAGGCCTAAGACGTTCTTAGGACACCCATGCCAAAACGGCGGGAAATGCATTCAAGGATTGGCGGTGAATACATGCCAATGTGACTCTGGGTTTAATGGAAAGTGGTGTGAGGTGCCGGGGATGCGGAAGTGGCCAAATGTTTGCGATGGGATTGTTTGTCAAAATGGGGGTAAGTGAGTATATTCATTAAGAATCTGAAGAATTTTTTAGTAGCCCAGTATTTCAGATGCAACTTATTCAACTCCAAATTCATTTAGGCTCTTGCGATCCCATTTCCGGAAGCTGCACCTGCAAACCCGGATTTTCTGGTTCACTTTGTGAAAAGAAAACCTCAACAATCACATCAGAACCTTCAACCCAAAACCCAGACCAATATACGGTAAGTTAATTCTTCCATTAACGTAATGTATGTTGTGTTGTAATAGTTGGTGCAATGTGCCGAGTGTGTCCATTCACATTCTTGCCTCGAGCTGGAGACCGGATCACTTTGTGTGTGCATGAAAGGCTACATTGGGCCCACCTGTTTTCTCACTAATCAGGTAGTGATTTTGTTTGTACTGTGCTGCACATAATTATATATATAATTTTATTTTTGGATTTAAGGCGTGTAAGGATATCGAATGTGACCCATCGCAGCAGTGCTTGACCACGCAGAGTTTGAATGGCACTGTGGAGGCAGCTTGTGGATGTGCAGTTGGAAGAGGTAAAAATGAACATAAAGTGCCTAGACCGATCTTAATGACATATTATGAGGAACATTATTTTTATATACAATTCTTAAGGCGGGCCAAAATGCCAGCAAGACGCCGCAACAACTTTCTCGGCTCAATCCCTCTACGTCTATCAAAGCCCATCCGTGATGGTTGGGTATGTTCATCATTAAATTCCCTTAATCCTCCTTTTTAGCTCGTCCTCCGGCCCACTACCGTACTCCCTGGATTTAGCCGTACGCTCTACAGTACCTGATTCGCATATTGCCACCGGAGAAAATATCTTTGGCCAAAGACTCTTCTCCATTTTTATCAGGTACCTTGACACCATAAATAGTAAAAAATGTTCATTATTTAAGGAGCGGCCGTCTGGTTGCAAATATTTCCGGGACTGCATATTATAACATGCTCCCAATCGGTATCAACGATGGAACATGGGTGAAAATTCAACTCAAGAAAACCGCCAATGTCAGTTTTACGATTAGATTCAAATCCAAAAAACTATTTAGGACTTCTTGATCCGGGTCATTGAAGAAAACGGGTTTGAAGTGCTCTACAAAGAAGTCCCCAGAAATGCAATGTTTGATGTCTTTACGACAAGAATTGGCCGAATATCTGGTTAGTACTCTACCCTGTTTTATTAATAAAAATTAAATATTTCTAGAATACGAATATTTCACCGGTTGCATCACTGACGTGGTGATCGATGGAAATCCTGTAAATATCGCCAACAGCAATCGAGCCGTTTCTGTAAAACCAGGTTCGATAACACCAAAAATAGATAATCGGATTCAGGATGCTCTCGAGTCCCTCAATGTACTGATGGCGCTTGTGCAAACGAAGGAACTTGCGTAGACCTTTGGTCATCATTCGAATGCAAATGCAAACCACCATTTTTGCCGCCATCATGCGTAAGTTCACTGACTTTATATTTATGCTCACTGATTTATAGTCAAATCAACTTGAGGGCCACACTTTTGGTAGCGAAGGCATGGAAAGCAGGGCGGTTGTGTTGATAGATGCAGATAATGCCAAAAATCTACAGGTTGTGAAATTATATTGGTACTTAATGGAAGAGTTCAGGCCACAACAGATGTCCAATTCCTACTGAAGACTAACAAGCTAAATGGAGCTATGGTCTTTATGGGCGATAGTCTCCAGGATGATGTTGGAACTTTCTTGTCAGCCGGGCTAGAAGAAGGTCACGTAGTCGGTTAGTTTTCGCCCAGCTGTGATTAATCGAATATTTAAATTTAGTGCGGTCCAGAGCTGGTGGAAAAAATGTTATGAGGCTTCAGGCCGGGAAGTTTGTCGCCGACAATGAGCCCCATGTCGTTAGGGTGGAAAGGACAAACCGTCACGTCGTGGTATTAAATTCAGGAACCGCGTGCAAATTTTGTTTAGTTATACGTCGACGATGAACTTCAAGCTGAATCCGATATCCCAGTCCGATTTGATCACCCATTATTTGTCGAAAAAGCAGTAATTGGAAGCATTAAAGAAACGAACCCAGATGCTTTTGAATCTGCGGAAAGCTTCAAGGGTAAGCGACTACCTAAAAAATTATATATAAAATTCTCAGGCTTCATGCAAGACTTACAAGTCAATGGGCATTCCATTGTTCTGAAGGGAAGTCCGAACTTTGAAGTGAAGACGATCGGATCGACTATTATTGCTGATAACGTCCTAACAGTTAGTGAACCTAGTAGCTAGTATATTTTTGCCATTAGGGACTTGTTTCTGATGACGTCTGCCAGCAAACAAAGCCATGTGCCTATGGAAAATGCAAAAATACATTTAATGACTTCAAATGTGAATGCGAGCCTGGATGGATGGGAAAAGTGAGTTTCAACGACAAAAATGTTTATTTCATTCTTCCTACCTCACCACCACCTTTTTTAGAAATGCAACACAAAAGATCACTGCTCTGACAAACCGTGCGAGGAAGCCGCGACCTGCATAAATTCGCAAGGAGGATATTTATGTAATTTACATTAAAATCACTTTATTCGGAGCCCTAGGCACATCTCCTGCCACTTTCACCAATACCTCGTTCATCCAATACGATCTACAGCTACCAAAATCTGTTCCCCAAACGATTATGAACAAACTAAAATTCTCGTTGCGGACTTCATCGACGGATGGATGGATTTTGCAAACGGTATTGGAAATTAGTTGATTATTTAATTAAAATACGATTCTAGTCGATGCCACAATATTCCGTGTTCATCTACGGCGGGCGATTGGCATTGAGCAGCAACGGTGGCTCGCATACTATTCGACAACCTGTCAACGACGGACGATGGCATGATATCCAAATCCAAGGAAATGTGGCGCAAATTGATGGAAAGAAATACGGTATTTACTTTTTTTCTTATCTTACACGTATTAATATTATTCAGGCCTTCCGGAATCTGTACGATTCAACGGAGCCGTTACTGTTTCCTCGCTTCGACTCGGAAAAAGCGACGATAAGCCTGGATTCCGGGGTACAATTGCGAACATGACAATCGGAGACTCGCTGCCCTTATCCTTCTACAGACCCGAAAAATCAGGAAATTATTCGCCTCAAGATACATATTGGGCGGCGAAAGCTTGGAATAAGGTAGTTTATTTTATTATAATAACCAAGTTTTACGACACCATTTCTAGGTTGAACGTCAAGTCTTTGATTCGAACGTTTGCCTGGTTAGCCCATGCAAAAATGGAGGGCAGTGCCGGGATCATGTGGATAAATTTATGTGCGATTGTCCATCTGGTAAGCTAAATTTTTTAATATTACAAAAATTATGTTAAATACAACACTTTAGCTTAATTTTATCATTCAAATAGTTGTGTGGAGTAAATATCGTACCATTAGTACAATATCGTAATTTAGGTTTCACCGGTGAACGCTGCGAGATCAACGAAAATGAATGCGACGCGAAGCATTGTGCGAACGGCTATTGCCTAGATGGCTTGAATTCTTTCCAGTACGCAATCTTACTACTTAAACTTAATATATTTTCAGATGTGTATGTGACGGAAAGTGGAGCGGAACGTACTGCGATGCCCCATACGATTTTTGCAAACAAAAACCCTGCAAAAATGGAGGGAAATGCATCAATACAGTAATTTGTACTGTACAGCCCCTAAATATATTTTTCTAGAATGGTACCTACACTTGTGGATGCAAGGACGGTTGGATGGGACAGAATTGTGATATCGTAAAAACGACGAGCTGTAAGGATAAACCGTGCAGGAATGCGGGGAAGTGTCAGCAAGTTGAGGTGATATCTAGTACATATCTAGAAAAAGTACTTTTTAGGGTTCGGTAGTGTGCGAATGTCCGAAAGGATTTGCGGGGCCACTTTGTGACGTTTACGTATCACCATGTGAAGAGCGGCCATGCAAGAATGGTGTATGCAAAGAAAGTGGAGATTCGTATGTATGCGAATGTTCAGCTGGTAACGATTGTTATAAGCAGAATTATCGGCCCTTCCAGGATATGCTGGAAAACACTGCAACGAACTCCTAACCGCTTGTGGCTCAACCTCACCATGTTCACGAGGACGTTGTGAAGACGTCTGGAATGGAACGATCTGCCATTGTGACAAAGGATGGCAAGGAGGAGACTGCTCCGTCGACATCAATGAGTGTCTGGCTGTACCCTGCGAAAATGACGCTGAATGTGTGAATAGTGATGGAGCATACCAGTGCAAGTGTCGCAAGTATTACTTGGGTAAGTTTAAACAACAAAATTAGAATGTTAATTTGAGGCGACAACTGCGAGGTGGCTGGGTCATGTTTGTCGGAACCTTGCAAGCATGGTGAATGTGTTCAAGTGCGACATGATGAACATCAGTGCAAATGTCACAACGGATTTGAAGGAGCTAATTGTGATGTGAGTTTACTCTTAAATAGTTCAAATCCGTTTTTAGCAACAAATCAATTATTGCAAAAAGAGCCCTTGCCAAAACGGTGGCACCTGCGAGAACCTAATCGGCGAATACAAATGCCACTGCATCCCAGGATTCGCGGGTATTATTGCAACTAAAAATACGAATTGCAAACCCAGGACCGGACTGCGAGGTTGATATCGATGAATGTGCATCCAGCCCTTGTCAAAACCATGGTGGCTGCAAGGATCGGGTCGCCGATTATGAATGTATTTGCGATGCTACTGGCTACAAGTAAATTTCGCCTTGAAAATTTAGTGACTATTTAATTCAGTGGTAAAAACTGTACCGAGGATATTGATGAATGCCTCGTACCATCGAATTGCATTCATGGTATGTGTACAAATGCACCTGGGACATATCGATGTCACTGTGAAGAAGGTCGGTCCTAACAAGAGAGATTTTGATGAAGATTTTTAGGTTTTGTTGGAGGGCGATGCTCGGTAAAAGATCCCTGTATTCCGGACCAGAACAACAAGACGTTACACAACTGTGTACACGGGATGTGTTCAAATCCAGGCGTCAAGGTATGGACTTTAAAATATACCTTATCCCTTTTAAGATCGAGTCTGGCCGAGAACTTGCTACTCATGAATGTGCATGTTATCGTGGGTATTCAGGTCCAGTATGTTCTGTGGAGGTATGGGATTTAATAGGAGGTTTTTTACAAAAATTTTCAGATGGCCGAACGGCGACTTGCCGTCGGTTATATCCTTGGGCCATTGGTGGCTGTGTTGCTGGTGTTGTGCTTGCTGGGCTGTGCCCTGTTCGTCTTCGTCTTAAAGGTCTGTGAAAATGCGAAAAGATTCTATTGGCTCTTCTAGCGGCTAGGCAATGCTGGGGATTAGGTGGGTGGAGTAGCACTTTGAAGCTTCTCCTCCCTGTCTTGTATATGATCAATTAGTGCTTTTAAAGGGGCTGGGAAGGCAGGAGAATCTGATAAATTTTTTTCAGAAAACGAAAAATCATCAAAACGTTTCTAATTACAGAAAAAGTAATAATGTTTCTCCTGCCACAACTCCACCTTGACCGTTTAAAAATATAAAACGTAACTTTTAACCAAACGCGTAAAAGTAAGCATAATCCCCATTATTCCACATATTTAATATACTAATTTAGTGTTGCATAAACCGGAGGTATAAAAATTCGTTGTTAATCATACTCTATTGATTTTCTTTCATAATCTTTGTATATAAACAAAAATTTAAACTCTTTAACTTTATCTGAATTATATTGTTGTTTTACTATCTACTCACACCCACCATTTCCATCAGCACCTTAATATACAGGCAAAAATTCCACTTATTTCGAAAATTCCAGGGAAAACGCGCCACCCACGGCCACTACAGCCCAAGCAACCAGGAGATGCACGGAGCCAGATTACAGGTAAATTCCCTAAAATATAAGGATTTTACTGTAATAACATATTTTAGATGAACTCGATGATAAAACTACCACCAGAAGAGCGCTTAATTTAACCTAGAAAATATTCAATAATATGTTGTATACCAATTTGATTGCCTTTGGACCAAATGCTGCGATACTTATTCCCCCGTCTTTCCTTTCTCATTTCAATCCCATCCCTTCATTGCCAAAACACAATCTATTTGCTTACAATTCGTGTCAAAAAGTCAACTGCTTACAGCCGCTACGGGTAGCCAATTTTCTCCCCAAAATTTAACTATAAATTTTGTATCTACTTTCGCTAGGATTCCACCTGTCCGCCCAAACTAGTAACATTTTATGTATGTAAAATTGTCACGCTATTTGAACAAAGCCAAATACAGGGTGTCCCAAAAAAAAACGACCCATCTGGCATTTCGCCGTATTACAACCAATCGGCCCCAAATTTGGATGAGAGGTGTATCAGACCCTAAATAACAACAATCCTGACTTTTAGCGCTGTAGCTACAGTCATTCTCGAGTTATAACGAAAATACTGTTTTTGACGCAATTCTGAACAGTTTTTTCGGCTATCTTTTTGGACGTTGCATCGATTTGCATCCACTTCCGGCTCCGAATCCCTAATTTCGCTTAAGAACTTGGGTAATTTTGTGTTGTAAAAATCGCTTAATTCAACGTTTATTTGATTAATTCTGGTCCGGAAAAATTTCTTCAGGTAAAGAAGGCCTACCGAATCATTTTCACTTAATGTCTAGGGGGTCTAACTCCACGGAAACCCTATGAAAAATGGAAAATAAAGTTTATTTTCGTTATAACTTTAAAACTACTGTAGCTATGGGGCTATAATTCAGGATTGTTGTTATTTGGGGTATGATACACCTCTGGTCCAAATTTGGGACCGATTCGATGTAACACGGCGAAATGCCAGATGGGGCGTTTTTTTTGGGACACCCTGTATATATTTTTCCATAATATGCACCAATACAAAGCACAAATAAATACGCGTATCCGGGGTTGAAAGCTAGCCAAATAGCTAAGACACAAAGGCACGGGAATGTGAGGATGGATTCAAAATTGTAGCAACAAGTTTGACCAGAAAACAGCAAAAATTCGAATAAAAATTAGATTAGAATAAGTTACAGCCTCGTCAATTGGACGACATCTTCATCCTCACTAGATCCCTCGCTATCACTTCGCAACACCGCATTAATGGCGGGTTTTGGGAACGGCGTCCTTGGGTCCTCGATTTCGGCCTAAATATTTGATATCAAAAGTTTATTTTTTGAGTCACCTTTTCGGCAGTAAGATTTTCGACCAAGGGCGGTAATGCAGGTCCTGCATAGGGTTTCTAAGGAACGTTTTGTGTGGATTTTTAATTTCCTACCTTGTTAGGGGATTCCGGAAACCTGCAATTCGGCCAAATGACGTGCTTTGAGATATCCTTGTAGCGCATCTTGATTCGTCTTCTTTCTTCTGGAGATATTTCGGGCATGTCCTTGTTGAGGAACTGAAATATGCAAATTAGCCAAATTAGCATCTTACGATAAATTTCGACTATGTTTTGTGATATAACGATGATTATATAGATAAGCTGAACCATTCTAAAAAAGACTAGTTAAAATATAAAAAAAAAGTTTTAAAATAAGGCGTAATTCAGCACTAGTAGTGCCTATCGAAAAAGCTGTAAAAAATAACATATAACTCTAAATTTCAGCTAATTTAATATAGCATTATCGCCTGTACGCAATTACGGTAAGAAAAAGGATAATTAAACATTTAAAAGTGCTAAGCTCCAGAACACCGACCAGCTATGTTATAGGAACTAGTGCCTAGTGTAGCGTGTCAATACACAACCAGCAGTAGTCCATACACACACTTCAAAATGTGTCCCATAGGCCATTCAGGTGGAATGGCATCGCATTGTGCCCGGGTTATTGGATTTTATGTCCCCCATTTCCACTGGTAACTAACCCCCTAAACTTTTCAACCTTACCGGACTACTACGCCATCGACCAAACAATTTGCCCAGCTTCATCCCAACCTCATCGCTTAAAAAGTTTAATAAAATGGAAATACGAATTTCCAGGAAGAAAAATTCAGAGAGAGAAAAGGCCAGTGGGGAAGGAATTGATTGAATTTTAAATGATTCGAATGTTTAAGAGAGGAGGGGAAGAGGCGTCTGTAATGTGATGCGAAGGCTTTTTCGAGGGTGGAGGGGCCGTCCCATTTCGTGTCCCCGGGCCACACTGCTCTTTTCTGAGGCTCAAAAGACCCTGGAACTCAATCTGCTAAAGGCCACCTTTGCTAGGCAACACCACCCCTCGAAGAGGTCCAAGGAATTTTGGGGGACTTTTGCATGTAATAGCATAGTATCGATAAATGAAAAAGTAGAAAGTGTAAAATAGTATAATTTCAAAAACTAAGTCAATAAACAAGTAAATCGTTTGAGTCATAGCTTGGCCATACAAAAAGCAAGAAATTTATGCTATATCAATTCGCAATACGTCAGGTTTGCCAAGGATCGGCGTCTTATCAGCTTTTGGCTGGCCCATCATTTCCTTTTTTAGATAGTCGGATTGACAGGAAATGACCGCTCAGCCGTCTAGACTAAAAAATGAAGCTTTCCCTTCCAAAAAGACTTAAGCCCGCCACACCCTTGATTAAAACCCCGAAATAAAAACGCCGACATCCCTCAAACGAGGCTAATTTCTCCAGTGGCTGGTCGAAACAGGCGGCAATGATTCGGGTTGTGGGCAAGTGGAGCGGTGTAGGGGAGACGAGATGGGCAAAAGAAGATTTGAGCGTTTTTTGAGGGGAAAGGGTAGGGAAAGGGCCCTGTGGGCACAACGATGGCCAGCAACGATGGGGGCCCACAACCCATTTCAAGGGCCTTTATGATGTTTCCCCTGTGGCCCCTCTTTTGACCGGAAGGAAGGAGTGAAGTGAGGCTCGGATCAACCGTTTGCCTCATTTGCATTTGGGGGTTCCCTTGGGATGGGGCGCTATTGTTAGCTTCAGGGTTAGAGTATGGAATTTCAGTTTAGCGCTTGTAAATTCGCCTAAAAATGGACTATTTAAACAAATAAAAATTAAAATCAACGGAACTTCACAGTTGTGCAACAATCTATATTAAAAGATCTTTTCTTCATATTCCAATTCCAATAACTAATTTTAAACTTACTTAATGTAACTTTAGTATTTTCTCTGGCAAGACCGCTTGAAACTGAAAGAATTTACGTGTAATACGATTAAAAATTCCAAAACTTTAGCCAGTTATGCCATAAATTATATTATATTATTTGATTCCTTATGTTTGAATTTAAAGCATTTCGTATCATTAACCAACATAATTTAATCCAATAACAAGCTTCAAAACTTCAGTCGAATTTTACTCACCTGAAAACTAAACGCTTTCCTCAAAATCCCCTCTTTCTTCGATGTGCCAGGTGCCGTCGCTATAGACACTGTACTTTTCTTCCAATTTCCTTAATTACATTTGAAATTTAGTACCCAGGAAACTTGCTTTTAGGCGTATCTAATTGATTCACTTCATTGGTCGATCGCCACAAGCTTGTCATCTAAATCACGGAAAATAGAAATGGAAAACCAGAAATAGTTTTGAATGAAATTGAACCGCATAACCAACAATAGCTATGCGAAATGACCGAGAGGAAAAGGGGAAAATCCCCCCGGTTCGATGGGTGGGAGCTTCGGTTTTCGCTGTTTGCGGAGTGGCGCAAAAACCGATGTGCTGCGTAAATAATCCGCCGGGAATTTGCGACGTGAAAACATGCGCGGATATCTCTAGGTAAAGAATTGAGAGGGGCAGGAAGGGTTGGTGGCAGAAAACAAATTATAGCTGGACGCACGAAATTTGGGTAATTATAATAATCGAAAGGTGGAAACAAAAAAGAGGCTTCTTGAGGTATGGCAATAGTAAAACTTTTTACTAGACTTTTTAACGTATAGATAGTATTGCAAATGTGTAAAACCAGTGTGTTTAGATAGAATATATTTCCAAACTTCCAGCAGGACGCCCGTCAATTTGGAAGCGTGCGACTATGCGTGTCGCGACCCGAGGCTGCACCCCCGGTTTCCGATTGAAATGCGATAGGACAGCCGACCCGAAAAAGGCGCCGCGCAACAAACAAATTGCCCCAAACCAACTTCCTTGCAACCAGTGGCTAGTTCTTAGATGTCTGGAGTTCATTTGTGTAGCCTGGAAAAGAAAAAGGGAAAATTTCTCCATATTACCTGATATTAAAATAGTTATATATCCAAATTAAGCTATAAATCAGCATAATAAAATTCAAGGGAGAAATTAACATCCAGAAATCATAAATTAATTTATATTATAGCGATAATATGGGGTCTCTAAGCTTTATTATATTTATGACCCTGAAAGGCAGTTGTATAAAATTTAAGGATTTTAATCGAAGCGGGTTTATATTAGAAAAATACGTTAATCGATAAGAAACATCCGAAAACACTTTCTATTAGCAGGAAAACCAACAAATCAATGAAAACCCACCCCCCCCGCAAATGTCCTTGAAGCAATTAGCCACCGAATAAAAAATGGCGACCCCCCGAATGGGAAAGGGAGATGGACGGGTTCGAGAACCGGTATTCAGATTAGCCTAATGGACGGGCTTCTAATACCCTCAGCCCACAAGAATTCGCCCTCCCCTTTTCAGTTTTCCAACAATAGAAATGGCCCTCAAAGAAAGGAAGCCACACGGGGAGTGAACAGAAAAACATCGGCTGAATCATTCATACGAAACACCCAACCACATGTTCCACACCGAGCCCTCTTTTTCTATAGTTTTTCAATAAAATAAAAAATGCTGTATTTCTTCTGCACACTCAGGGTATCACTTTTCTCAGATACCTAAAGTAGGTTTATATCAGGGAAGGGCTCAAACTTTTTCGATCGATCAAAACACCCAAATTTTGTGAGAAATTCGATATTAGTTCATAGTTTTTACTACTTTAAACTGCGTACATATAAACAAAACATATAAACAAAACCCCTATACATATTTTCAATTCCAAATCAGCATTTTAAAAAAATGATATTAGAGAAAATACAGCTTTCTTGCGCTATTTACACCGCGACGAGCGAACCACCCAAAAAGTGAAACTGACAAGTAAAAAGAGCACAACTGGGGCATTTCGAAGCCCCTTTGAAAGGCGGTGCAGGGGAGAGTCTACGCCCCGACGGAAGGGGATTTGCGCCCGAAGGACAAACAGAATTCTATGCAAAATAGGGGCCCCCGCATCGCAAAAGGATGCCTGGAAGTGGGTATAGTTCATAAAAATGGTAATGTTATTTGGTGACTAACCACCGGAATAGTCAGAATGGGGACGGGGATGAGGTGTTGTTTAGAAATCGTAGCCCGTGTGGCTGATAATCGATTGGAAGGTTTCGGAGTTGCAGAGGAGGAGATGCGCGTTGTGAGACGTAATCGGCAAGGAAAAGGAGGGCTGCTGCGATGCGTTCGCATCCGTTTTTTGAAGTGATGGGAAGAACGGTTACCGGATTGGCGCGGTTGATGTACGATCGGCAACCCCACTTACATCGTTCCGCAAATATCGGTGGATCTTAGGTGTGAAATGGAGAACAGAGGGGGTGGAAAAGTGGAGATATGATGCTGGTGAACCGGAAATAGATGTAATTTATAGAGATCGGAGGGGAAACCGGATGTGATCTTAGCTGGGAATAAGACTTAAAAAAATAGTTTTATAACAGTCTAAAGCCAATTAATTATCTATATTACAAGGATACCTCCCCAATATCTAAAAATTAGCTTCGTTATCAAAATTTGAGCATCTCAGAAAAAAGCCCGACTCGAAAGGCAAGTGAAACCCGTAATTAGCATACATATTATAAATTTTTCGTGTATTCGTTAAAAGCTTTTGTACTTTTGAGACTTCGTAATCACTGTGAATTTTTAGTAATAAATTACGCAAATTTCATTATTGTTTTCAAAAAACGAAGTTGTAACAAAATGACAAAGTCAGCTGCACTACCCTTGACTTTACGAACGTACACCAGACCCCACACTGAAAGCGCATAAAAAAGACGCCTATTTTGCCGGGCATGGCCCCATTTTAAGGGGGCTGGTGGTCCGGGGGCCAGCGACCCCGGCCCGAACGCCGTACCTCCCCGCAAAAATGAGCCGGATGTGGGCCATGAAGGCAATGCAGAAGAAGAAGCGGAAGAAAGGCCGCGTCCGGGGTTGCCCATCCTCCGCCTCCTCCTCCTTCTTCTTCTCGTTGGCTGTTGTGCCCCACTTTTCAGGCGAAACGACCTCCCCGATGTGAGGGAGGAGGAGGATGGTGGTCCCTGGGGGGTCTCACACGGCCCTAAACTGAAAAACTGACTTTGAGGAGATGGAGATATATTAGGTGGATTGGATGCAGATGGAAAGGTTTGGGAGTGAGAATACTTTTGTGATGAAAACTTAGTAGCAGAACAACCTCCGATTTTAACTAATGTAACCAAAACAGAAATTTAAATTTGCATAAATTAAAGTCTAAATCAGTACGACAAACGCTAAGAAAAAAAAAGCGTGTGGGCTCCACCAGGTTGATATTGCTATGAATGCGCAGACTCGATGTCATCCGAACCTTGCACAGAACCATGTTGCCACTCAGCAAAAAATACCACCTCCAAATAACAGGTTCTTAATGATGCGAAATTCCAGCCAATAAATAATGATGATAATTAACAGAACGATTTTTGTAGTTTTTAAATATATATATTTTTTAAACTTCATGACTATGACTTCTGACCTCTGCCTTCGCTCTTCTGACTATTGTCACCCCACACTTCCAAGATTCCTCTATCATTCGCCGATTCTTTATCATCGGCAAGCCCTCAAACGGTCTGTCAATTGCGAAATAAATGCCCCGATCTATCTATTTATTGTGCTTTGTGGCCCCCGCAGGCGCGGCACCAGAATTTCGGTGCCTAATAGGCAGGAGTGAAAGTGAAGAAGGCGGGTGATAGTGATAAGAAATATACTATGTAGGGGCAGAGTGGGCCACCGGGACAATGCCCCCACAAATCAAGCCTATCCCTGGATATTATCAATATGATTTCACACATTTTACGATTGCTTTACAATTTTCAGATAGTTCGGTTGGAAAAGTGGCGAATGAGCTTGTATGGATCCGAAATTTGGCTTTTGCGGTGACCCTTTCTGGGTAGGGGTAGAAAAATTGCCGGATCATTCTTCTTTAGGATGACTTTAAGCCACTTTACAATCGGACGGGGGCATTTCCGGTTTTGACGGAATGCTTCCAACATACAGGTAAAAATAAGGAGACCGAGATTCAAATGTATTTTCCAGTTCTGGTGGCAGTCCCATGCTTTTTCTTCTGGTTTCTCTTCCCCGTTCTATCACTCCAACTAAACCATTCCAAAAATCCGCCACTCCCATGGACAACAATAATGAGCATGAAATGGGTATGCTACTCGAAAACGGTTTATAGTTCATATAATTTCATTCGAATAATTATTATTAAAGATGATTTTCAGCTCGTGCTCGTCATGATCATCATCGACCGTGCCTTTGTGCTATTTCTCGGGATTTGGGGCAAAATCTGGGGACCGACTATGTACCGCCGGTTGATCTCGTTTTTCCATTGATTCAGACTGGCACATTTGTATGCAAATTTATATATAGCTTTGCTACCTTCAAATTAGGCCTTCATGTCGTATATGAAAAACGAATGTCGACGAAGGGGGATTCGGTCTTCTGGGGTACTATTTCTTACCTGGCTACTGTTTGCGCTCTTCGGAGCCCCGGAATTCTACAACTGGCTGGTGATCGGAAGTAGTCAAGAGGTAAATTAACATTGTTTTAATGGGCGTTTGTTTCAGCTGGTGGCACAAACCGATTTCTTCCGATATCTAGCCTACCTTGTGTACTATCCCTTGGTTTTGATCCAGTTATTCTTGATGTGCTTCGCTGACCCACTGACAGTTTTTGATGACGAGACGGTTAGAGAAATGTCATATTCAAATATGTTAGTAATAGAATATGAAAAATCCCTATGATACAGCTTCATTCCTGAATCGACAATTTTTCTGGTGGTTTAGTCCTCTCGTTAGTCTTGGAGCGAAGAAACCCCTGGAGGCAAGTTTTCTATTTTGCACACTGAAAACCACCATAATTTACTTCAGGTTGACGATATCTATGACATTGACGAAGATTTGAAACCCGATCATTTGCAAGCGATTTGGAAAGAGGAATGGAATGATGAGATGCGAAGTAAAAACTATTTTCACTTTACTTATAGCAATTTAGGATATCACCTCGCTGTCAGCACCTATGAGGCTCAGAAAAAGTACGATGCCGACTCCGAAATGTTCAATGATGATGAGAAAACATCCCTACTTGGATCTGCATCCCGAGGTTATGGCGGGGTCACAAATGGCTCTGACAAGAAATTAAAGAACAAAGGTGATTGGACCTCGTAATTAGCATTATAAAGTTTAGGCGGACCAAAGTTACCAAAGAAACCCTCAATTATTTGGTGTCTATGGAGATTATTCAAATGGGAGATGGTAGGGGCGACTATGATGAAGCTGGCCTCGGATTTGCTACAATTTTTGAACCCGGCCATGCTAAAGTAACAAAGGGTTTTGTCTTCTTTTGATTATTTTAGTTTACTCATCACATTCACTGAAAATCCGTTGGCCCCATGGTATGAAGGTTTGATCTATGCACTAGGTCTTGGTGCAAGCAATTTCATTCGATCACAGGTAACTGATTAAATAAGCTCCAAAGACTTAATTCAGTTGATGAATCAATACTTCACAAATATGTTCCGTATTGGTGCACAGTTTCAAGGAGTACTTACTACCGCAGTTTATGAAAAGGTAGGTCGGTAAAAATAGCAAATAAAAAAATGCTCAGACAATGCGCCTCTCAAATTCGGCAAGGCGTGAAAAGACAGTTGGAGAAATTGTGAATTTGATGGCTATCGATGTGGAACGCTTCAAAACCATTGCTCCGCAGATTCAGCAGTATTGGAGCAGCCCTCTTACTGTAAGAAAAATGTTCTGGCGTAACTTTTCCCTAGATAATCCTCTGTCTCATCTACTTGGCCCAAGTTGTGGGATGGTCAGCAATTGCTGGGGTTATCATTATGTTGCTCGTTATCCCGGTTAATCTCTATGTTTCCGTGAAGTGTAAGAATTGGCAAGTCGAACAGATGAAGCTAAAGGATCAGAGGATAAAGATGACGAATGAAGTGTTGGGTGGTATTAAGGTAATTTAAGGCTTTCCCAGAAACTAAGCTATTCAGGTCGTAAAACTTTATGCTTGGGAGCCAGCTATGGAAAAGGCGATTGACAAAATTCGACAGAAGGTATTTTACCTACTTGCTTAAGCGGATGGTGCGTATTTTAGGAGATCAACCTTGTCAAAAAGGCATCTACACTCCGGAATGCTTGTGATATCTTTAATATTTCACAACCTGTTTTTGTGGGTTTTCAGTGAAATTAGAATATTTTTGTATTAGGTAGCCGCCGCCACTTTTGCCGTTTATACCTTGATCGATCCGAATAATGTATTGACTCCACAGGTAGGTAGCAAAAGATAAAGTCAAAGCGGGAGTGCTCCAGCAAAGTTAAATACTTTAGATAGCATTTGTCTCCTTAACGCTCTTCAGTTCCTTGAGAGGACCATTGATGATGGCCTCTGATTTGATTGCGCAGACTGTCCAGGTATTTAATGGATTTCTTATAATTCAAATGTATAAATATTTGTTTATATATTTTCTGAATAGGCAATCGTCTCCAATCGGCGCCTACAAGAATTCCTGATCGCTGAGGAGCTCTGTGAGACATCTGTTGACCGAGAATCCAGATCTGAATGCAAGTGACAAACGTATTTTGTTAGCACCAATTTCAGTTTATGAGCGTTCTATCCAAGCAGAGCAAGCCACATGGTCATGGGATAAGAAAATGCCACCGACTTTGAAGGATATCGATGTTCGTATCCTTAGAATTTACATAACTATGCAAATTCAGATGGAAATCACTTCCGGAAAGCTTATAGCTGTCGTCGGTAGAGTTGGAACTGGTAAAAGCAGTCTCCTTTCTGGAATTCTTGGTATGTGGCTCCCCCAAAAAAGTAATGCCGTTTAGGCGAAATGGAAAAGCTTCGTGGTTACATCGGTGTACGTGGCACCGTGGCATATATTTCACAACAACCCTGGATCCAGAACATCAGCTTAAAGTAGGGATATGCGAATTTTGTGACCAAAAATTTAGAGAGAATATTCTCATGGGTCGGGCAATGAATCCATTGATATACGAGACAGTTCTGGAGGCTTGTGCCCTGAAGTCAGATCTGGAGCTTTTACCTGCTGGAGATGAGACGGAGATTGGAGAGAAGGTAACTAAATTTAATTCATCTAAATGGTTTGCAGGGCATTAACCTATCTGGCGGCCAAAAAGCTAGAGTGGCCTTGGCTCGAGCTGTCTATCAAGATCGGTATGTCATCCTTTTCTGAATTGATCAAGCAATTTAGCGATATAATTTTGCTTGATGATCCCTTGAGCGCAGTTGATGCTCATGTTGCGAAGCAACTTTTTGATGAAGTCCTGGGCCCGAATGGCCTATTAAAAGACAAAACTCGCATTTTGGTAACGCATGGAATTGCTTTCTTGAAAGAAGCGGATTTGATTGCCGTGGTTAAAGGTAGTTTAGACCTAAAGTCTAAGAAAGCACTTTAGACAACACAATCTCTCACATCGACACCTATGCAAACCTTATTACAAATCCCGAAACGGAGCAATACATCAAAGAAGTGGAGATGCAGAAGAAGGCAGAGGAGGAAGGAGAAATAGACGAAGATGAGGAAAGTGAGATCGAGGATAGTGATGATACCAGGTATGCTTATCGATAAAATTTAACGAAAGGTCATTCAGCATGGAAACGAAAGAGCCAAGCGATGAATTGACAGAATTGGCAAAGCCACCAGGCTTTGATCGTTCCATTTCAAGAGCGTCCGCTTCTACAAGGCTATCAAAGAAATCCAGGAGAAGCTCAGCGAAAAGATCCCTAGCTTCGGTGCGCGTTAAGCCAGGTATCACGCGCACAATTACCCCTATAAATCAATTTAGTCGGGCTGAACCAATTAATTGGAAAGGAGAAAGTGGAGACCGGAAGGGTATGGATAAGTTTTCAAGGTTTAATACTATTCAGGTAAAACCAAAAGTGTATATGGATTATTTCAAAGCAATGGGTTGGACGACACACATATTGCCTATGATTGTGTTTGCCATCTTATGGTCCGCTTCTGCAATGATACGGAGTCTTTGGCTGACTGCATGGTAGTTTATAGCTACGTTTAAAGAAATTCTCGAAGGTCTGATGAAAATGTGCCAACTAACCCGAACCCACCAGCGCCACTCGGCTTGAGAATCGGTGTATATGCTGGGATCGGGTTATGCGAAGTGATATTCCTGTTTTTGTCGTTTTATTTCTTGCTTGTTGGAGGAATTCGGGTAAGCTGAAGGTCAAAAAACTAATTTTCTTGAAAGGCCTCGCTCCAACTTCACGCACCGTTATTGCATAATATACTTCGAAGTCCGTTATCCTTCTTTGATGTTACCCCGTTGGGTCGTATCTTGAATCGGCTTGGGAAGGTATCAAATCGGGTTTGTAAAGGCACGCTGAAATTAAGGATATGGAAGTTATTGATTTACGTCTCCCTGGAAACTTCCGATTTTTGGTGGTTTCTGTTATTAATGTGCTACAAGTAACATAACAACATTTTTCAAAAAAATGATCGATTATAATTAGGTTATTATTCTCATCACCATTGCCCTGCCACTTTTCCTTCTCATTGCCATTCCCGTATTTGCTATTTATTTCTTGTTGTTGGTAAGCAGATCTTACTTAACCCTCAAAATTACTTTAGCGTTACATTATCAATTGCTCCCGGCAGCTGCAACGATTGGCTTCTATTACACGGTGTTCTATTTTTAGCGTTTAATATGTTTAATATTTAATAGGTCCCCAATCTATTCCCATTTTGGTGAATCGATCCAAGGCGCAAGCACGATCCGCGCATTTGGCTGGACGCCTAGTTTTGTTGAAATGAGCAAACAAAAGGTGCATTCAAATTCTAAAAGTTCTAGTCTTTTTTAGCTAGAAGTATTTATCAAGTGCAGTTACTACGCAATGATTTCCCTACGATGGTTCTCAGTTAGACTTGAAATGTTGGGAAATGTGATTATTCTTGGGTAAGCCGAGCTGATCCCCGATTTTTATCTTCTATTAGTGCCGCGATCTTGGCGATTGTGGCTAAGAACTGGGGTGCAACCACGGCTGGAATGAGTGGATTGGCGATTTCGTATAGTTTATCGGTAATGCCTTGTATTCGCTTAAATTTTGGGCTTTAGATCACATTTATGATGAGCATGTTTGTGCGTCAAATTAGTGAATGTGAAACGAACGTGGTGTCTGTTGAAAGAATTAAAGAATATTCGGAAACACCCACGGAGGTAAGAAATTTTTCGAAATCTAACCTATCTTTCCATTATCCCAAAGTGTTAAACTACCTTTCATGTAAATTTGTAGGCTGAATGGGACGGAATCCAAGCTCTACCCCGTGCATGGCCTGACCGAGGCGAGATCCAGCTCAAGAAAGTTCGTGCCAGATACCGCCCAGGCTTGGAGTTGGTCCTCAGGGTATCGTAACCACACCTATCCGAAAAAGAGAATCCCTAGGACCTCTCCGCTAACATCGTGCAAGGGGAAAAGGTTGGAATTGTCGGCCGAACCGGCGCTGGCAAGAGCTCGATGGCTCTCGTACTTTTCCGTATTGTTGAGCCGTGTGGAGGCCAGATTATTCTTGACGGCGTTGATGTCCAAAAGATCGGGCTCCACGATTTGAGAAAGAACATTACGATTATTCCACAGGTTTGTCAAGCACAAATTTTACAAATATTTTAAACTTCTAGGATCCGGTTCTGTTCTCTGGCACCCTTCGTTTCAACATCGACCCAACGGAAGTGCATTCCGATGCTGAACTCTGGACGGCACTAGAACATGCTCATCTTAAAGAGTTTGTCGATACATTGCCTGCAAAATTAGAGCATCCTATCGATGAGGGCGGTGAAAATATCAGGTCCACTTTTTAAAGCAACATTTAAAATATTGTATTTTAGTGTTGGACAACGGCAACTTGTGTGCTTGACTCGTGCTCTGCTTCGTAAATCTAAAGTATTGGTGCTAGATGAAGCTACAGCAGCAGTTGATAGCCATACAGATGCATTGATTCAGGTGGCGAAACCGAAAATCCGAATATCCAAAAAAAATTGAAGACAACAATTCGACGCGAATTTGCCGCCTCCACGATCATTACTATTGCCCATCGTTTGAATACAATCATGGACTACGACAAGTAATTTCAAAATAATTTTTGAGTTTCGAATTCCATAGGATTATGGTGATGAAAGCGGGAGAAGTGGCCGAAATGGGATCACCCCAATTGCTGCTCCAGGACAAAGAATCGATGTTCTATGGAATGGCTGCCAGCGCGGGACTTGTAGAATGAATTGTGTTTTATTAGCATTAGAATAAATTTTTGACGGAATTCACTCCCAAATAACATTTTAAATAATCGGGTTTTTAGATCAAAAGTTACGGGTCGTTAAAGTATTCTGAAGGAATTTCAAAGCAGTTTCATTTTTCGAATTTGGTTCTGGTGACTATTTCCTTATCTGCATGGGCGGATGCAAATTTTATCATGTGGGCCACGATTTTCACACGGTTGGACGCGTTGGGTGATTCAGAAGCAGGTAGGGGCGAGCGGGAGGGTTAGGTTGGCAGGCCGATAAATGTCCTACTCGCTTTTGTTAGGCCATTCTGGTATCTGCATATTGGAAGTATTTATTATTTTCACATTTTTAAGAGACTTTTTCTATGACTTTAAGGGAATGCCACACCTTTCAAAAAAACCACCCATTGGCTCCCGTTGAACCCGCTCTCCATTAGCCATTCTAATTCAAATATCGTGTCGAGCCACACAGCTGTCTTTGGATGGTCTATTGTCAGGGTGTTGCATGGTTTAGATGAGAGAGCGGGAAGAAGGAGAGGCACAGACGGTCCATCGGTATCTCCTGGGGGCACATCTGTCTTCTTCCATGACCCACCCGGCATACCGGCGGGCCATCCTGGGGCCCACCACCAATTAACCCGTTATTTGCGGTCAGCCAAGGAAAGCCGCTTTCCAGAAGGTGGTCACGCCTGAATTTGTAGCATTTTTTTGTTATTTAAGGTTTTAAAATTATTTTTAATTTTTATGCATTACTTCCTTTATTAATGATTTGATGAGGAAGGTCAAAATGCTTCTGTAAAGCTTTGTGCTTTGCTTATAAGCGGATTTCGGCGGCTTAGGCTGCGATAAATCGGGGTAATTTTTAACATTAACAAAAGATATACTCCCCCGCTTTAAGTTCATCACTCTTTCGTAGTGATTAATACAAGAACGCTTCAGATCGAATACGGTAGATTTTGAATAGCTGTTGAAGTTTTAACTTAGAAGAAGCTATTTTAGTGGTTTTAGATCTTATTTAAATATAATTCGCAAGTTCTGTCTTATTTCCGCCCTTCCCAACCATTTAACCCAAGTTTTACAACACGCGGCTCCTTTTTACGTGCGGTAGTTATACCATAACCATCACCCCCTTGGTCATCCCTTCGAACAATGCGCCCATTGCGTAAATTGCCGGCGCCTCAAGTGGGTCAGGCCAAGTGGACCCAAGGACCCTACTTGGCCTGTTGGACCGAAGAGGATTTATTGAAGCACCCTCCAGATGCTACCATTTCTTATACTAGTCCCAATCTACCTTTAGTTTTTCTAAAAGTCAAATTGGCGCGCTAAATCTTGGCTTGGCTGTTCGTTTCGATGACCTTTTGCTAACGCGCGTCAGATGAATCATGATCGTGCAGGGAGCAGTCGATGGTACGGAGGGCTACCATTTGATTCTGGTTGTCGTGGACTTTTATTTCTTGAATTCCGTAAATCCTGTTATTCATATCATCATTCTATTATGGTTTAGCTACCTTTACAGAACAAATATTTTCATAGCTTAGGCGCCTCTGCCACCAACTCTTTTTGTACCAACGTTTTGAAATATGTACATACATTTCCTCTTCATTCAAAAATTTACAGTCTAAAATTCTAGTCCCTGTATTTTAAGGTGTTGTCATCTCTCCAATGTATACATTACGCAAAACACCAATCACACCTCGCGCCACCGCCAGCACGTCAGGTGAGTAATGGGATTGTTGTTTGTGCCTTGAGAGAAAACAGGGATTCCCTTTCTCATCCTCTCAATCCCTTTTTCTGTGCGCAAAATACGCCGTTTTCCTTTCAGATCTGCGAGAGGGATCGTTGTTTCCAGACGGCAGCGGTCGAGCCCCGGTCCCACATGTGCCCGTCAAGCAGATCACAAAATCACCAGCACACTCAACTGTTGGTTTTATGGTTCCTTGTTCATAAAATTAGAGATAAAATAAAAACTCTAAAATCAAAATAAAATTAGGTTTTTGTTTACTTTAAAATTAGCATAAAGAGAATTACCGCTCTCTGCTTCATTTTGGATAGCACTTTCGGTTCCTTATTTCCAATTGTTGGTGAGGTATGATCTTCTCGGGGCTTTATTATCGCCTTAAAGGTATCGAGAAATCAGTTAACATAGCAATATTATCATAAATTAACTCTGCTCCATCTTGCCGTTTTCTGCATGACGCTTCCGGTTGGGTTGTTGCCAATTGCAGTGAGGTTCGAGCTGTACGGACCTTTCTTTTCCCTCTAAAAACCGGTATCTTGCTTTCCATTTGCAAAGAAAAAAGTCGTAACAGCTCGAAAAACCAGCTTCCCTCCCCTGACCCATTGAAACGAACGCTTCAAGGATCCATCCACGTTCTAGGCCACCCCAACATGCCGTCATAAATCGCCACTGAAGCGCAAGGGCCGAAATTTAATGGTGAGTCAGTAACACACGGGGTTGATTGCTGATCTCTCTTTTTAGGAGTTCTTCAAAGCCGAGCGACCAAAGCCTGGGCGGATGGTTGTCCCAAAGTTCTTGACACGATCGAAGAGTCGGCAGCAGCTCTTCGCCGAAAAAACATAGAACCCAAAAGTTTTGCGATCCGGCGGGTAGAATAAATGGATTAGTTTGGTCTGTGAATGGAGCACAAGACCGGCTGCATGGTCGGTCGATGTTCAGCGAATTGTTTTGGGGGGTTGGGCATTTGGCGGATCGGGAGGTAGAGGGCGAGACATAGTAGGTGAAGGAGGATGAGGATGAGCAGGAGGAGGGGCGGAGATTTTTGCGTGTGTGAGGTGGTGCAAAAAGCACAACTCTCCACGGGAAGACGCCGGACAGTCAAGAGGTCGTCCACAACGCATCCATATACACAGACAACCTCCTCATTCCCGAAATTTTGCTGCATAAGCTACTACTATTGCAAGATCACATGCTATGCTTGCCTATACGGAAAAATTCCAAGCGAGATTAAATGTGGGTTTGTTTAATACTTTTGAATTCCTGAATTTTTCCTTCCAGCGTATTTTTGGTATAATTTGCATATAGTTAATATTGGTATAATAATTGGTATAAAAACCTTCCACTTAGCGCAACTTTTTTAACATTTCATTTTTTAGCGTTTGAGACTCAGTTTTCTATTTGGGTTTTCGTATTTGAAAGTTGCTGAATTTTTCTAATTCTGATATGCAAATAAATTTATCCAATATGCCAATATTATATTTATGTTATACTGTCATTCATCTTTTTAGCAATATTTATACCAACTCGGCAATTCGCTTGGCAGGCATCCATGGCGATATATAATCACAATTCTCCTCTTCACCATCCTATCAGCAATAGGTGTTGCTCGATTCCATCAGGTAGTCAACCCCATAGGCTTCTTCCATTTTTAGTATCCCTTTTTAGTGGAACAATCCACGCGAGACCTTCACCGACTCTGATTCACCAAGTTACAAGGAGCGAGCCGTCATCCGTGAATTCCTCGGTGTTCAGGGAAACGTCCATTTTGTCGACGTAGGCATTATAGAACTTATCGAACCTGATCGGAAAAATAATTGTATGATCAGCTGCTGCTTTGTCTTTCCGTTTTTTGAATCCCTCCTGTCGCATGACCTTGATTCCCAAAACGGAGGGATGCGTTTTGAACAGGCATTTTCCAGGTATTGATCGAGGCGACCGACAATGGGAGTCTATTGAGGACTGAAGAATTGGAGAATTTGGATCGTTTCCTCAATGATTCAACGGCTGTTGTTCATGAGAAGGGAGAAAATCTAACCTATAATGATATGTGCACACCGTTTTGTGCGAAAAATGCACCGCTGATTGCGTTGGTGGATATATTGAGGAAGGATTTGGCGGTTATGGTGAGTTTTTAGGAAAAGTCGGAGTCTATAAAAACAAGCTGCCAAGCTTCTAGACGTTTCGGATTGTTGATTAGTTTGAGCAACAATCTATCCATCAAACAACCACCTTTGCAGAGAACTTATCCCAAATACGAGCTCGGAGAACAACAACTATATATCGGGGACAGCGTTTATGACGTTTCCATTAATGAGACGACTCGGGAGATCCAGGTTGGATTTTACAACGTGCGCAAAAGGGCAGAAAATGAGACATAATCTGTTTTGTTGCCCTACAAATTTTTTGAGGCGTGTTTCACTAATTTTTGGTCCCAAAACAACAAAAGCAAAATAGATGATAGCCAATTCTGCGCGGTTTCTTTTTTTTTTGAATGTACTCACTTTATCCTAAATCGAAAAAGGGCAAATCAAAACAAACGCTATCCATTCCCACTGTTTATGGTTTACCTATCCAAAATTGTAGCGATTTGTGCCGACCTTGAACGGCCAGAAACCGTCGGCATTCCGCCGCCAACAAATTGTTTGTGGGAGTTCTGTTTTCCACCGGGATCCGTGCCAAAACTATGTCGAAATGTGAGAAAGACAGTCTGAGGAAGCACTTTCAGGACATTGGGGCGGTCGTTGTTCACTTTGTGCTCACACACCCCACAAAAGATGCAATGTTTCGCTGGGAGGAGGAAGTGAGTACATCAAAATAGTTTTTTAAATGGTAACTTTAGTTAGTAAATTGGCTACAGCGGGGGTTGTATCCAAAATTGTCGATTGGCGCCTCGTCTGATGAATTGATTAGGAAGGAAGTTCAGGTTTTGGAACAAAATTAATTGACATGAAAAAATATTTTAGTCCATGGGTATGAAATCATCCTACGGTCTCGTGGTGGCTTTAATAATTTTAATTACATTTATGATCATCTGTTCGCTACGGTAAGCTGACGAGCAAAAAATTAAATTGGGCTTTAGATATGATTTGAGCGAGTCAAAATGGTGGGAATCACTTTGCGGGGCTGGGATCCCTGTTTTGGTTATGGTAGCTACCATCGGACTCGTTTCCGCCTCTGGATATGCTTTTCAATCGATCGCCGTGGCTGTCATGTTTTTGATTCTGGCTATCGGTATGCTTTTCTACCGTAGTTTAAGGGGTTTTTTAGGAATTGACGATGTATTTTTGATGATTGCAGCTTGGCATCGGACAGATAAAAAATTGCCAGTAGCCGAAAGAACAGCTAGAACTGTCGAGGTATAGAAAACATTAGTCTTCAATTATGTGTTCAAATTCCAGTCTTCCGGTAGTTCAATGACTGTCACATCCATCACAAATTTTATCTCATTCGGAAATGGATTATTATCAACAACTCCAGTTTTGCAGGTAGCTCGTTTTAGTCAATTTGATTCTACCTATCCTTAGTGCTTCGCCATCTACGCCACAGTAGCGTCTGTGATCGGCTTCGTTTTTCAATTAATCCTTTTCCCAAGCATTCTGGCTCTCGGCGCTTACAAGGAAACAAAAGTCAAGACAAAGGCAAGATCCTGATGCTAATTTTCAATTTATTTACTTTACAGGAGGAAAAATGCTGCACCCGATTCCCTCCGGCTCCCTATTTGGAAAAATTCCGTCGATCGGTTTGTCGAGGGATTGCAAAGTGCGCAACGAACGGCTACGTCCAATTAGCTACGATATTTGTAAGTAAAGATCTTAGTACAATCAATTTTGTTTTTAAGCTAATGCTGGTCTACTGGGCAGCGTCTGTATATGGCCTAACCCTAATGGAGACCGAATTGGCTATACAGCACTTGGCGCCTAAAGAATCGCCGCTGGTCAGAATGCGAATAGAATTTGATGAGACCGTTAAGGTATCTGAATTGCTATAGAAAAATGTATATTAAAACTAAGAAAATGCAAACAATGGTGGTCGTCGTGAAAAATCCAGGAGATTTGACTAATTCCACTCGCCTGGAAAGAATGAATGCTATGGTTCGGTAAGTAATCTACGATTTTCCGTCATCGATTTTATAGTGAATTCGAAACGGCTCCTCATTCATATGGAAATGCTTCGACACTTTACTGGATCCGCGAAATGATGGCAGATGAGGTACCGCAAGCTAAAGGTCAAGCGAATTACGATAGTTTTTTTAGGAAAAATTCGACCTATCATCTGTTGCCGATTTTGTGACTGATACTCCTCAATGGATTGCACTAGTTAAGGTATGCAAATTCGTAGTTGCCAAACCTTGAAAGCTAGCTTGATGTTGGCGAATGTGAAGAAGGCAACAAGCAATGCATCAAGGAATTTATGTTCACCACCGGATTCACCGATTACGTTAGGTATTTCGAACTACGAAAAGCATAACTCCTCGGCTACTTTTCAGATACAACGACGTGTTCAAGCTCATCTCTCACTGGCGGCAGATCGCAGATAAATATAGCGAATTCCAGGCTTACCCGTACACCGAGCGAAGTGATTTTTCGGACTCGGTAGGTTCATATTAATGACTGTTCACATAACGTTCAGGCAAATTCTCTGGTTGAAACGATCTGGTGGACAATTATGTCTGAAGTGATTTGCATGGTGTTGGCTTTTATCTTCTTTATCCCCAATATGAATAGTATAATCGCGGCAACGTTTGCGTTGTTCAGCGTTAATCTTGGTATGCGAAAATTTTTGAGCCCTAACTCTTGAATTTAGGCGTTCTCGGATTTTTAAATCTCTGGGGAGTTGGGGTGGACCCATTCAGTTTGGCATCGTTGCTGATGTCTGTCGGGTTTTCCGTAGATATCTGTGCTCATGTCAGCTATCATTACTATCAAATGAAGGGAGAGGTAAGTAATTATCATATTAAATACGAATATATAAACTATTTAAGTCCCCGCAAACCCGAATCGAACACACGATCTCTGACGTTGGGTGGGCGACAACCCAAGGAGCCCTCTCGACAATCTTCGCTATGTCACCGACAGTTTTCTTTGACTCCTACTTACTTCATGTGTTCTTTAAGGTATATTTAAGACTTTATATAACGCAATTGATATGCATTTTTAGACCGTAATCCTTGTAAATACGTTTGGGCTTATTCATGGTCTCTTTGTGCTTCCGGTGCTCCTTGGCATCTTATCACGGTTCCAAACACCAAAGTTCTTCAAAAGAAGGTAAAAACTATATAGCATTTGGGTTATTGGATTTTTTTGAAATCTTCACAATTATAACTTTCTAGAAACATCCAAGACGTCAATGGTTTGGCTGAAACTAGTAAATACTAAAAATCTCCATGCATTAACGATATACGGGTCCTTAATGAAAACGGATGCTCTTTTGATTATGTGATAAATATTTGGTATTTATTGATTGAAACAAAAACATACAGTTCATTCCGGGATTGCCTCATAATTATTTTGGAAGAAGTGGAAGGTTTTGTATTCACGATTGACCTTCGCAACAGCTGATACAATATTGGCCATTGAGAATAGAATTATGATGAAAGTGGCGATGGCGTCGGCGACGTAATAGCCATTCTGGAACCAAGATATAAGTAATTTAAGTTGCTTACCATAACAAGTACTGCCACAAGTAGAACAAGTACTCCAAAACCATGGTTGACAACACCGTGCAAAAGCTCTGGTCTTCGATACAACCATAAATTTGTTAATCGCTGGCGATCGGATGGGTTTCCGCTCCAATCTAAATCACTAATAAGTTTAATTTTCTCTTACTTACCAGCTTTATAATGCATAAACAAAAGGATACAATTGGTTGTCAATGATAAAATAGCTCCGACCAGCATCCATGGATTTAAAATGTCCATATAACCTTCGTTTATGTGATGCACACCAATAATTGTAAACGTCACGTTAATTAGGGTAAGCACCAACGCTGACCCAAAAATTGTCATTAACTCTAAATATCGCTATCGTGTTACTATGGGAATTAGAACAACCTATTCGTCGATAGACTGGGGTATGGAGTTGACTGTATTTATGTTGTTCGATGAAATCTGCAAATAATCGCCCAGCATCAGCGGTGATTGCTAGAGACCCGGAAATAACTCCTAAAATGGGTTTTAACAAGTTTTGCATATGTTTGATGATACCTGCTACGGTTTGTAGAAGAATTAAAAGTAACGAGGCAATTGAAGCGGCACGTATAGATTGCAACCTCCTAGAGATCGCATAGGAATTATTTCGAAACCTAGACCGACCTTCTGCTCAGATGGAATATTTCTGAAGGTTGGTTTAAAGATTCATAAGTTGCCCGTCGAGGTCGATCGTTGAATTCACGAACAACATCTTCCATTTTACAGCAATTACACGACGAATTAGGAAAATTGTTTATCGTCTGGCGAAAAAGCGCGGCAGGGAGAAATTGTATTTTCTGGTCTTATCAGGTGTCCCTGCCGGCCTGTTGGTACCCGCAAGACCTAAATCAGAAGCCAAGAACAAGGTTGGGTCAGCCTGGGGTACAAGATAGAGAGATTGATAGGGCTCAAGAAATTTGCATATCACCCACTTACTTGAAGTTCTCATAGTTGCACCTTAACAATCTCGAAGATATAAATATTCTTTCATATTTTCACTTACCGTTGCTGCCCCATGACATGTCTCCCCCAATTTTTCTCACATTTTATCTCGGAAAGGGCGTCAAAATTGGCTCAAATTGGATCCAGTCTTTAATTCGTGAGGAGGAGCACCTCCCCCTGACAGGGCTGTCCGGTGTAATCTGATGGCAGGGAGACCGGGCGTAATTTGCATAGTTTGTTCCTGCATTTCACTCCTTGGAATTGAAATTCGACGCCTTTGTTGGTAGAGTTTATTTTTTGCAGCATTTTTTTATCTGATTATTGCATAGTTTCGAATCGTTTAAAATTAAAAGCTGCTTCAATGAAAGGGGTTGGAAAGTGAGGAGTATCTCATATTGGATTCTACAGCCTTCTTTGTCTAAATTTGTCTAATATTTGAATAATGTTTTGTATTTAATGTTATATTAATTTTAAACGGCTTAAGCGCATAAATTAGTGCAATTAAAAATACTGGAAGGTGCGGAATATCGCCAACATGGCCCTGAAAAAAAAGCAAGGGTTTTTCTAAATCTATGATAGATACGTTAATCCCAGCTCCATGCTAATTTTTTCCTAGATGATGTATTATTCCTTGATGAAGGTGTTGACTTTCCGGTCCCTTTAGACGTTACGCGCACCCTAAAAAACCCAGAAATTCCACTTATGTTCCTTCAAGATTCGAAACGACCGGTTCCGCATCACTACTCTAACCATGCGTTTTGGTGGTGGTGGGTGATGGGAAGTGAGTGTGGATGAGAGAATGATCCAACCGATCACCCCGTTGAGGGCCCAACAGCCGTGTCCTCCCAGCTTCTCCTTCCCTCTTGCCCTCCAATGCCACGACCCCTGGTTCCTCAGCTCACAACAAAAGCCCTGCCATCATTCCTCAATAAATTCCGCCATGCTCCACCCTTCGTTCTGACTGGTGGCGGCCATTCGTTTGTCTTCTCTCGATCATTACCACACTAATCATTTCAAATGGGTTTCATTTTTATGGGATGTGCGAGTTACGGATTGTTTGAGAGCCATTATTTGGCATTTCGGTTATATTATTCTCTAGCTGGGTAGCTGCTTTGGTCAGTTGCAGGGCACGATAAGAACTATATTACACCGTTTTTGAGCAAATCCATCAAATTTATCGTTGCTAATTGATTTTTCGATGCCGTCGCCTATTGCTCCCGGTTCCAGTTTTCTCTCATTAACACGCAAACAGCTACCATCCAAAAATGTCTTACCCGAACTGCAGCTCCCGTCAAAGTTTTGATTTTAGTTTTGTCCTCTGTCACGTTTTTGACTTTTGGGTTAGTTTTTTATTTCCGGCGTCATGATTCCTTTCAAATTTAATAAATCTCTGCCAGCTTCGTTAGATTTTCATTGATCCTCTGCATTTCGTATTAATTTTTAGCCAGCAGGGCTCGTTTCTCGTATTAATGCGCAAATGCACGACTATTCTCCTCTTGCCTATGAGGTCCGTATTTCACATTGCGAAGCGTTTTACTGTCTTGTTATTTTTCCGACTTTTTCCTTCCGCTTACAACTTTTTCAACTAACTTAATTGTTGTAATTAAAATCAGTTATGGTTCATTTCAGAATTTATGAAATCACTGCTAGCCTTCGTCAACGAGAAAACAAGCAGCAAGACAAAAAAGCAAACCCTAGCACAAGAAAAACATGAACTAGGAATCTTCCGCACCAGGTTCTACCCTTTTTTCTTCGAAATCTCCTGTTGTAGCAAAATTTCGAAAGATGACTCGTACACATTGATGAAGCCACGTGTTGTCGACAGCGAGCGTGAGGAGGACGAGGGGGACAGCGGAGGGAAGAGGGAATTTATTGTCCCGCTGCGGGTAGTTTTATTTGTTTTTTGATCCAACATTGGGATCGGTTCTTAGAAAACCAAGTCGCGGGAGCAATGTGTCCAGACGGTTCGCATGGCACCAGCATTTTTGAAGCGGCGGCCGAAATCGCTATTTGCTGGGTGAGTTGTTTCACTGTTTCGGTGATGTGGTATGAAGGTTTTTTTTATAAAATTTGGTATTAATATAATTTTGTTATATATAATATGAAGCTTTTAAATTAAGTTTTAAAAGAATTCAAACACTGCATAGGAAACATGATAACAGGTCTTATCGTGCCTCATTCAAATATTTAAGCAAATCTTTATACTTTACTGTACCCAACCTACTTGGCCACAAAAGCTGATCATGAGCATGACGAGGTTATGAGGCGTGTGTGTGTGTCAGCTGTGCAGCTTGTGAGGACACGCAATCCGGGCCCTCCGAGGTCACCCTTTTCCGTTCGTTCCGTTTTTCTGTGAAAACCTTTCGACGGCTAGGGAGGAGCTGCAAAACCCATTCAACACCCTAGCCATTCTGCTGTCCTCCCTCCAGGGCAAGGCCCCCGGTCCTATAGCCCCTCATAACCTCAACCCCGATGTTCTGGTTCGATGGCTCGCCGAAACCTACTTCGAACCGTGGCTCTAGCCGATTCTTGGCAAAGTATGCAGATACTGTCGCTAAATTCTTGCCCGCCAATCCAGCGGTTGCCATTTTAAGATGGAAAATGCCGTTGAAGATCGAGTAAGTTGAGGAGCAGGAGGAGAAGGTTGGGTCATGGGGAGTGATTTGTTTATTAGCTGCACAGCTGGTTGTTTATATCGAGAGTCGTGCGGGGCCATAGGTTTGAGCTAGCAATATAGTGGCGCTCGGATTTTATGAACGCGCCAACTAATGGCCGGGTTTTGTGGCGTAATGGACTTCTCATCAGCATGTAAGTGATTGAAATTCTGTGGAAATGTGCATAGTAGGATTTCTTTGAGATTTTTTTGCTATAATTAAATCTAGATGAACTACACTAGCGCTCTAAAAGGTTCATTAATATTATATAAAAACGAAATAAAATTAGATCAAATCAAGTCGATCAAGTCGGTCTAATTGCGTTAGTAGGAGACTACGTGTTTTAAGGCTTCAAGTATTTCTCATTTGCCTAAAACTTAGGCAATATGATTTAACCGGTTGAATATTTATTTCATTTTTTTTGGATGCAACCCGTTGAATTTTAATAAAAAATCCTTGCCTAGACAAGGATGTAGGTTTTGCAAGAACCCCTCCCCCAGGCAATGAGTTTTGTTTTTCTTGGCCTATCGACCCAATCTCTTTGGGTGCCCTGATAAATGATCCTTGTACAAACCGACCAGGTCAAACCCCTCGGGGTTTTCTTCTTGAACCCCTGTAAAAGAGAACACCCAGTCCTCTCGGGGTATCCATCCGTGTGAGGTGCCTTTCGGTGTAATCCCGCACATCTTTTCTCGGCTTGTTGCGCCCGATTTGCCCATTTGACCCCCCATCAGCCGTACTATACGCGTCAAGCTTTACGCCTTACTATATAGCCCATTCCCTCCAATATGACCCTTTGAAATGACCACAAATTTCCCCTACAATTTCAACACCCTGCCCCAACCCTTCATCTCATCCAATTTTGACCTGACTCGACGAAGAACAAACAGCTTCGATGATGGCCTCTTTGCGCAAACCCCAAAAACCGCGATCCGGTCAGCAAGAACGGCGTCCAAACATCTGTTGCCCAGTCTTTACGATTCGAAACTTGGAGCTAAGCGAGTACTATACTCTGACCCATCACTACCTCCCCAAAGACACCACCCAAGAAATATTCGAAATATGATCGAAAATCTCAGAACAGCCTCACTAGATAAGAACCAATACTCGAAGAAAAAACCGGCCAGACGTGGCTCTGTTCAAGAACGTATTCATTCTTTCGAAATATTGAAGCATTCAAAATTACCGAAGCAAGCCGTAGCCGAAATTGATGAAAATATTGACGTTCTTCCGAGTGTGAAGAACAAAATCGCCGAATTTGAACGGCGATCTTCAATCGATAGCATTATTATGCCACCTGCGCAAGTACAAATTGTCAAGGCCAAAATCTATCCATTCGAGACCCTAATTTCGGATCCTGTTCGAGGAAATGCGGCTTTATTAGATGTGAAATTCGATGAGATTCGAAGGCTATTTAGCCCTGATCATATTGGACAAGAAAGGATAATTCCGATCAATATTTTGGGACGAAAAGCGTTGGCTACTCTATCCTCCTCAAAAATCGTCACCTACGAGCCGCTAAAACGCTGCGCCTTTGTGAGCGGTATTGGGAGTAGGCGTGAGCCGAAACGTATCGAGTTGGTGTTGCCGAGAGAAGGCTTCTCCGATGTGTTTGTATGTCTACATGCATCTCTGCGTGCTGGGGAACAAATAGAAGATATGACTTGTCTGATGGCCGTCAATGCCAATCGCTTTCATCTGCACCCACGTTTCCCAGGGATCTATCTTGGGATGGATATTTCGGCTTGCGGCGAGCATGCACGTTATAAGGATTGTTATGATGACCTACGGTTTTTGGCTGTGCGGAAACCGAGGATTGCAAGGGAATTGGAGATTAATTCTGATGAATATTTGACAGCCGAAGAGGATACGGAAATGGAAACGTGAGATTTTGCACTATTCATCGTAATCTCTAGAATCGCTTACCGTTCTTTTGAAGATCTTTTTCTAGAATGTGTCATAGTTTTTTCTCGGAAGGGCAAATGTGTGGTTTTTGCGAATGATAACATTCACTGAATCTGGATTTTTTCGTGTAGCAGATTGGCCTACGGCAGTTCATTGCAGTCCGATCGTTTCACTGAATTAAATACCCATTAAATGTTCCTGCGTTTTAATACTTACTAAATAAGATCCATCTAAAACGATAATGACTAGCAATCAATCGGCTATATTATGTGTTCGTATTGTACAGGAATTCCAAGTTTTCTACAAATTCGCGTGAAGTCTTTTACCTATTTTTTATTATCTTAAAATATGCTATTTCAGCTTGAGCTTTAGTAGAAATTTAAGCATTAAATTTGCCCATATAGTTCTACTAAAGATCTTCTTTCTTTTTGCGAGCTTTTTCGAAAGTTGAAGCCTTCGTGATTTTTAGGAAAATCCAATACCAAGGTTACTCCGATTTCGCTTAATTTCTATGAAATTTTTGATTATTTCTTTCAAATAGTTTAAGGTTTCCTTTTGAAGCTTTGTCCTGAACTCAATTTGACGAAATAGTACGCCGAAATACTTTCCCACAATCTCACTTTCCGAAGTCCAAACGCCCATCACGAACTATCCTCTAGTTCAAACAAATCCCCCCCGCCATGGCCACATGTGTTCCAAAACCTTTCAACTGATCACACCAGAGCATGTTCACTAGGATCAGTTCACCTTCAAAAACCGCTATCCTCTACAAAAAAACAAGCGAGCGTGGCTGTGTTGGGGCTGAAACGGATCCCTGGGGCCACTTCTTACGAGGTTCTTTACAGTGCCCTTGTGTGTGTGAGCACGGGGTTTTTATGCAAGGGAGATAGAGGTGGGGAGAAAGAGTGTTGTGAGAAGGAGCCCAAAGGGTGGAGGGCTGTCTTTTCAGCCCGGATCACCTGAAACTCGAGCCCAGCACCAGCTCATCCCGGGCCCTCCTAAAAGACATAAGCACAACTATTGTGCGTGTGATTTTGCCACACGGCGACCAGACTACGCTACGCTACGATGGGCATTTGGCTGTAGACGGGATGCTCGTGTAGTGATATTTGCCGGATATTCACCCAATCTGCCGAGAGCCGCATTTCTTTACGGTTTTAGCAGCCATGACGATTGCGCAGAGTTTTATGAAATGGATGCTGTAAGTGCTGGGCACTGTATGATTCACATTTAAACCCTAGGAAGGTTCTTTTGTAAGCTTTATTTAGACGTTACGATTTTCTGATTTTTGCTGATTTTTTACGGTATTTGGCGATTATCGAAATTTAACGAATTTTCATTAAATTCTTCGTTTTTAAAATTTTTAGGCATTGATTCTTGATTGCTTTGAGGAACGAGGTTTTAATACAACTATAAATATTTCGTAAATGAGTTTCCACGCAGCCTTATGAAACTTTCAAACCTCCACCCTCAAGTTTCGCCACTGACCACCCGCAGTGCAACAAAACACATATGAAAATCGTACATCTTGTCCAGGCTTCTTCACCCCCCCCCCCCCTTCCCTGGGCTAGCCAACTCGCCTCTGCTTTGAATTAGGGCCCGCCGTCATTTGGGGCAGCCGGGTAGGGGGGATCTCACAAGCCCGGAGATGGGTAGCGGCCAGTTGGATAGAGGAGCTTTTGGAAGTGGCAGAGATTACACCTGACCACTTCCACGGGCCCGTGTCGGCCTTTTTTGAGGCCAACGATGGGCCCTACCGTCAGCTGGTTACTCTAGCGACGTGGCGGGGAAGCCCCCCCTTTAGGCTTGGGGTGTTAGGATGAAGAAATAATTCCGGATAATAGGTATTTCGAAACATTAAATGATCTACGACAATGCACATGTTTTTAAAAGGCGCATTTCCTACATGTACTTTTTCGAAAAGATCGTCTGCTTTCAATGGTTTCTCTTTCTAAATTCTACTTCTACTTTATAAATTCTGTATGTAAATTTTTATAGTTATAAAATTAGCTAATCGAGTAATATAGCGCAAACACACATCCATAGTAAAAAATAACAGTCGGAATATCTTCCGAATCGCTTTAAGGGGTATAGAATTGCAAGCATCAAATTACGCCTGCCAAAAACATTCAAATTTCAAAAAAGTCAATCTTATGGCGCATATATTTACACACAAAATCCAGAAAAAAACTATTGTTATTAAACGTACGTTCCTGGCGTTTTTTTACAGATGGAAACCAAGCAAAATTCGTTTTACTCATTTTAAATTTATTTAATAATTTGATTAAGATTAAGAATTAAAGAAAAAAAAGAATCTGAAAATTAAGGAATCGTGCCCTTGTTCATTCTGTCATAGTAATGAGTTTATTTTCAGAGCCGGTGAGCCGCGGACGCAGAGCATCGTGGTGAAGGGCAAACGAGAACATGAGACCTTTGCCGTAGCCAACCTGGAGGCTCCTGTACAGTAAGTTTTCTCCTCCCTGTTACAGGTCTTTTAACTTAGAGGCATTACACATCTAGAATGGAGTTTGAGGCACAGGCTAATTAGGATGAAAAGCGCAGAAAACCAGAAAAATTTGCTTTTTCGCAAACCATTTTTTCCAACTTTCATACTTTCCATCTTAATTAGCCTGTGAACCCACGCGGCGTCTTTATGCGTAACATCTTCCTTTCCTCAACCATCAATGAACATCCCCCCAAAAAGACAATGCCCCACCCTGATTGTGGCAACACAAAAAAAAACGGACGCAGCAGCTAGATCTGGTCTTTCTATCCTTGAGAGGGCCTTCCCTCCCATGGACCTGCCACCATCCCCCCAAGATTCCATCATATCCCCACGGACTTAAAGCATACAGCAAACAGCGGCTTTTCCTCCGAATCTGTTCCGGGAACGCCGTTAGTCTGCTTATTGAAATCTATTCACAACTTGCAATCCCACCCAATCTACTGCCCTAAAAATGAAGCTAAACGAGATCGCAGGCTCGGAAGAAATGTGGGTTTGTCAGAAGTTGGGGGCAAACTGGTTGGTGATTGAATTTGATCGTCCGGGATGTGTCTCTAAGGCTTGACCAACCGATCCTGTCTATTTTGCTTTTATAGTGGGTTATATAGCGTATTTTTATTAGGTTGTAATAAGGTTTTCCGGAGATTGGGGCTATTTGCGTCTGAAGGGGCAATAAATTCAATGCAAATTGCCTAAAATTTTGGACGCTGTTGCGTCGTATACAAATATTTCAAGGCTGCAAATTTGAGGGTGTGGAGATGTTGCATATTTCAGATATTTTTATGCAAAATCGAGGTAGGAAAATTTTAAGGGATTTGTTTAGAGCTCCGGTTTCGGATTCCATTGCTGTAGCGCCTTTTTTAATTTTTGAAAAGCCTGGTATAAGTATTGGGAAAGTCTGCCGGATTTATGGCTTCCTTATCCCTTTCAAAGTATATTAAATATTTTCATTACGTCAGTTTCAATCATTTACTACCTATAATCTTGACTTCTCCCCCGTTTTGAGGAGTGGTTCTGGGGGTGTGTCGGTGAAGTAGGTTAGCCAAACTGGCGAGTGCCGCTATAGAGGGGTTGGGGCAAAGAGGGCCGTTCTTGGTCTAGCGCCGTCCATAGGACTGTGGGGGGAGGTCTGTGGCGAGAGTCCTTCATTTGCATAGCAGGTAATCGCCTTCTCCCGACCTTCCCCTCCTTCCTTTCCTTCCTTCGTTCCTTATTTCCACGACGGCGACAATGGAGAGACCGTTTCCGGTTGTCGTTTTAAGCCGTTTTGATCTGCATTTCCGGGTATTTGATCTGGCCGTGCACCAATTTTATTATATACTGTCTTTTAGCTAATAGTATAAAAATCTATAAACATCTTTTTTGTGGTTTGGAAGCAAAAATTTAAATCCTGAGGCCTTCTCCTAATTTCAAGTTTTTTGATCAAATAGCATCACATCCAAATCTCCAACACTCTTTCACATGGCCATTCCATCCCATCCCTCCTCCTCCCCACCCATTCAAAAGCAAAATCCAAAAAGTTGACCTCTTCCTCCCCATCCTCCTCTTCCTCCTCGTCGATCAGTCAGTCGGTCCTCCCTCACAATCCCCCTCTATCCCCCCTTGCTGTCTCTCCATAACTTGTCACCCACAATTATACGCGCGATCGCGAAAATGCGCACTGACGCCCAAAAAGCGAGCCGCCGGTGCGAGAGACAGGCTTTGCCCTAGTCAGTTGCATTTCCGCTACAAGCCGATTGACGTCTCTTTTTTTGCAGATCGAAGGAGACGGTGAACAAGACGATAGTTGTTGGGGTGAAGCAGCGAAGTGTTCAAACCGAGAAGGTGGCGGCGACGGTGAAGCTGGATGAGGTTAGTTTTGATTTTATTGATGGTACCGAATTATTAGAAGCCTCTGATTATCGGCCCCTCCTCTGCTCAAATCTAGACAAGTTTTGTACAAATCAGAAAAATTAAATGGGTTTTTATTTCTTGTTTCCATATTATTTGGACATCGCGGCAATTTAAACTGGTAAGCTGATGGACTTGACAAAATGTTCAGTTTTACTTGTTATTTTAGTGTTGTGGTTGTGCGAAAATTCTCTAATAAAATAGCCCCTACAGGACGATTAAAAAAATTCGCCAAATATTTATAACGCTTTGCGGGACGTTAGGGAATCTTTTGCCCCAGATCCACTTGGCCAATGCCATCCATTTTCGATGGGTCTAGAGATCCGGCCCCATAGGCCAGCAAACGCTGATCTGGGTGTGCGCGGACGCGCGATCGGGAGGGCCGATCCTTTACGACACTTCAGCCAGCCAGCATATGGGAGGAGCGATGGGTCTGGCTTAGCTTGATCATGTAGAACTACCAACCACCCATTCAGCACCCCCTGCTAACTGAGAACGCCGAGATTTATGTCCTATTTGGCCTGGTGGGCTCCTCTTTCTCGTCCTCAATCTTGGGTGGCCTGGTATCGGGCTCAAGTGTGGGTGGAGGGAGGGGGCTACTTGAGGCTTTTTTGGTGTTTGTTGGCAGACGTCTTCCTTTAGGGAGCTGTAGGATTGTGGGTTGAGGTAGGTAACGTTATTTGTCCTGTTCATTTGCCAATAAAATTCCTTTACCTTATTTACAGTAATTTTTCTTAAAATTGGCTTTTTCTAAAGTCGTTCGGAAGTGGAAAAGACTTTGTTTCTTAATGGCGTTTTTAGTAAAAGTTAGCTATACTTTAAGGAAAAACTATTCATAAAGCTGGAATAAGATTGAAGAAAAGCTGTCTAAAAGGCCTCCCAAAAAAATTTTTACCAGATTTTTCGCTATAATCGATGAACTCAAAGACTTTTTATAATTTTTCTAATTGAATAAATGCAAGCTAAATACCCAATATCGTGTCCTACTTTTCTACAGTCGCTCCCCCCCTCCAAAACCCCAATTATTTTTTACCGCCAAACCCTCTTTGCAAAAACACAACCAACCGGTTGTTCTCCCCTCTGCCACACCCCGCTTGTCATCCCCGACCAAAATTCGGCTCCTAGATTTCTACCTTTTTAGGCGGTTCGCTTTTCAACCTGTTGCCCAGAAAATGCAACCCCAGCCCGGGGCTTTCCCACTAATCCCATGAGCGATTCTATGGCCCCGCTTTTTTTTTCTTTTGACAAATGAGCGCACCTGGGGGCATTGGGTCGCGTTTTTTGGGCGTTCCCCGATTTCTTAGGACGTCTGGCTAAAAACCCAGCCTGAACGCAACTTTTTGACTTTGAGCCGTGTTGAGATACTAGGGATTTTAGCCAGCTTAAAGCGAAAAAAGATTTGTATCTTTTTTGGCGATATCGAAATCATAACCCAACTCCCTCTTGCAAAGTGCTTGACGGAATAGAAGCCCTTGGCTTAAACACATTATAAAAACCACCGTATCTTGACATAGCTACTTCCTAGCTTCCTTAGACAGGGTCTTTGTTTCGTGGGATCATGTCAAGTAAACAATAGACTGTGCCCTGCTAGGCCGTTGTGGGACCTAGTGTCGTATAACCCCCGCCTAGTCTTCTAGTCTCTTCATCAAACTTTTCGACGTTGCGGGGGTTCTAGTCAGCTTACACTTGGTGATTAGCCATGTCGGCGTCGCGCGGCACCTGAAAATCATTGGGGTCCGGGGTTTTCCGGCAGAATTCATGGGTGTCATGCAGCTCTACAAATATTCGCCGTTGCTTGTAAGTTGACGTTAAGTTAAAAAAACCATATCCAGAATAGTATTAGTATTTTACTTTATTAATTTTTCTTTTTAATAGCCGGGCACTTTGCTTATATTAATTTTTATAATTTTTAGGAATTAAAATAAATTAGGCTACCAACTATCCGCAAATCGAAACTGAGCACGTGAAGCCTCGCATGCCAATTAGGCAATTTATATGTCACTTACAAACGTGAAAATGATTTATAGCACATCATTTCCGTAAAATTCGGTTAATCATATAGTAAGCTATGCCATCGACGGCCTCTAAATAACTTACTCGGGGCCTTAAAAATCTCCCCCTATACGATATCGCTGCGACCTGGGTTTCTATGCAAATTGTCCAGAAACACATCAACTTTTTATATCTATGATTGCTTAAAACTCCATAAAAAATTACGAACCTTTCCCAAGGTCACATCCTAATTAATCGATCTCCGAAATCTGACGGGTAAAATGGATCTCATCGACATATCTCCGCTTCAAATATTGTCTCCCCTCCCCCTAGTCCACCTGGCGCGCGGGCCGATCCGGGGCGCCACCATTTTTTCGTCGTCATTTCCATCCCGTGCGTCCGATCGTAGATTGGTTGGGCCGATACCCCGACGGGGAGGTGGACAGGCAACATGCAGATCGGCCATCATCTGGGATGGCCTGCATTTGGATATTCACGCCTGTTTTTCACCGTTGCTCAAAATTTTTGGCTTAGAAAACACCTGGAAAATTTTTCCTAGCTCTTGAAGCGCTCCTATATTTGAATAGTGGGCAGTGACAAGTATGGTATCTTGGCACTGCCCTTCTCTTGATAGGATCTTTAACGCTTATAGATTCTACAGTATCCTTCAAAAATATAAGCAAATCCGACCTATCTATCTATTAAAAACCCAGGCCCTACCCCAATCATTCAATATTCTGGCGCCAAATGGCAAAACCCTTTCGCCCTCCTTCAACAGCAGGCGGGGCCTCGGCACCAATTCCATACTCCCAAAGGGGAAAAGGCTGATTTGTCAGCCAGCCCACGCTAGCGATCTCTCCAACAATCCGAAAATGGCGAAAGAACATGCCCATCTGCCCCCATACAGCTGCATACACCCCCCTACCATCCACCTCTTTTTTCATTCTCCTCAATTCTGACCACCTTTTTTGAGGCGCGCGCGTATGAGTCTACCCCCGCACGCGCTCCCGCATAAAAACAAGGGGTTTGCCTCGGGTTTTTTGGTTTTTGGATGGTCGTAGTGTCGGGATTCTGTGGTCATTCCGCATACTTAGCTAGGCTGGGCTCTAGAATATGGTCATATTGATTATCGAGGCTTTTTGGAAAGAGGTTTGTTGTTTTTGAGTTTGGAGTCATGAAGGATTTTCAAATTTTTAATTTCGATGCTAAAAATATTCTCTAAAATTTAAAATAATATTTTTCCTCGCACTATTCAACCTAACTCTACTCTACCTTATCAATAGCCACAAGACCCCCAACACCGCTTCTCTTTTTTGCCATTTTATCCCCCCTATTCCTCAAATGCCCCGCAACTCAAGTATATTGACACTTCTGGAGGGGCCACCTCCAGCTGGGTGTGGGGATAGGGACTGTCAACACAAAAGACTCCCTGAAAGACAATTAGTTCGGAATATACCTTCGTAATCCTCAAATTCAGAAGGCTCCGCTGAGGTGTCCGGAGACTTCGGAAGAAGAAGAGGAGCACGTTAGTGGGCAGACGACTGAATTGGTCGAGGAACAGCTGCGCGAGATTGGCATTTTGGCGGAGAATATTGCTAATTCGGTAAGTTTAAATATATTACTTTTTATCGCTTTTCTGTACTTTCAAAAAATCATTGCCTTGTTATATTTCCGATCAGTTTTCATTTTTTGACGTCCCCGCTTTTACAGAACAACCGAAAGCTCCGCGAGAGCGACGTGATGTCAACAAGCGCAAGCAGCTCATTCGTTCGACTCGATAATATTGACGAAGATATGGCCAAGTGGGACTCCCCATACCGAACCCCAAACTTTTCGCGTTATAGAAACACCACGGGACCCTTGCTCAAATGTGTCTCCACCCCAAGGGTCTTCAATCTGGACAACGCCATCGAGATCAAACCGCCCAGCAAGAAGGTGTTCCCGACGATGAGTCTGGAGGCTAGGGTTATGGTTGATAAGGTTCCGATTTGGACTTATGATGGAAAATTTTTGGGTTTAGCTACAAAAGGGGTTGGCCGACTTCACGACGACCAGCCAGGATCGGCTTCAGCGCTGGAAGAATAAGCTTCAGACGACTGGGAGGAGGCAAAAGGATACGAGCGAGCCGCCGCCAATGCATAGGTGAGAGTTGACTTAAAGGGCCGCGCGCTTTGTGAACTTGTAATTGGGTTCTGAAACGGGATTCCTTAATTTTTTGAATAAGGAAAAATTAGCACATTTTCAGGGCTCATACCGGAATAATACCATTGAATCCCTTTAACCCATACTATTACCCCAGGAGCTATAGCACGAATTGAAATCACACAAACACACGCACACACCACCCTCTACCCCCTCTGCCTCTAATGTGGGAAGATGGGGCGAAAATTGTAAGCGGCTCTGTGCGAAGGGGTAGATCGGGTGGGGCCGCGGGGGACAAGAAGGAGGATGAGGAGGAAAAGGAGCAGCAGGAGGACGTTTCGATAAATCAAGGCCAACCGAGCACCTGTGGGTGCTGAATGGTGGGCAGGATTGCGGAGCCGATGGGGGAGGAGGTGGCTCTATTGGCCATTCCTGCACCAAGCATTTTCTATGCCACATGGTCATTTCATAGGGCTAGGTGGGGTTTTTGCACTAGATATTTTTTTAAGTAGTAAAGCCTTTTTTATTTTTTTAGTAGAGCTGTAGAGGTTTTAGCTATTTCCCAAGTCAAAAAAGAAATTAGAAAAGTTGAATAGTAGTGGTGTATATCTTTGACACCGTTTTTAATTCATTGATGCCAAAAATAACGCTGTTTTCATACGATTCTATTTTTGATTGAACTGTAGTATAATATAGTTTTACGAATTAAAAAATAACCTGAAATTTGAGCCGCTTCAATATGGTTGATTTTTCTTATATAAAATATTCTTATAGAGTTTTTTAAATCACAAAAATAACTTGGCATTTTGGAAGCCGATCCAACGATTATTTTTTCTTAAACATAATTCTTATCCTATTTAAATTTAATGACCCGGACCCCAAACACTACATTTTCGAAACTCCATCCGTTTTCCCCAATTTCGCAGCGCTCCACCGTTCCCCCTAAACTTATTAGCGTGAACAGGTGGCCCCAAAAACCAGACAAATCCTTAGATCCGTCCTCGAACCCCCCTATCGCTACACACCCGAAAGTGTAAGGAGAAAAATGGGAAGACCCCTTGGTGCCCTCTCACAGCAACGCTCTAGGTCCACGTCCAACGAGTCCCTTTTCCTTTGCTTTAATGACCAGCCGCTCAACTTTTTCGGAGCTTTGGACTAGATACCTCACACTCAAATTTAGCCAGCTACAACTACAGTTTCCTCCCAGAAGCTAAAAATCCTAAAACCGTACAGTCTTTGCCAATTCTTTGCAACTTGCCGGTCATTCTTTCAAAGAGCGACGCCGATCGGGAGTGGGGGGCTTTTTGAAGGAATTCATCCCCGACCATTTCTCAGCTTTGTACGAATCGCCCTCTGAGAGCTGGGCAAACATTTGCTGGCCGAACACCTCCACTCCTTCCCACATTCTCGACTGATTATTCTTATTTTCAGGAACTGCTTCCCGAAATCACAGCCGTCGAAGGAAGAAGAACCACAGAAGTCTTGGAAGATGTCTGGTGAGACTGGCAAACGTTGATTTTAATGCTTTATTTTAGATTCTCCACAAAACATCACGTACCCACGACCTCTCCATTCGTCAAAAAGCCTCCAGAACGCGGGCAGTATGGGAAATGTGCCGTCGCTGAATAATCAGTACGTTATTTTGTGGGGCTCGCGAATCCTGGGGGTTGATTAACGGCTGGCGGCACGCTTTTGTCGGCGAAAGAATTCATGCAAGCGGGGTGTTTGGGGTTTTAGGGGGTACGGATGTGGTTGGGGTCGGGGGTTTATGGGAGGAAGGGATTTTGATATAAAGTTGATATCGTTTGGAGGGTGTTAGGGGTTTGTCAACAATTGATAAAGGGGTCTAGTACGCTGAAAAACCTTTGTATAGTTTTTTTGAAAGTTAATAAAAAAGGTATTAATGAAATAATTTATTATGAATCTATGGCTTAAAAATATTTTTTATTTTGTTCAGGATTTTTACTACTTAGTTAACTATTGCTTTGTCGGCCTCCTTTCAAGCCGCCGAAATTAGCCTCTAGAATTATTCTAAAATTTAGTGCTTTATATAGTAATTGAAGCGATTAATATTAATAAATCTATTTTTATCCAGATTTATATATTAATTTCTCCAGCATTTTACTAAAAATATGAAGGTTTATTATATTTCCAAGCTTGAAATTTTTCCCATCATTTCTCCCATCGAAGATTTTTAATAACTTCATTAATAACTCTCTATGAATATCTAATAACCAATCCCATCCCCATCCCCCCAAAGACCTCCCAATCAATCGAAAACATTTACGGCTGGCAGATTGCATGGGGTAATGAAGGGCCATAGAAGGCCTCCATACCCCCCTACCCGTAGATCCGCTGGCCAAATAGGCGAGCCATCTGTCCGTTCTTTTGTATCACCACGTAGTCTCCCCCCTCTTGCCCTGCCCCTCAATTGGATTAGACACTGACTGTCTCGCATCCCCTATGCTGCCACACAGTCTCTGCATGCACCAACTGGCAACAAGATGCGCTCGGCTCCAAATTACTCCTCCACTCGCAATTACAGAGTGCCTCTGGCTTGACGGGCTCTTCCTACCGGATGCTCGGATGACAAATTGCAGTTTTTCCAGCGGCCTTGGGAATGTTGTTTAGGACTTGCTAGGGTTTTTCTTAGGAACTCTTACTCATGGTTTTGTAGAAATTCTTTCCATAGCACTCTTTATCTCGCTCTATCTCTTCCTCTCGCTAGCCCTAACTCTCTTGCGCGCGCGCTTTCTCTAGTTTCCTTCTCCTGCCATACGTATTTCTGTCACTCACACTCTCGCTCTCTGTCTCTCTGTCTCTCTCTCTCTCTCTCTCGCTTTATCTCGCTCTCTCTAGCTCGCTCCATCTCTCTGTTTCCTTCGTTCGCTGTTAAAAGATTCCTTCCTCATACATTTTATACATTAGATATACGTTTTACATTAGACATTTTTTGTAAGCATCATGTCATCCCGTAAAAATTCCTCTTCCTCCCCTTTTCCCGCTCCTTCTCACCTCCCAAATATAACCGGTAATGCAAATGCCAACCGCCTTCTTCCATTCAAGGCCGACAAATATCCCCCTCTCTTCCCCTCTCACAACAGCCTCAATTCACACCAAATGCCACCTCCCTTTTTACCTCACCCACCACCGTCTCACTACCATAGCATCCTAGCTACCATCTTTCCTTGCACTCCCCTTTAGATGCCACCCTTCATTGGGGTCAGTCGTGTAGAAGCATTCCAAATACCTTCTCCACCCCCTCCCAGGTGCTCCTCATTTTTTCATCTTCTCTTTTGGACAGTGTGTAACGATCTGCGCAACCGCCTGTTATCTCCTCCGGGCATCTCGCTATGTGAGGAGAAGGGCGGCTGGGGCTTGGCTCCAGTCAAATAACCAAATGGAGCGATCATTTCTTAAAAGTTTTCTGGGTTTGTAACTTTAACCCTTCTACTATTTACAGATCTTTTAAAGATATCGCTTGATGATTTTAGCGCACTTAGCTTCGGGCTGATTAATGAAATATATTTTTGACATATATTTGGCCACTTCATGCACTTCAGTCATCTCTATAACATCCAACGCCATATATTTATATTAGCAGATCACCTCGAAACCAACCAGCCTCTGTCTCCTTTTCTCGGTGTCCTCAGTCTCCTGCTCCTTCCTTTTCTCGACACAACACTCATTATGGGTGCCCCGTCCTTGTGTATATGATCCGCCGATTTGGTGGAGGGCATCTGGTGCCTTCCCCCTCCTGCTAGCCCATGTGCCAATTTTCCCATCTTACCCCCTAGGGTTGGGCCGTCGAGTAGCACCCTCACACCCATCATTCCATCTTTTTGCGGGTTCATTATGGGGGGGGGGGCAGTCCTTGGCTAAGATTTTGAGTTGGCATATTGATTTTATAGGATCCAGAACCACTTTTTTGAAATTTTTTGCAGCTCCTCCTGTGATCGAATTTTTTCGACATTTTAAAGATAATCAAATTAAACGTAAATCAAAAGTTTCGTAGAATATCGAATGTCTGCAGATCGTTTTCACTTTTCCAAACCCGTTAACCACCTTTGAGTGACCATTCTCCCAACTTTATCACCTCTCTTGCCACCTACAACCCGAATGCCCGGATCATTACTTGCTTCTACCAAACCCTCCTCCGTAACAACCGCCCCCAATTTGGGTCAACCGGTATAATATGGCCATCGGCGTGGGTGGTTGCTGTTTGTCTGTTTCCGTGTCTCCGCCCGATTCAGGACACAAGACGTTCGGAACAGACCGGGAGGATATCAGCACCCCCGTCCAGAGGGCTGGATATGTTTATCCGTCTCCCCCGTCTATGCATCATTCGACACTGCTACGAGTGTCACTCTCTTCCCTTTCTAGTCCTAGATGCCCTTCATTTGTATATCGATCATCCGTTTATGGATTGGGCTTGATCCTGACCCTGCTTTTCCTATGTCAAACCCTCTGAAAATCCTGGGATCTAGATGTAACGGATTGCTTGTTGGCACCATCCATTTAAAAGATTTATTTCTTAGATCTTTTCATGTGGAAATTTTTTATTTTTTCCCCTTGGATTTTGCAAAATTCGGCGGGATTTGAGTTTCTTCCATTATTTCGCGGAACATCCGAGGATCTCTAAAACGCAACGGCCTTAAAAAACTTTTTGTAAAATTTCGAATTTTATAATTTTATCTTATGGCTCAAAATCCAACAAATCAATCCTCAATAAAGCATGATTTTTATTAGCTTAAAATACGTCGCACCGGGTATTTTGAGTCCTAGCTAACATATAAAATCTTGTTTTTTTCAGGCTTTCCCTCGACATGGAACATCGCACCCTGAAGTCCAAAGAAAATTCCGCTAGTCAAAAAGACGTCGCCGCTTTCGAAATCTACGACAACGTCTTCAGCAAGTCTTCAGCCCCTCCCCGACTACCACCAATTTCCGGCGTTCGACCGGTAAGTCGAAAATTAGATACGCCAAGGTCCCTCCTAAGGGATTTTATGTTTCCACTGTCTTTACCGCGGAAATCAATCTTATAAAGGCTTCTTTGTCTCAGCGGGAGGTCCCTAGCGGGGGATGCGTGCCACATTTTGGGGTGTGATTGGGTGAAGAGTGGCTAGCTGCCAATGGGCGATCCTTCAAGTGTCTTTTCCGATCGAACCAAGGTCTCCCTTTGTATCGCCGTTTTAAAGGATCACCGATCCGGATCCTTCTGACCCACACACAGCACAGACCCATCCCCGGGTCAGCTCTTGTTTCGTATAGTCGGCTAGGGGCGTCTTTTTAAGCCATAGGGGGCTGACCAGTTGTTTTCAACTATCAAATTACTTCCTGTCTTTTGAAAACGTTGGGGTTACTACTTAGTCCGTTTGGTCAGACTTCAAATTATTCACTATGGGCTCTACACTAGAAATGTATTTCGAAAAAGTTTTTCCTTGGAAGTCTAGTTCATTACTGGATAGTTTGTATCTAGTAAGTTACTAGAAGCATAGTACCTTAGTAATTAATTATTCAATAGCTTAAAAATCAAACCTTTCAGGACGGCACTGATCTTGTTCGTCCCATCGCCTTCCGCCCGGTGGCTCCATCGGTGGTCGATCCGGCAAAGCGCCAATCAGCTGGTACTTTCAGGACCGAGTTGTAAGTTGCATATTTTTGGGGCTAATTACCGTACTTACAGTGAACGTTCTCGTCTTGGTCCTCTGAGCGCTTCCCTCAACGGCACACCCCCGGTTCCTCAAACTGCCGTCCCGACCAAACCACGAGGCATGCATCAACCTAGCACTAGGTAATTCGTATTAATTTTTGCAATACCTAATAGTATTTACAGCTTTAACCACTTCCCTCGTACCTCCGTCGAAAATGAATACGATACTGTGAATGACTACTATGAAAAACATGATGGTAATCATATTGTACAATCATGTCATTAATCATTTTAGCCGGTTCAAATTCCGACTATTCGACCGGAGCTGGATCTCTGGGAAGAAAGCCTCAATTCCAAACGGTCCAAATCGGGAGCCCTGGCGCACATAACAAGGTAAGAGTCGCTAGAATTTACAGAACGAATCCTTGTTCAGAAATCATTCACCTCCTCTACCTCCTCATCAGCCTCTAGACACTCTTCTGGAGTCCATGTAACACCATCACCATCTGACAGTGGAATTGTCGATTATGAGGTTTGACTCTAAGATTTTGACTTAATTGTCAGAATTTCCAGTCCATAATTCGCGATAAGGAGAACGAGCTCCGGGAAGTGCGAAACACCATGGAGCACAATGAAGAGATTATCATCAAAGTTTACCAAGAAAAAGAACGGAGCTACCGTAATGAGATCCAACAGTTGAGGAATAGACTATCGGCTAGCGAAAAAGGTTAGTGGCAAACTCAACCTTCGAAATTATTGATGTATTTAAGGAGAAAACGCGCTTCGTGCCCAATTGTCGTCATGTCAGCGTCAAACGGATGTGATGAGGGCATCGGTTGAGGGCTTGTTGGCTGAGAAAAGGGATATGGAAAAGCGTTGCGAGCAATTGGAGCGTGACGTCGCCTACCTGAAGAGCCATCAATGCGCTGAATGTGTTCGCCGGATAAATAGTCGCGCAGTGCCCGTCGTAAGGATGAATAAGGTTCGTAATAAAAAAATTGTATACCTGAAACTTAATTGTCAGGAACTAACGCCAAATGAAGATCTCCGTGATGAAGTGAGCCTTCTTCGCAAAGAAGTGGCCACCCTTCGTGACGCCCTTGGCTCTATGCACATCAACAATAATAATCAAACGGTATCTATCACGTTCCTACCATAAAATACCTTAAACTTAGATCTCGAATGGGACCAGCCGTATTGGCAGCGAACCGAAACTTGCTTCGGCCAGGGACCGGTTGATCTGAGCCAACCGTCCGCGAGCCCCACGATTGCTTACCTGAATTGCCTTTAGCTTGTAGTCTTGCGCCAACGTGATAATGCCATGAACGAATTCAGCTTGTGCTTTTCATGTTTAATTTCGAATTCTAGGGTCTGGGCTTTAGAAACGAATATTGCTTTCGATTCCCTGACTCTCAGTTTTCCTGTGCATAGTTTTCGTGTGTATTGTGTTCAATATTTCGACTGCCCTCCCTCTGGCAATGCCATCTTTCCAATTCCAGGCTTCATGCGGAAATTGTGGTCCTTGAGCCTTATTCAACCTCTTTCTCTGCAACCTATCCTCTCTTTTCCTCAAATCTGCCTTCTCTATTCAGTTAGCGTACCATAATTGCCGATGTCTCACTCCCTATTCATCGCTCGACCCCCGAGAAGCTATTTTGACGAAAACATTCGATCCGGTATGCCAGAAACGCCCCTCGAATATTGAACGTTTCTTGATCGCTCTTTGTATCAGTTGGTGGTTGAATTAATTTATGATATGTCATGGTTTAAGATAAAAAATTCTTTATATACAGATTAGATTACTGTTGTTGAACCATACAATAGAGGTAAACTGCGCACTTTTACGACAAAAATCAGAAAAAAACACGCGGTCGTGGTCGAGATCGTCGACGACGAAAATCGTTTCTTATTATACTTTTTATTATGAATTAAATAGCTCGTTTTTGCTTTGATAAATTCAGGCCGGGTACCTAGAATACGTTACTCGTGCTTTCTTCCCAAACCTATGCCGATTTTTTAAGCAGATCCTACTATATATAAAAAACCAGTGCAAAAAGCCCGCTTCGCGGCCCCTTTCCACTGGACACCGTCCAGGAATCATGAATACGAATATCTTCTTTTTTTCTAGCCTGCGGCGCAAGAGCCTGATTAAAGGACCGATGCTGTGGCCTGCGGCGCCAGACCCAGCTTTTCGCTAGAATCTTTGAGCCTGCGGCGCTAGTTACTGGTTTTTCACCGGGATTTGGCCTGCGGCGCTAGAGCCTGGCTCAAGGACCCATCCTTGGCCTGCGGCGCGAGAGCCTGGACCAAAGGCCTTTTCTTGGGCCTGCGGCGCTAGAGCGAGAGCCAGGCCTAAACCTCGCAGTGCCCACCTCACCTCACGGCTCGCACACCTAGAGCCTAGAAATATGTTTTGTTGCTGAACTACCAAAAAGCAAAACGTTATATTTCGCCGGGATCCGAAACCGCCACCATTCGCGTGGTAGGCCGAGCGCAGTTCCACTAAACCACGGGGGAGATGCGATCGGGCAGCGGGAAAGGCCTCTTGTGTCCTGGGCAGGCGGAAAAGAAAAGGGCGCCCCAATGATTCCGGGAGGGAGGCCTACTGGTCACTTTACAAAGTTCCATTTTTGAGCCTGAATACGCAAATAAATTGTCAAGATAATATGATGCGCGTGATCCCCACCACCGAATACATAAGTGGTCCAAATTATAGACCGAAATTCCGTCAGGGCTTCGAGTTATGGCCTGAACACCACGGCTTGTCTCCCACTTTGTTAAGGATTTTTTACATTTTTGCTTGTAAAATTGTTAAATGAAGGAATTTCGAAAAACCCAAAAAACCGTTTTTGGCGAATGTGTTTCTCCACATGCATGCCAAAAATCAGCCGGAAATTCGGTCTTACGGCCGAGAAACCGCCCGGACAGAAAACACACATACTTTTCTCGCTTATAGGATAGGATAGTGTCTGTGTGTGTGCATTTGCATGCAACTTCCGTCCGGCTGTTCCAGTCGTATCTCAAAAAGGGCAGAAGTCAAGGGGGTATATGATACGTCGTTAGGTGCGTAATGCTCATGACACGACTGCACACATATCAATTTTAACAAAATCAGCTATTTTCGATATTAAAAGTAGGTTTTTGTGAAAATCTTGCCGAGCCTCTTTGTTAGAAATCAATTAGCATGCACCGGAAGTGGGGGAAGCCTAAATAATGGGGGGAGAGGACGCGCTTTTCATTTTTCTGCACAAGAAGTCAGGGGTTTATGCAAAGCGACGAAGCATGCGGGAAGACGGGGCCAGGGTTGAAAAGTCGCGAAGCGGCTTTTCAACCCTGGTTAAACTTTTAAAAATGCAGTAATACAAACTGTTTTCTCTGTCATGCATTAAATCAAAATGATTCTTTTTTGCCTTGATAAATTTTAGCCGGGTACCTAAAATACAACACTCGTGCCTTCTTAACAAACCTATGCCCAATTTGTTAAACTCTATTAAAACTTTGTAAAAAATAGTTTGTATTACTGTATTTTTTTTATTATGAATTCAATTAAAATAATTCTTTAATTGCCTAGATAAATTTAAGTCGGGTGCCTAAAATACGGTACTCGTGCTTGCTTAGGAAACCTATGTCCAATTTTTATAAAAGTATATTAAAATTTCTACGCAGTAGTTCAAGTTTTTTGGAATAAATGGAAAAACGAGACCCGATCGGAATTCGAAATTCAACCCCAACACACGCCGATGTCTCACCAACCTTTTGTCAACTTCACACAGACCACAAAAACCCCACAAACTCAACTGCCCACTTTCCGGCACTTAATCCCGGCGACAACGAAGAAGGACGAGGGCGTTGAGGGTGTGTTTCATGGGAGACAACCGAGACAGACCAATGCAAATGCTCCATCCAAATTCGGCGATACACCTATCCACCCTGCGCCCCTGGACCCAACCTGACGCTGACGCGCATCGCTCCAGGGGGCCTGAAGACAAAGCTCAACAAGCATGGGGGAGGATAGAATTTCTGAGCTTATGCCTTCTTCCCTGTTTCCCCTTTTTGGTTCTTTACCCCTCCGGGGTCCCGTGTCGACAAACAACGGTTTTTGGGCGAGGGCGCGAAGACGACATCTTTTTGGGGGGCGCGGCACAGGAAAAGCTGTGTTGACATGGGCACCCTTTCACGGGAATTTGGTCGCGCCGACACGAGAGTGTCCACCAGTCTTGCAACAACATTGGTTTCTATTTTTAGAGGGGCCTTTTTACAGTGTAGTGGGGGAATGGGTGGTATTATGATTGATAGATATTATCTGTTGGTTCGGTCATCGATATGTGATTCTGGGAGGTGTTTTGTCTGGATACTGGCCCGAGGGGCAGAGGGTTTGGAGGAATGTGTTTCGGATGGTGATTCATTTAAAAGCATTCAACCCCGTGTTTTATGAATTCCGCAATGTTGTCGACTTGGATTTTGGTTGGTTTGGGCGGAATTTGGGTATATAAACTCATTAACAGCAGTTTAATTAAGAAAATTTTGTGCTATTCATTATTAACGTACCTCTTTTTCTCATGCAACACGCTTTAATAACGGAATCAAACTTTAAGAATATCCATGACTTGCACGAGTTGTACCTTCCGGACCTAGAAAACTCTGAAAAATCGCGATTAGGAAATTTTGATATCTTGATTTTTTGTTGTTCCGACAAAATCAGAGTCGGTAATGATATCACAAGTGGAAGCGGCAAAATAAGAACCGCGTGTCTATGCAAATTCGTAATACAAAAACAGTAACCGTAAGCCGAAACCGAAAGATCCGGTTTGTAGATGTCCTTCCTTTTAAAGGGATACCGACGGGATAGGTCGATCACCCCTGATCGACTTTTTGGCACGTAGCCAACGGGGCAGAGAACGCGCCCAGGGGCGAGACGCCGAGACATCTTCTTTTCATCGCGTCACCGATTACTTATGCCGTCGTTATCCCCTTAAGCAGAAATAGCAACAAAAGTTTTAGAATAGATGGCTCTAAGCAAATTTTCCTGATCGGCCGCACCAACTCGTACCCATTTTATCGTATCCCGCTCACAAGAAAGCCCATTTCCCTAGTCAGACCTTGTTTACCATCCCTGCTTCTCCCCGCTGTTTCTCCCCTCTTTCCCCTCTATGTGGGGTAATTTGAGGAGATTGGTGGCCATGAGGTGGTGAAGGGGGTTGTGGCTAAAGGGGTTGTTCCCTAGTGTTGGGTTGTGGCCGTTCGGACATCGATTATGCGTGTACCCCTTCTCTTGGTTGGATGGTGGTCCCCCCTTCTCTTCGCCCTCAACACCCCCCTATTCAGCACCTCGAGCCTCTTCTCCAACACACCCATTTTCCCAGTTCTCGACCCCTCCTCTGGGCCGTCCTCTTCTTCTCCTGCTCACAAATGTTCGGGGTTGTGGCTGCTCGGGAACCGTGTGCACGACTTGTTCTCCGCGCCTCGTTTCGCCAACCGCCGCGAGCCACAAAAATCCACCAACGCGCTCCCGCGCCCCAGCCCCCCACGCGATTCAATGGGATTTGCATGGGAGCTTTCACTTTGCATTCGTCGATTCCGGTTGGATACTTGTTCTCGAAAACGTGATGTTTCCTCTCAACTATAACATTTGGCTTTTGCATATCTGGTTTGATACCGGAGCTTGTAGATCCTTGGCGTCTATTTGCAATTTTGGTCTGACTTTTTGGTGCTGAGTAAGGATTGTGACTTTCGTATTTTGTCTGGCATCATTCGCACCTGCCTTACCGATACCTTTAAGTCGCTGAACACCTCCCACCTCCTATCCTTCTTATTTTCGCAAAGTGTCCCCCATAACTCTTACAGTACACCTCAACCCAAATCCCTCCCACAAATAAAGTTCCGTTTAAAAAACCACTTTCGCAAAACATGTTGCCCTTTCTCACGAAAAGCCTCATGATGCGAAGGTGTTTATGCCCCGTAACAGTCCGCGCGATCCTTGAATCATAAGCTCCTTGGCAAACCGCTGAAGGACACTTATAAATAGGAGTCAGCGCCTCGAAAAAGGTTGGCTATTCCACATCCTGCTTTCTAGCACTTCCAAAAAAAATTCTAACTTAGAAAATGGGATTCCGAAGAAGGCGCGCAACGATGCCAGGTGAATTAATTTTCAAGTAAAATCACCGCAGTTCTACCCGTAGTTATATTTTATTTGGGCGTTTATATGCACAAAACTAAAATGAATTCGGAACATTCATTCTCG